TCAGTGCAAGGAACACATATGTCTTAAAGTGAGTTAATGTTTTTTTAGGTCTGTTGGCTTCAGAGTTGCAAATCTTGGCAAGATCTCTCATACTGTATTTAAATGGCATAAGCTTCACTACTGTGGATCATTCATTGGGGTCCAGCAGAATGACTGAGTTGGCTTGCAGTATAATAAAATGGATACACTTAGGATAAAAGAAACTCTTGTCCAGCTGCTTTTCATGAAGCTCAAACAATGAAGCAGCCTGGTGCCTTGAATCGGATTCAGAATTGGTGGGTGCATCTTGATGTGTTGCTGCGAGAGCTAAATGTGACCATCTGATGCAGGAGAAAGTGCCAAATAGTTCTGCTTTATTAAATAGAATATAATGTAATCCCAGCCTGAGGCTTTTTTAAAACATGGTTCTCTACTGGGCTACCCCTGTAGGGCCAGGGGATTATCTAATATATTCTATTACAACAAGTCTTAAATCTTTTGATACCAGCTCAGTGTTAGGAAGATCTATAGTGATATGCCCGAGAGAAATGATGCTCACACACAAAAAACCTGTACATACATGTTCACAGCAGCATTGTTCATAATAGCCAAAAAGTAAAAACAAATACCCATCAACTTATGAATGGATAAAATGTGGTACATCAGCACCGTGAAATATTCAGCCATAAAAAAAATGAAGTACTGATACATGTTACAACATGAATAAGTGAAAGTACCAAGATACAGAGGCCACTGTATCAGTCAGGGCTCTCCAGAGAAACAGAACCAATAGGATTTATTTTAGGCAATTGGTGCATGTAGTTGTGGGGGATGGCAAGTCTGAAATTTGTAGAGCAGATACCTTCTCTGAGAGACATCAGTTTTTGCTCTTAAGGCCTTCAGCTGATATAGATGAGTACCACCTACATTATGGAGGGTAAACTGCTTTACCTAGAGTTACCTGATTGTAGATGTTAACCATCCCTGCAAAATACCTTCATAGCAATACCTAGATTAGTGTTGGACTAAATAACGGGGCACTATAGCCTAGCCAAGTTGACATATAAAATTGACCATGAAAACCATATATTCTGTCAATTCATTTTTTTCCTTCAGTTTTTATTTGAGAAAAAAAATTATTAGAGAAGTCAACACTGACAACAGAGTAAAATGAGTAAAATTACATTATCACCATTTAAATTTACTTAGGTATTAACTCACGTAATTGTCATTTTTAAGTTCTAGGTACAAAATAAAAATAAAAGTTCTAGATATATTCTGTTTTTACTTCAAAAGAATTAAAATGATACCCTTGCTGAAACATTTAATGGTCATAGAAACTAATCGTTTCTTAATTTTAGTTAAGCCAGAGAAATAATTATAATAACTCAGTTCAAGGGTGTTAGGAACCAACTTACAGAGCATTCTCCCAAAGATATTTTCTTGGCCTTGGGAAGACATCTATTTTCAAACTTAATAGTAGAGTCAAATGAAAATTAACAATAAGGGTTTTCCAAATTGAAAAATCTTACATATGTTGTATAAGCACTCATATATATAACCATTTGTCTGTGGTCTGTAAATTTTACCTTATATTGTGATACATATCACTATATAATGGTACACTGGGTACATGATTTCATTTATGTGAAAGGTCCAGAATTGGCAAATCTGCAGAAACAGAAAGTAGGTTAACTGTTGCCAGGGGCAGAGGGGCAAGAGGAAGTGGGGAATGACTGCTAAAAGTAAGAGATTTCTGTTTTGGGATAATGTAAATGTTCTGGAATCCAATAGTGGTGATGGTTGTACAACTCTCTGAACATACTAAAAACCAATGAATTGTACACATTAAGTGGGTAGATTTTATGGTATGTGAATTATATCTTAATACAACTGTTAAGAAAATCATCTGTCAAGACCCAGCCCCCCCTTTTTTAACCCCAGATTTCAAGGTTTTGACCTAAACTTTGCCTAAGAGAATATTTTAAAGAGAATGTTTCAGTATTTTCCTGGTGTCTGCTTTTGAGTGCATCAAGCTACAAAGGATATAAGAAACTATTGATTATGACTCAGCTCATGTCACTGAATAAGATTAAACCTCATCAAGTTAGGACCTTGCCCTTCTTGTTTCCTAGCAGACCCATGACATAAGACTTTTTATAGATTTATTGAATCCCTTCTACATCATAGGACAGGACAAAAAGTACTGCAAAGTTACTGGGTTAAATGTAAAGCCAGCTTAATAAGTACCCTTGAGGATTAGGGGTGTTAGAACAAAAAAGCTGAATTTAAAATTGGCAGTGTGAATGGATGGAAATAGGTGGATACTTTGAAAAAAGCTAAAGGTAATCTTTGGAATTCTTTTCTGAGTGAATCTGAGATCCTGAACACCCCCGTCCTTTGCTGCTTCTTTGTGTTCTGCCTTTCCTATATTTTTATGTTTCTTTTTGGGGTTTCCCAAAGTGCAGTGCATATAGCTCTGACTGTACTGCGATTTTAGATGATACATAAATACTTTTAGTTCTCACAGTTATATACGTGTGTGTGTATATATATGTGTGTGTATATATTATTTTTTAAATGGTTATATTTTAATATGATTTGGAAAAATGTAGCCTTTCAAACCAATCATTTCATGGATATTATTGTTTGAAGTAAAACTATAATAATAAGTCATGGTGTTAGGTCTGTTTTCTTAAAATTAGTAAATTATAATACAGGTGGCATACTAAAAGGACAAAAATTATGAAGATGTTATGCAAATGTCTGAAGCTTAGTCAACTCTGCCCCATTGACACTGTTGCATTCTCTCTGGGTGCCTGTATTTAGTCGTGAGTAGCTTTTCAGCTAGTCCTATCCCATTACCTATCTCTTGAAGTCCCAGATTAGGAAGAAAGCTATCTGTCCTAAGATCAAATTAGGAAGTGCTCATTGCTGTAATATTAAGATAATGAACCAGGGGCGCCTGGGTGGCTCAGTTGGTTAAGCGACTGCCTTCGGCTCAGGTCATGATCCCGGAGTCCCGGGATCGAGTCCCGGATTGGGCTCCCTGCTCAGTAGGGAGTCTGCTTCTCCCTCTGACCTTCCTCCTTCTCATGCTTTCTGTCTCTCATTCTCTCTCTCTCAAATAAATAAATAAAATCTTTAAAAAAAAAAAATTGTCCTGGTGTACAAGAACCTCAAACATAGGCCTTATCTACAAGAAGTTCACCTTTTCTTAACGGAAGAGCCACCAAGAATATGATTCAAGTTGCATAAGACATATATAGACTCGTAAGGAGACACATACACTCATTTCACCCTATCCCATTAGGTAGATTTGTAAGAGGAAAGATGGATTTTTATGGCCAAGACTTAAGATTTTCCTGTGTCTGCAAGTACCTAGTCCATAGATTCACCTGCCAAATCAAAGCTTATACAAGGTTTCCCCCCACAAAATACCAATATACATGTTAGTATTACCTTAAACAGCATTGGTTCATTATCTTTTTTTTTTTAAAGATTTTATTTATTTATTTGAGAGAGAGAGAATGAGAGAGAGCGAGTACATGAGAGGGGGGAGGGTCAGAGGGAGAAGCAGACTCCCCGCCGAGCAGGGAGCCCGATGCGGGACTCGATCCCGGGACTCCAGGATCATGACCTGAGCCAAAGGCAGTCGCTTAACCAACTGAGCCACCCAGGCGCCCCACCAGGACAATTTTACGCAGCTGGTTAGGTAAAGCAGTATTCTCTTTCTCTAAGTGTTCCTTTCCCTCTCCATTTCTTCTTTAGTTTTTTTTTTTTTTTTTTTTTTTATTCATGAGAGACCGAGAGAGAGAGGCAGAGGGAGAAGCAGGCTCCCAAGGAGCAGGGAGCCCGATGGCAGGACTCGATCCCAGGACCCTGGGATCACGACCTGAGCCGAAGGCAGACGCTTAACCATCTGAGCCACCCAGGCGCCCTCCATTTCTTCTTTAAATATGGGGCCCCAATCCACAATGGAAAAGGCAAAAGATAGGGACTTACTACTGGATTTTTTGTGACTCAACCAAAGTGACTGAGAAAGGAATCTGGGTGCTCTCTTGGGATTTCGGTCAGGGGTGTGTCAGGTACTCAGGAGAGAAAATATTTATGAGTAGTTTTTCTGTTTTAAAAGTTAGACTTTGAAATACTTAGTTCTAAAGAAGGTTGATTTTTTTTTTTTTTTTAATCAGAATTTTAAAACAATCCAGGGGTGCCTGGGTGGCTCAGTCAGATCATGGGATCGAATACACTACTTCTTGCTTCTCTCTCTCCCTCTGCCCCTCCCCCACTTGTGCTTGCTCTCTCTCTCAAAAAAAAATTTTTTTTTTTTAAACAATCTATTCTAAGTGGTGATTTCTTTTTAAAAGTTCCCCAGTCCAAGTACCTTTTTGGGAAAATAACCTGAAAATAGTATTTCTCTGAATTGTTCACTTATGCATTATTTAGGATGTTACAAAGAAATTCTGTACCTAAAAACAGTCTTGCATAATCCTATTTAGACCAAAATTTTATAGCTAAGCTTTCATGTGGGTTATATGATCTCTTAATTATTCAGGATCAGTTTTTCAGTCAATATTTAAACCTCTCTGGGGTACCTGGGTGGCTCAGTCGTTAAGCATCTGCCTTCGGCTCAGGTCATGATCCCAGGGTCCTGGGATCGAGCCCCGCGTCAGACTCTCTGCTCTACAGGGAGCCTGCCTCTCCCTCGGCCTGCTGCTCTGCCTGCTTGTGCTCTCTCTCTGTCAAATAAATAAATAACATCTTTAAAAAAAAAAAAAGATTCGCCCGGCTAGCTCAGTCGGTAGAGCATGAGACTCTTAAAAAAAAAAAGATTCTTCCTCTGCCTCTCCCCCCAGCGCGTGCTCTCTCGCTCTCTCTCTCTCTCAAATGAATAAATAAATAAATCTTAAAAAAAAATAAAATAAACCTCTCAATTGCTTGGCACGATGCCTTAAATCTAGTAGCAAATACATTTTTAAAGTTGAATTGATTGTAACTTTACTCCTTTTTCTTTTTAGAAAAGGTATAGTTTGGCAGTGGGGCCTCCCAAAAAAGACCCGAAAGTTAAGGGTGTCCAATCTGCAGCCGTTCAGGCTTTTCTCAGAAGAAAAGAAGAGGAGCTCAGGCAAAAAGGTATGTATCTATAGCCTTATTCTCAATTTTAAAGTCTTCCACCTTCACAACTAGCTTGTACTTAATTAGTGGATGCTTGTAATAACATAATAGGCTGATGGATTTGTGTATGTGTCTGAATCAACTGTGTTTAGAGGATTACATATGTTCTTACGCTGATCATTTGAATGGACATTATCTTTTATTTCCTCTTAAGAGCTTTTGGGGATAGTGACCATATTTTCCACTTGGCCTCACTCGGTCCCAATAGGAACTCCATTCTTTGACCTTCATTCTGAATCTGCTTCTACATATTTTGTTTTTTAAATTTTTTTTTTATTATCAAGAATGCTATCTTAAAGGTTAAAATAGGGAAAGTTTTTGAAGACCAGTAAACTCAAGCAGTAGTTTTACCTCAGGCAAATGACAAGGAAACTGATTTAATACATGTAAGTATTCACTTATTCATAATTGATAATGATTGTGAAGTGGTTGCTACTGTTTCCTTAACCTGGTATATTTATTTGGTATGAATTTTCTATATTTAAAGCTAAAAGCCTAGTCTCTCACCTGTTTGTCATATTGAAAGACCCATATGTGACCCACTCATTATGTAAAGATGACTCAACAGGTACTTGTTCAAAGGACTTCCTCATTTCATTCCTAGATGTCTTCAAACTGTAACTTGAATGTTGCTTGTGTTTTGGCCACCTGTTGATTTCAGATGAAATACCTAAGACTTCCAGACCTTGAAATACTTTTGTTCTTGTTTTGTCCCTTTTAGCTTTAGAGGAGAAAAGGAGAAAAGAGGAACTAGTGAAAAAGCGAATTGAGCTAAAACATGACAAGAAAGCAAGAGCTATGGCGAAAAGGACAAAGGATAATTTCCATGGTTACAACGGGATTCCCGTTGAGGAAAAGTCAAAGAAGAGGCAGGCAGTGGAAAGCCACACTAGTCAGGGAACAGAACAAGAGTATGAGATGGAAGAAGAAGATGAATTCTTAGAATACAATCAAGCAGAGTCAGAGCAGGAGTATGAGGAAGAGCAAGAACCTCCCAAAGTTGAAAGCAAACCAAAGGTCCCCCTTAGAAGTGCCCCACCACTCATGAACTTCACTGATCTACTCAGGCTGGCTGAGAAAAAGCAGTACGAACCAGTGGAGATCAAGGTAGTGAAGAAAACAGAAGAGCGGCCCATGACTGCAGAAGAACTTAGGGAGCGAGAATTCCTTGAACGAAAGCAGAGGAAAAAGAGACCTGAGACAGATGCAAGACTACCTCCAACCAAAAAGGCACCCTCTCAGAAAGAAAGTGTGGGCACAAAACTTAGCAAACATCCTTCCAGGGGTACTCCCCTTCCTCATGCTGAGAAGAAATCCAGACCCAGCACAGCCAATGAGAAACACTTAGGTGTGTCTTCATCCAAATCCATGCCAGGAGAGAGGACCAAAGCAGGATCTGTCAATTGCTCTCAACCCTTACTTCGTGAGGGCCATGACAGACCTGTCTTCAATGGGGTTGGAAAGCCCCACTCCAGCACCTATTCATCAAGTGTCCCAAAGACTTCTGCTAAGGGGACTCAGAAATCTGCTACTGAGCACAAAGCCAAAAAATCTCCTCCCCATCCTAGCCATTCCAGGCCTGGGTCCATGGTTACCCCACACAATAAAGCTAAGAGTCCAGGTGTCAGGCAGCCGGGCAACAGCTCCAGCTCAGCTCCTGGACGGCCCGGCACAGGGACTGCTCGGCCTACAGTTAGTTCTGGCCCCGTGCCCAGGCGCCAGAACGGCAGCTCCAGCTTAGGACCTGAGCGATCGGTCAGTGGGACCAAGAGGCCAGCCAGTGACTTCAGTCTCTCTGGACGGACACTCAGTGGTACAGGTGGCCCTGGGCACCCTGCAAGCAGCTCAAGTGGCCCTGGGCGACCCACCAGTGGCTCAGGTGGTTCTGGGAGAGCTCTGGGCAGCTCTGGTGGCCCCGGGCGGCCTGTGAGCAGTCCACATGACCTTCGACGACAAGTGAGTGGCTCTGGCCCCTCTGGGCGGCCAGTCAGTGGCCCTGGGCGGCCAGTCAGTGGCCCTGGGCGGCCAGTCAGTGGTCCTGGGCGGCAAGTCAGCGGTCCTGGGCGGCCGGTCAGCGGTCCTGAGCGGCCAGTCAGCGGCCCTGGGCGGCCAGTCAGTGGTCCTGGGCGGCCAGTCAGTGGTCCTGGGCGGCCAGTCAGTGGCCCTGGGCAATCAGTAAGTGGCTCAGTTCCAGCTGGACGGACTGTCAGTAGTTCAGGGCCCGGAAGACCGGTGAGCAGCTTGGGACCCGGGCGACCAGTTAGTAGCTCCAGTCTCCCCCTAAAGCCCAAGTGTACTGTTGTCTCAGAAACAATTTCTTCCAAGAATATAATTAGCCGATCCAGCAATGGACAGATGAATGGAATGAAGCCTTCCTTATCTGGCTACAGATCTGCCCAAGGTAAAATTGTCCCTTACCCTAAGAATATTTCTTTGTTACTAGGAAATTGGAAAGAATACTTTGTTTTATATAACCAGAAGCCCTGTGAACCCTTCCATGTACTCTTATGTTGATAACATTCTGATGCTTTCTCTTTGTGTCTGAGAGTTGCTTGAGTGCTCATAACTTGGAAAAGGCTTTAGAAAGAGAGTTATCTAGGACCCTCTGTGTTCACCCCTGTAACATCTCCAAGTGCAATAAACTTGGCTCTGTGATTCATAAGACAGGGTGAATATATATGCCTGATATGGTTCAATGAGTTAATTCATCTTTACCTTTTCATGAGAACTAGAGAGGCCTGTCTTCAAAAGTTGGGAGTATATTTATACAGTTGAAGCCTTTTGGTGCATTATTTAGTCATCAGATACTTGTTAAGTGCCCATGATCTACCGGGAACTGTTTTTGATTGCCCTTGTATTTCTGCTTTTCTTCATGGTAATAAGCATTTGTTAAAGTCCTTGTTGGGTGCCATGGAGAATATAAAAAGAAACAAAACATGAGATTCCATGCTTTAAACTTCCTAATTCACCTAGAACATTGGTTCTCAACCAAGGATGATTGTGATGCTCAGTGAACATCTGGCAGCGTCTGGAGACATTTTTGACTGACACAACTGGGGCAGGGATGCTACTGGCATCTCTTAGATAGAGGCCAGAGATGCTGCTGTTATCCTACAATGCACAGGACAGTCTGCTCACAACAAAAAACTATCTGGCCCAAAATGTCAACAGTGCAGAAGTTGAGAAAGAAACCCTGCGCTAAGGAGACAAGCCATGCATATTAACAATAACTCGAGAACAACAAAAGGAGGATCGCTAATCAAGGACTAGAAAGCAGTTGTTCCTAGATCTGGTCTATTGATCAGTGTCTGTCTTTTGCAAAGCTTTAATCAGTCTTTTAGCAAAATGACAAAATAAGGATAATGTAGTGAGTTTTTTTAAAGTTAGCCTTATTCATTTTGAACAATTTATCCATAATTCTGGGAATCTTTCATACTTTGTTGGACTCCTAAAAAATGTACCTAAATTATGGTGATAATAGATGGTAGTTGTAACCTTCGAGGTTTTTTCTTGGCAAAACTAAAAGTTAGTGATCCTGTAAGCCATTTGTAATTTTTTTTTTTTTTTTTAATTTTGCCAGTCTTCTAAATCCAGAAGGAAGGGAACTACCAGGCTAGAAAATGTAACAGATGCTTCTAGTAAACCACTTTTAAACAACATGAAGCAGCAGGGTTGATGTAATAATGACTCCCTACTATGGGCCAGCATACTGGCTCTGGTTTTTGAGGATACTGTCTTAATGAGTTCTCCAGTCTCAGTGTATGTAGAACTTTGTTGGGACTATTTTCAGTTTTAATGCTTGGCGTAAGTAATGGCTTTTCTGTTCTTAGTTCCTCAAAGGCCTCCCTTCCCTAGTGGTTACAAAAGGCAGCGAGAATATGAAGAGGAGGAAGATGATGATGAATATGACTCTGAAATGGAAGATTTTATTGAAGATGAGGGAGAACCTCAGGAAGAAATATCCAAGCACATTCGAGAAATCTTTGGCTATGACCGAAAAAAGTAAGACTAAAAGAAGATTTAGATAAATGATACACCTATTTTGAATGACTCATGCTATGGGGGAAAAATAAACATTAATAGTAGAGGCATTGAATACAATTCTTTATTAGGAACCACTGGATGATTGTTTATTCTTTTGGCGCTTAAGATTTAAGAATTAAGTCAGAGTTTTTTGTGAGGTTGCATGCCAAAAAATAACCTTTTTAAACTCTCTTTATAAGATGTATATTTAATGAGAGTGAAGCAGTTTAGTGTTGGAAAACTAGATAGGCTTTGAACTCAGCCATCCACAGAGCTATGTTGAAAGCTGGTCTCATCTAACATCTGCTTTTCGTTGATGTAAAAAGCTTTGCTGCTCAAAAGTGTGGTCGCTGGACAGCGGTCGGTATGGGGCCAACAGCGTTGACATCACCTGACAACACCATTAGAAATGCAGGCTCTCAGGCCCCACTTCAGAGCTACCAAATCTAAATCACCTTTATAAGGCTCCCAGGTGATTCATAAGCACATTAAAGTTTGAGAAGCCCTGGTATAGAGAGGAAAGATCAGGGTTTGAATGAAAGTTCTCCCACTTACCAGCTGGATAAACTTGAGTAAATTATTTTTAGAATGTCATCTGGAAGGGGGCACCTGCGTGGCGAAATCTGTTGAGCATCTGACTCTTGGTTTTGGCTAAGGACATGATCCCAGGGTCATGAGATCAATCCCCGCATCAAGCTCTGTGCTCAGCCAAGCTCTGTGCTCAGTGTGGAGTCTGAGATGCTCTCTCTGCCCCTCCCTCTGCTCACTCTGTCTCTATCTCTCTCAAATAAATCTTTAGGAAAAAAATGACATCTAGAAGGATTAAATGAGGTAGTATGTGTGTAAAACAGAAGGGACTTATCTCCGTGCCTATCAATCGACATTTGCCATCTCCTTTAAAGCCACCAATATGAGAAATTAGAAGGCAATCCTAAGAAAAGATGTTTTTTAAAAAAAGATATTTAGTATTAAAAACTGGAATAAAAATCAGATTTAAATATCTACTATTCGTAAAGTCATTAGCTAGTTAACATGTTCTTGGTCAAGCCATTAATCTGCCTGCTTCAGCCTCTGTTTTTTGGGTTTTTTTCTTAAGATTTTTATTTATTTATTTGACAGCACAAGCAGGGGGAGTGGCAGGACAGAGGGAGAAGCAGGCTCTGCGCTGAGCAGGGAGCCCGATGTGGGGCTGGATCCCAGGACCTTGGGATCATGACCTGAGCCGAAGGCAGGCGCTTAACCGACGGAGCCACCCAGGTGCCCCTTGAGTCTCTGTTCTAAAGTCCTTCCCTTTCTCATGAAGCTCAAATGAGATTAGTATGTACAAAATGATTTTCATATATATTGTACTTTCAGGATTTTAATATAAACTATCCTGTAACTAGAGGCGAAAGAGGTAAACATTGTTGGATTGGTATCTTCATTGACATTAAATTCTGGAATAGTTGCCTTCAGGGAGTAGTAAGGACTCATTTTTTCAGAAACTCACCTCTACCCATCCTCTGCCCCGCTCACTCCTTGCGAAGCAAGAATGAGTAATTCTAAGTGTGTTTTTGTTATAAAGATACTGATTTTTAAAACAGGAGGATGCAGTTCCTTTAAAAAACTGGGCATTTGGGCTTTTTTAACAACGTTGATTTCCTCTTATCAGATACAAAGATGAAAGCGATTATGCCTTACGTTACATGGAGAGTAGCTGGAAAGAGCAGCAGAAGGAAGAAGCAAAGAGGTAAGCACAAAACTTAACACATTTGTGTAGAAATGTCCTGAACATTCCTTTCTGTTTCCTGCTTCAGTTGCATGCACCATTGGGAGCAGGGGCTTTGGGCCACACAGTTCTGAGTTCCAATCCTGCTTACTTACCGTGGGGCTTTAGACAAATTCCTTAGCCTTTCTAAATCTGTCTCCTTGTTTGTAAAATGAGAATTTACTGTTTTTACTTATTAAGGTACTATATTTATATAATATAGATGCACTATATAATAACGTGTACAAGCTGCCTAGTGCAGTGCCTCACCCTTCTGGGCGCACAGTAAGTGCTAGAAGCTGCCTCTGACCCCATTGCAATGTGTTCTTGTCTTTTTTTTTTTTTTTTTTTTAAGATTTATTTATTTGAGAGAGAGAGCAAGAGAGAGCAGGAGCAGAGGCAGAGGGGGAAACAGACTCCCCACTGAGCAGGAGCCTGATGCCAGGCTTGATCCCAGGAACCCGGGATCATGACCTGAACTGAAGGCAAACGCTTAACCGACTGAGCCACCCAGGCGCCCCTCTTTCCCCATCTTGAATTCCCTTTCTGTTATCAGACACATGTCAGTCTTGCTAACCTATACCCCTACCGGCCTTAGGGACCTGAGGAGGGATGGGAATTCTGTCTGATTCCTGTTTGAATACCTAATAACAAACTAATGATAATTTCTTGGTTTGGGGTAACAAGTGATTACTTTGTTTATAGTGTTAACTTGGTAAAATAGTACAATTCAGTCTCGACCCAGAATATTAAACCTTTCTCTCTCTTGCCTTCCCCTCCTGTAACTACATAAAATATCAAAGTGGTGGGAAGGGATAAAAGTAGAATGGTATTTTATTTATTGAATAAACTTTCTTCTGATTTTTAAAAGCTGTTAGGATAAGCAGTTTTTTTACTACTTTACTGGGAACATTAAGGTATTTGGTGTTGAGGTTTTATGTGAGGTCTTTTTTCTATTGTAAGTAGAGTGAGTAGCAGAGGCTCCTAGTAAAAAGTATACCTGCTAGTTCTCAGTGGTAAAGCCTTGAGGCATTTTTAATGCATCAGCACATTCCATATGAGCTCCCAGTTTAAATTTCACTTTTAATTTTTAAAGAGAGTGGTAATTTCATGTATATTGACAAATGCTTCTTTTTTTTTTTGACAGTTTGAGACTAGGTATGCAGGAGGACTTAGAGGAAATGAGACGTGAAGAAGAAGAAATGAAGCGTCGAAAGGCCAAGAAGCTGAAGAAGCGTTAGCTGCTGCTTTTATTTATTTTTGTGAAATTCTGGAGACACTCTGCTGCAAGGAGGTCCTGCCTTCAGAATGAAGAAGCCCCTTTATGATTTTAGATTTATACTTGGGTACTCAAGGAGAAGGAATGCATACTATCATTTGCAGGCTGTCATTGGAGCATGAAGTATTTTCAGATACTTTCCAGGGTTAAATCTGTAATGCAGATGATAGAATGCCCAGTTGAGTGCTCTTAGGAAGTTAACTGTTCACAGGTGCCAGCCTTGATCCTGATGAGCTATGCACTCTGATGTGGGGCCGCTCACCAGTCAGCCAATCTTACATTGTTCCTTTGCTACTTTGAAAAGGAAAAAAAAAAGGATTGCCTCATGACTTCCTAACTCTGCTGTTGTGTGAGTAGGGCACTGCCCGGCTCCCAATCAAACTTACTTTGTCTTTTAATGAGGAACCTGGCCCTTCCATGAATGTTGCCAGCAATAAAGTGACCTGTCCTAATCTATATGTTTGGATTGAGAACTTGAAAATGTAGAGTAGGCTTTATAATTATCGTATGGATGTCATCTCTGTGACTTTGAAGTAAAAATAGAATAAATTATATTGTATTCTGCATTATTCGTGGATTGGATGCTGAGCATTCTTATACACTAATTTAGGTGATAAGGCAATTAACAAAAAAATTTTTTCAAGTTAAAATACAAGTTATGCCATTTAGTTTAAAAATACTTGTTTCCAAGTTTTCCTTTCAGATTTCCTGTTATGTTGGCTTTAAAATAGACAAGGTCACTGTGCTGATTGATTTTTATCTAAAAAATTCATTTTTATATTGAAGAAAAATGCTTATTTTATTCAAACATTAGATTTGGTAGAGTAATAGTTTAAAAACTGAGGAAGTGACATGTGAGACTCCCCTCTTCCCTCATTCTAAAAATATTTTGGAAAAAGGTGCCCCTGTACCTCTTGATATTAATGACCGTGTTTTATCTTAAGTTCTTTAGCAATTAATGGCAAAAACCAAAAACTAAATCCATGTGTATCAAGAGCACCACCTTCTCTTTTTGCCCATATTGCACTTTTATTTCAAACTATGCACTGTGAAGAGATTTTTTTCCCAGGTAGAAAAGGATGTTCCCTGTTACTAGTGCTTTACTGGGCTGTGGAACTTTCTTCATTCTCACTTTTTTTCAAGTCGTATTTGTAGACTTGATATCTCTTAAGCCTCAAATCCAGGCAGTTCCAATCAGGCTGACATAGATTCTGGCTGGAGAGAAGCCAAGTCTAAAGGAAAGTCAGCAATAGAAAATGAGATATGATGATGCTAGAGAACATTTGTCCTTCTTGATTCTAAATGTGGAGGGTTGGGGGCAGTGGGACATAAGCTTGCAAAACAGTTCCAAACGTTGCTTTCATGTATTCCTTTTTATCCATAAAGCTTTCTTTATTCTTCAAGTTTGGTAGTATAGATTACTATTGTTAGCCTCCTTTAATGGGACAACCATGTGACCCAGACCCTTAAGACTCTGACTCATTTTGAATTGAGTTTCAAATTTCAGAAGTGCAAGGATTTAACTTTGAAGCTGAATCCTATGAAAGAGGTCTTCATCACTAGGAATAACACCTTTTCTAATGATCCACATGGAACTGTTAACACTGGCAGAAAATCCTGTCAACTGCCTCTCACCCATCTCAAATACCTTCAGTGAAATTGGTTTAAGGATAGTGTGATATTCATGTAATGAAACAGGTTTGGAACATTATTTCCTTTGCTGTCACTTTTGTGCCCCCCCCAAATGTTTTTTTCTTGGATGTATTTTTTCAATATTCAGACTCTTTGAAAATCTATTACAATCAAGTGCTTATCATAGCCGAAAGATTTCTCGTGGCTTAAAGTTTACTAGCACTTTACTCATTGTGCAGTTATTTGTACATAAAGGCACCACTGTGCTAGGTAAAAGTTCCAGAACTTTATAATACTCCAGAAGTATTATAAGAGATGCTACTATCCTAGAGTCAGGATTACATAGTGTTGCTCATGGATTTTGAGTTCACGTTTCTTTCCATAAAGAGTCAGGTTGTGTCCTTAGGCGTTATCACTTTTGAGTGCATTTCTTCTACAGATGATATTATTCTTCAGCATCAACATTATAAAAGGGCACTTCTGTAGCTCAATTAAAAAGAAAGTCCTGAGAAAGTCTTTTAAATTAGTCTTGGCCTTGTTTCCAAATCTTGTCTTCCATTTTGTTCTGCAGTTCCTAACCACTCTTACAAAAAGCCCACAAATCTTTGAAGAAACTGGAATAAGCTATTATTTTATTAAGGTTTACAAATTAAGTGCTTGGTTTTTAATGTATCCTCTACCACTTTGGTTTTCAGATTTTATTAATTCAGTATCTGAAGATGTGCCTTTTATTGGGTAATGTTAATTCACGAATGTAGTAATGTTATTTCACGACTGTAATGTTACATGATCATGGGTGTGGCATTCTCTAACAGATGATGTGAAAGGAAAGTAGTTTTCATAAAACTCATATGGCTCTGATTGCACAGTCCCACTTGCTTTTGATATTGCTCTGTCAAAGCAAGGGGCACTTTCTTTTAAGGCTACTTTCAGAACTTGTCTTTGTATTTTCTCTAAACTATAAATGCAGTTATGTCCATTTGGAGGCCAGGGTACCACATGTCACAGACAGCCTTACATGTGTGCCATGAGAGGGTTCAAAGACTGTTAACAAAAAAGAAAGTCTATGGGAACTCGAAATTTCATTTTTTAAATGTTACCCCAAGATTTTCTCCAAGAAATCACTGTTTTGTATTTTGTAACTTAAAAGCAGCTATTAGTACATTTCTGAGATATAGCAGGAGACCAAAACATGTTTGGAAAGAGAATAAATATATGAAGAGAGACTGGTTGGTTTATTTTCAATGTGCTGAATATATTAGACTACTATTTATTTTGTGAGTGGATGTGATAAAATAAATATTCAGGTGTTTAGTGTATGATTAAGAGTGATATATAGATTTCTTTGGAGTTATTAAATCCATCATGTCTTTTACATAATGGACAAATCAAGTTTTAAAAAAAAAACATTTACATAGCTTAGCTTGTTTTCTGGTGCTGTTGACCTGCAAGAGAATCTACTTTTGCATATACAGGTGAAAGTTTTGCAATTTATGTATAAAAGAAATTGTAGGCATTAAAAATATTTTATTGATATTTTCACTGGTTTGCCTTTATTTACCAAAACTCAGATATTCCCTCTTTCATCGCCGTGAACATTTTCCCAGCTACACCCTCCAGTAGACTCATCAGACTTGAGATGGGGTTTGCCTCCTTACACACACACACCTCTGTTCATTCTCCCTGACACATTCATGTCTGCTCAGTCCCCACAACTGACACCTCTCCCCGCCCCCCACCAGCTTAAGAGAGCTGGTCTGCTACCAGACACCCAAGTTAGAATTGTTTGGAGGTACATTCAGGAAACTGGAGGGAAGAAGAACTGGGTATATAGTTCTTCTTGTCAAGAAAAGGAGCAGGTTCTGATCCCCTATAATAAAAAGAGCCTGAAACAGTCAACTGAGAAGATGAATCCTTTGGAATATATGAGGCAAGTGGGCACAGCCATGCAGCCAGAATGTAGGCACTTAACTCGATGGGATACATTGGGTCTCAGTCACATAAGAAGTATTATAAGAGATGCTACTATCCTAGAGTCAGGATTACATAGTGTTGCTCATGGATTTTGAGTTCACGTTTCTTTCCATAAAAAATAAGGGCAATTCATTCAGGGCACAGGGCCACTTAAAAATAGTTTAGCAAACATGTACCAAATAGTCATCAACAAAATGTTACCTGCATAACCAAAAGATCTACTTTGGTGGTAAGGATGCCCTTCTGAACAATGGAACTATCAGTTGTCCCCAGGCAGCCACAGAATGGGAAAAGTTCCATACAGTTTGTTTCAAAAGTACTTGCTCTTATTAGGTTCGCCCCCCTCCCCCCCACTCCCCTCTCAGGGTCAGAAAATTCCATACCACCTCTACAGGGCTTATGAGGAATATCCTAAGGCTCAAACACTCAGAATAACTGCATGGGTCTTATACTTAGGTTTCCATCCTTGGTCTCAAACTCAAACTGAATCATTGAGACTGAGCAGTTGGCTTTTGTTTCTATGCGTGCTGCCCTGTATTAGCAGCAGTCACTGCTAAAAGAATCATCAGGCACCTTCTTGGCTATTCAGGTGAGGGAGGCATTTGAGCCAAGAGACAGCCAAGGTCTTGGATATTCCAGGCTCTTGTTTGGCTCTTTTCCTTGGCACGTAGAAACATGAAAGGAGAAGGTCTGGATCTTAATCTTGACTCTGCAACCCAGAGCTGTGGGGCTGGTAAGATTCCTGAACCTTTCAACTTCATTTTTTTGCCATTTTGTTAAATGAGGCCAGTGGCCAAGCCAGAAGGTTATTATAAGGATTAAAATAATGTATAATTAAGCACCAAATATTAAAATGCAGCCCTTTCCTCACACAGTGTAAGCCTTAGGTTTTTGATAATAGCTGTGAAAAGGCCACAGAGAAGTATCCCCAAAGGATAGGCTTAGAGTTGCTGTAATAGCCTTTTCTGTAACATTTTTTCAATGCTGGACGCAGGAGAAAGCCTATACTTGGGAACTAGGTCTAAGGAACTTTAGAGAATTTCTATCCTTAAGGATACAAAATAGGGGGCAAATTGAACGAGGTATCTTAGTCTTAATGTCAGTCTTAGAGACTGAAATGTAGGGGACCCAATCACATTCATCCACCCCAACTACCTCCCTACCCTTCATCTCCCTGTTTCGAGCTAACAGAATACCAAGTCTTCATCTTAAAAAGTACAGTAACTTTTTACATAAAATGTGACAAAATAATGTGCAATTACTTTATGTGAAACCAACAACAGGAACTGTACAGCTGGTCAGGTGAGCTTCAGAGCTGCATTACTTCACCAGGATCATCTTTGCTTATTTCCACCGGGGTCTAGGGGGGAGAAAAGTATGTCAGGTGGGCCTTACCTAGTGTTTGCTGGGGTGTGGGGATGAGGCAATTGCCCTCCTTGCTGTCCAATTCTGCCTCTTAATGCCTCTGATCCCAGTTGCCAGAGGGGTGTAGCCATGGGGGAGGTGACAAGAGGCCAAAAAAGAACAAATATCCAAGGCCTAACAGGAAGAGAGAAGATCTCTAGCACCAGAACCACTTTATCGACCACCGTTTACTCAAGGAGGGCGAGTTAGGTCTGGGTTGCTGGTGTGAGCTGATTTAAGAAATGGTACTGAAGCCTGAGCCCACAAAATGGCCCCCTGAGCACCAGACAAGGTCACCCATGTCAGACAGCTTTGACTCTGGGCCTAAGATATCTATACCTCTACACCTCTAGGTTCTTTGAAACTGAAGAATGTAAGACTAAAGACTCCTAGGAAAATATGTATAAAAGAAAGACATGAAAGACAGAGGAACTCTCAGATAGTGAATGATAATAGAAGTATGTAAGCTACCACCACTTTCTTAATAAAGAAAAGACTATTTGTTTTCTAAAGTTACTAGAGTTGGATTTTGATGCTTAGCTCATTGATCTGGGGGAATACATTCCAAAGTAGGAATAGAGAACAAAGTTGAAAGCATACTTACCCCTCCTGGGGGATACTTATATCCCTTCCACATGGTTCCTGCAATGAGAAGCAACCATAAGATAACAATCATCGTGGGGCTTCTTGCTCAGCTGGTGGTGTGTGCTGGGGAAAATGGGTGGTTCTGAAAGGTGTGGTGTTCTATCTCCTGAGCCCTGGGAACTGGGCTGTCTTCATTCAAGACCAGAGGGTGGATCGCCCAGCATGTCAGCTCCTGGCTGGAGAGCTTTGTGGTCTAGTCTGAACTGCAATGGCTCGCCATGGCCATTTTGGGGGGTAGAGCTCAGACACCAATTGTGACATCAGCTCTTGTGACCTTGGGGGAACCAGTCAGAGTGAGTAGCTATGGGACAGTTGGCCAGGATGCCTGGCCTGTTGGGGCCAAAGAACCCTAACAGAAGGGCCCTGTTCACTGGTGACCCTACGTGGTTAGGATTTAGCCAGCATCACATCTTTATTAACTCATCACCTATCAAAATATTAACTATTGGTTTTATGCAATCAGATGCAAAAAGCATTGCTATGCAAAAAACGAAACAAAACAAAAAATATCCTGGGTTAATTGGGACGATTGTCTAGGCATGCTGTGAGCAATTACTTTATATACTATTGCTAGGCTATTTGAAAAAGAAAAATCTTGCATTTTTGGAAACACCACAGTTAAACCCTCATTATGCAGGGTATGCTTCCTCACAACCTCCCTGGAAAGGGAAGAGAAGGAAGATGGGCTGTTATGCTCATTTCACAGTTGGAGAACCTGAGGCGCAGAACAGTTTCAGTGGTTTGGTCAGGATCAGGTGGCTCAGCTAAGCAAGTGCCCAGTGCCTCCATCCACAACCCCACCCCCACAAAGGTCTGAGTGGGTCACTACTCATACAGACATTCTGAGGCAGGTGGAGAGAAAAAAAAGAACCCTCATGCCTTGTTCTTAGTATCGCTGGGGTTGGGACTTGATGCCCCTGCTGTCCAGAGTAGCTTCCCAGAAAACCTGCTTCTGTAACCGGCTTATTACTAAGACTTTAAGTTTCTTTAACAGTGGGAACATCTTTGAAAAAACAGGTCTGAATGAAAGGGAGTGGGATGTGAGAACCCCAGGAGATGTTTGCTAAAAGGAGACTGTATTCATGTTTCCTAGAGGCAGGCTGGTCTAGTGGAATGAGTGTAAGAGGCTATTCGGTCCAGAGACCTAGGCTTGCATCCCAGCTTCATAAACGAGTTGGTCTGTATGGCCTTGGGTAAATAGAGGTTGTTGTCACCAGTAAATCTTTGTTCCAGTTCATTATTTTGCTTAGTTGTTAAGTAAGCATTTAGTAAATGCTTTGCATCAAATGCTTGACATGAATTCCCAAATGCAATCCTCCCAAGAATAGTAAGATACTGAGCTATCTCCATTGGGCAGATGAAGAAAGTGAAGTTTAGAGAGATTCAGCCTTCCCAAGGTCACAGAGTGAGGAGCAAAGTGAGGGCTTGAACTCATTCACGGTAACTCCAGTCTTGGGATCTGCCAAAAGGATGCTGAAAATACTCACCCAACTTCTTATAGTTTGTGAGAAAAGAAGTTAATAGACGGGAATGAAAAGAATACCTAGGAGATGTGCTTAACCAATCTTGGAACCTTGGCCTGCTGCCCAAAGCAGGGCTTGCCGTCTTCTTCCCCCACCGCATACCTCCAACCACTTCCCCTTTGACAGCGGATTGTTTCCCAGGGGGAAATAAACTCTCCACTGAGATTTCAGGGTGTTGCCGCATTCTCTGGAAAGGGAGGAGTTGAGTCCAGCAAACCTGACCACTCACTCAGAGCTGTGGGTCTTCATCCAAAGTCCAACTCCTCAGTCGCGTCTTGTTCTCCTGAACAGGCCACTTCTCTTTCCACTTCAGAGTTGGAGGCTGAGTCAGAAAGAAATTTAAAGGCAGAAGTGGTTCTCTTTGTTGGCCTAGTAGGTAACAGCCTCTGTATGACTGCAAGGGCTGTTGGGAGGTCCCGCCAATGACCACATTCCCTTTCCCACCAGCGACCACTCATCTACTTGGCCTGAAACCCCCCCTCTCCAGCAGACCCCTTATAAACTCCATAATGCTTTGAGATAAGTGCTGTTATGTAGCCAAGGGGCAGGTGGAACTTAAAGCTATCCCAAGGGGATGAGAAGTAGCCTGGGAAACTAACTTTGTTCCCATTGCATCATGACCTCTAATTAGTGGTGCGACCTCAACTATCCTTCCCCTTTGATGGGAAATCCCAGCTGGGAAGGGGAGCCAGAGCCAGGACTGACTACTACCAGGGACTCACAGGCAGGGTCATTACTTACCATGAACTCCGGAAATGCGCCCATATAACATGCAAGCCCAACAAAAAGCATCCAGCCAAGCACGATCATGACAACAAGTAAAACAATGTCTAAGACACAACTGCACAGTGAAAGACTATTCACGGAGATCTTGGCAAAGGAGTGTGCTCATGAAACCCTCAGTTGGTAGAGGTCTTGCATGTCAGTTCCAGTCCTTGGCTCCAAAGGATCCACAACGCCCTAGTGGAGAAGTTGAGAGTCTAGTAGGGCATTGTGACATCATTGGTCACATGGCCCAGACTCACATGTCAGAGAGACTGCTCCCAGACCAGTAGCTGAGCAGCAAACTAAGCTTTTTGTATGCATTCTCTTATAGCAACAATACGAAGTAGGTACTATTATCAAGCCCATTTACTAAGAAGACTGAAGCGTAGAGAGCCTAAGTGACTTACACTAGGTCACAAGGCCGATGCTCCAGATCAGGGCCAGGACTCAGAGCCCAGCTACCCGTTAGGAAGCTGGGCTCCTTAGACTACAGACAGGGATCGGTAAGGGTGTGAATGGAATAAACTGAATTCTAAGGAAATGAGACATCTCTTATTTCTGTCCCTCCAACTCATCATCTCAAGAGCTCTGTCACCACCATTTTATACCATTCTTCAATATTTTGGGGCAGTAACTCTCTGCTGGTTCTCCTCTCGTGGCCTTCAAGAAGCCACAAGAAGTCCTTTCCTTTCCTTTCCTTTTATGACTGGACTGCTTAAACAAGTGGTCCACACTTAAAGCCTTTCTTCCCAATCTCTACCTTTCTTCCATATATCACATTCTGACTTCTGGCCTCCACGCCACTACTTAGATGCTCTCAGATGTTACCAAAGATCTCCTTTTTGTCAAGTCTAATGACCTCATCCTCATCCCTTTGACCTCCCTGTACTGTCACAATGGACCCTTCCCTCCACCAGAATTCTTTCTACAGACACATGTCCCTATGTGTTATTTTGATATCCCCTTTATTTTCATTACTTGTTTTAACGATGAAAATAATAGGTGCTCATGGTAAAACATGAACCCACCTGCACACATATAAGAAAAATTTAACAATCTCCCCTCTTTTTCCCCTCAATTCCCATCCCCATGAGGTACCCAAGCCTGGTGTGTACCCTTCTACCAAAGAATCCTCCATGAGCTTGCAAACATCACTACACATATAGAGGGATATAGAGGGCTTCTTTTCAGTGTTGCTTTATTAACGGTGATCATAGTATCTATGCTACTATGCACCTTGCTTTTCTCCTGTTAACAACAATACATCATGGACATCCTCCTGGGTCAATGGACAAAAAAATCTAAACACATTCCTTTTTTTTTTAATAATAAGCTTTATTGAGGTATAAATCACATATGATAAAATTCACTCCCTTTTAGTGTGCAGTTGATGAGTTTTGAAAAATGTGTCAATCTCGTAACTACCACCACCATCAAGAGAGAGAAAAATTTCAATCATCTCAAAAAGCTCCCTGTGCCCCTTTGCAATAGGTCTCCTCCCTTGAACTCCCCGCCCCCCTGGAAACCATTTATCTGCTTTTGCATTTTCCAGAACTTCATATAAAGAGAGTTATAGGCTCACTCACTGGCTTCTTTCACTTAACATAATGCTTTTAAGACTCATCCATGTTGTACAGTAGTTTGTCCTGTTTTATTGAATGAACATATGGCCCACTGCGTGGACATTGCAGTTTATCAATTTACCTGTCAAAGAACATTTGGGTTGTTTCCAATTTGGGTTATTATGAGTTTGGATTATTATAAATCTTTGGGTACAGTTTTTTGTGTGAACGTAAGTTTTAGTTTCTCTAGGGTAAATCCCAGCAGGGGTATTTGAATCATGTGCCTGTTAAAAAAACCTTTATCACTAGTTCTCAGCAATTTTACTTTGCTGTGCCTGTGTAATTTTCTGCATGTTTCTTCTATTTGGAGTTCAATGAGCTTCTTGGAACTGTGGGTTTATGGTTTTCATCAAATTGGGAAAATATCTGCCTAATATTTCTTCAAGTATTTTTTTCTGCCTCCCTGTCCCTCTCTATGACCTCCATTACATGCGAGACCAGTAACCAGTGTGAACATGTCCCACAGCTTGCTGTGGCCCTGTTCATTTTTGAGTCTTTGTCTCTCTCTGTGTTTCATTTTGGATAGTTTCCATTGCTTTCTTTTTCAAGGTCACTCATCTTTCCCCTATAGTGTCTAATCTTCTGTGAATCCCATACAGTGAATTTTTCATTTGACATTGTATTTTTTCATCTCTTCAAGTTCAATTTGTCTTTTAAAAAATTCATTTTTTTCCACATCATGTTCATGTTTCCCTTTGCATCTTTGAGCATTTTTATAAGATTGATAATAAACATTTTAAGGACTCCATCCACATTATCTACCATCTCTATCATTTCTGGAGTTGTTTTGATGGTTGATTTTTCTTTTTGTTATGGGTGATTTTTTCCTACTTCTTTGAATGCCTGGTAACTTTTGGTTGGATGTCAACACGGTGAATTTTACAAGGCTGTCTGCTGGACTTGGCTATATTCCTTTCAGTGGTGTGGGGTTTTTTCCAGGATGTTTGGTATCAGTTTGATTCTTCAGAGGCTTGTTTTAAGATTTGTAATGGTAGGCAAAGAGCAGCTTTTACTCTGAGGATAATTATCCCCATCACTGAGCTATGACCATTCTGATGCCCACTGGGCACTCTCTCTGATGCCTATTGTGTTCAGTCTTTCAAATCTGTGGAATTTTCCACAACTCCTAGCCCTTTTGAGAGCTCCAAGAAGTGTTTGGCCTGCTGTTTCTGGGTGGTTCCTGTCCTGGCCTCATGGAGTTTTCGTATGCACAGACAAACTCAGCCAAAGACTTACAAGGACCCCTACCCCTACGGAGATCTCCAGAGTTCTCTCTCTGTGGAACCCCTTTTTCTCCAGGACCCCATCCTGCAAATTCCTGGTACTCTGGCCTCCTTTGTATTCTGCTATCTTTCTTTACAACTCTGCAAGACTAATCTTGGTTTGGGTAGCCCCATTGTGCTGCAGTCTGAAAACCACTTCCAGACAGTAGGCTGGGGCAATTGTAAGGCTCATCTCCTTTATTTCCTGTCTCTCAAAGTTCATAGGCTTGTGCTGCTGCTTGTGCAAGATCTGAAAACAATCATTTCATATATTTTGCGCAGTTTTCTACTTGTTTATGGAGAGAAGGCGACTCCTGTAGCAGTTGATCCTTCCTAGGCAGAATGCAAAGGAATCCAACTTATCCTTTTTTAATTTCTGTGTAACAGTCCACATTTATTTCCTCTTTCTCCTAATGATGACTATATCGATCAAGAGATGGAAACCACACAGTAATTTCAACAGAGAAAGTTTAATAAAGAGAATTATTAACTAGGAACAAGACATTAACTAAGGAAAAGGCAGAAAGCTCTACCTACACAGAAACAGCACATACAGGGAGCAGTTACCACCTCGAAGGCTGAGGCAAAGCACCCAAGGGAGAAACAAACTTGTAAGAGTCCCTCCCCTCCGGAGCTGAGATCCAAAACTGGTTGAAGAAGTGGTGGCCATCACCGACTGGATGGTAGAGAAATCCAATCAGCTGCAGGCCAGACCTGACAATTAGAGAATCACCAGATGCTGGTGAAATTTGCCAGGAAGTCTCCAGAGGGGCTTCTGGGAGGCTCACTGATCACTGCTGAGAATCTGCCAGCAGAATATACCAGGAAGCTACCCCGTGAGGTGCTGGTGGTAGAACTCAAGGCAAACTGTTCAGTGGCAGGGACGCCATTGAAACTCAATGGAAAACAGTCCATAGAGAGGCCACTGAAAGTCAACAGGGGTGAGCACCACTGGATAACCCCCACGTGCCGCTGGCAGCCGCAGAGCAGAACCAGGAGAAACAAAGGCACACTGGAACCAGGAAGAGAAGTTTCTTCCTCCTACAGTAGCTCCCCAAGGCCCTCTATTGCTAAAACTTAACATCATGCCCACTAGCAAGGAAAAAAGGTTTACAAGGTCCATTACAGCAGAGCAAGCAGTGAATGGTGGATTCAGAGCTGAAGGACAATGAGTTCATAAACGGCACAATGTGCATTTAGGTTTTCTCCCATTTTTTATCACCATAAACAATGCTGTGATTGTTAAACAAAATTTCTTAGAAAATTTCTTCTGAGGATTGCCAGGTTTTTACTTGTTAACCAGGAAAGCCGCAAGATGACAAAAAGAGGATGCCAGTTCAGATAGAGCATGAAAATGGAGAGGCTAGATCAAATCCTTCCAAAAAAAGAACTAGTGTAAGAAAAGAAAGCTTACAATTTCATTTCATAAGGACAAAGGATGTCTTTCAAAAGACAAAGGATGTCTGTGGCAGGATCGCCTGAGATGCAGCATACGCTGTCAGTCAGTGAACAACAACATAAGCTCCATACATCTAAGTGAAGGATACTGGTTTTTGATGCACATATTTTTTAAATTTTCATGAGGACTAATTTACTTATTTTTTTTCTTTTGTTGCCTATGCCTTGGTGTCATATCCAAGAAATCACTGCCAAGTCCGATGTCATGAAGTTTTTTCCTATGTTTCCTTCTAAAAGTTGCATTGTTTCAGGTCTTACATTGAGGTCTATGATCCATTTTGAGTTAATTTTTGTATATGGTGTTAGATAAGAGTCCAATTCATTCTTGCATATGGATATCCAGTTTTCCCAGTACCATCTGTTGAAAAGACTGGCCTTTCCCCCATTGAATGGTCTTGGCACTCTTGTCAAAAATCATATGACCATGAATGCAAGGATTTATTTCTGGGATATCTATTCTATTCCATTGGTGAGGTACTTAGAGATGTCAAAATCATAGAGACAGAAAATAGAGTGGTGAGTCGCCAGGGGCTGGGAAGAGGAAAGAGTAGGAAGGTATTATTTAATAGAAATAGAGTTTTAGTTTTAGAAGATGAAAAGCACTATGGAGATGGGTGGTAGAGATGGCGGGGCAACATTATGAATGTATTTAATGCCAGTGAACTGTACATTCAAAAATGGTTACGATGGTAAATTGTACGTTATGTGTGTTTTACCACAATAAAGAAATGGGGGAAAAGAGAAGTAAATGATAAGGACACATGTGTCTGATATTTGGAATACCAGGGGTTTCATCCCTGAACAGTATGTCTGACAGGACCAATAACTATGAAAGCAAAGAGTGTAAACAGAGTCAGAAGCAGAGCCCCAAGAAAAAAATTCCTATTTTAAACAAGCCATTCTTGTGACTTTTCTCAAGCTGCAAACAAAGATGCAGAATATACACTTTTCCCATTTCTTAGTTTGGGGATCTTTTTTTTTTTAATTAACATCTTTGTACCTGTGTCTTGGGTACTTTTATTTCGGTAAGACAAATTTCCAAAAGTAGGGTTATAGAGTCAAAGGTATGTCAGATTACATCGCCCAAAAGTTGTAGCAAATTGTGCTCCCACGGACTACATTTGAGTTTCTTAAACCAGGGTGCAAGGATGGGCTTCAGTGGATCCCTGAACATTCCTGAAATTGGACACAAAATGGACTGCATATGTTGGCATGTACATTTTTCTAGAACAGGTCTGTATCTTCCAACAGATTTTTTTCTAAAGTCTGCAACTCTAATAAGGCTGAGAACTAGTACACTATACCATCTTCTCCCTATGGCTTTGGTCACCTTACACCATTCATTCAGCAAACTTACCAAATATCAGAAGAATGAAGACATGCATAAATTCAAGCATGCTAGGCACTGGAAATACAGATATAAATGAGATTTGACAGCTATCTGTCAGGACCTTACAGTCTTTGGGGACAGAAAGAGGGGAAGAGATGGAAGTAGTCCGGTACAATAAAATATCCCAGGCAGGGCATTAAGGCATGAAGCACAGAAGACATGACATGCTTGGGGGAAAGTGAATATTTCAGCCTGGTTAGATTACAGGATGAAATAATGCCAAATTCTGGATGTGGATGCTAATCACAACTTCACACACAGGGAAGCAGCAAAATGCACAGAGAAGGAACATGGTCTCTGACACCACCTTCTGCAACAATTTAACCTTTCTGAGTCTTGGTTTCCCTATCTGTAAAATGGAGCCAATTATACCATATATCCTCTATTTTAAGGTGCATACTTTTTCACATTTCAGCTCTTTTCAAATAGATGTAAGTATTAAAATTGGTATTTATATTTAATTTTGTAACCTTTTCTCTCCCAAAACTTTGTCAATAATATATCTCTTACTCAACAGGATCTCAGAAACAAGGAAATAGGTAATACAACCCCAAACCTCAGTTTCCTCGCCAGTAGAATGATCTATCTAGGTCATAGGGTTCTGAGAAGATTAACTGTGATAAAGCACATAAAACTCTAAGCAACGTACCTTCCACACAGGAAATGATGGCTACAAACACACACACACACACACACACACAGGCATAAAGTGTTCATAGGGCCTATAAGTCATTCGTAGTGACTAAACCAGAAGAGAATGAGCTGTTTGGATGGAAGACATCTTCCATAAATGGTTCTTCCATCAAATATTGAAGAACCTTGCGAAGGCCTCACTTCTAACGTGGTGTCTTTTCCTTGATTACTGGATTTCTGACAGGGTCTGTTAGATCTTAGAGGCCCTGGAAGTCCCATCATTTCCTAGGTTTGTTTATCCGCCTGAGGTGCTCTCGGAGGCCTCTTATCTTTCAATCTTCTCCCCTCCTACCTTCTCTCCTGGCTCCCTCTCTCTCCCCACATCCAGTCTCTACAAGGCAGCAGTCAGACCTATTCTTTTAAGACTCAGTCACATTACTTCTCCGTTCAAAACCTTCCAGTGGCTTCCTCTTTCTCTCAGAGTAAAAGCCTGAGAAAGAAAAAAGCAGCCCGCAAAATCTGGGAACTGGTCTGACCCAGCCAAGAAGGTCTCCATGTTGTTAGAAGTTGACCCGGCACTCACGGCTAGGCTATGTTATTCTCCTGCTGGATAAAACAACCTCACAGAACACAAACACCAGACAGGGTCACTCAGACCATGATAAAATGAGACCAAATAAGGCCAATTCATAATTTTGTCTAAGCAGAGACAAACCAAAGGTCCCTGTGCAGCCCATGAAATACCGAACATCCTCTTCTCTCTGCTAATATGAGTGACTGCTTCTTCTTTACCAATTACTGCTTTATCCTTGCTCTAGTTTGCCCATTGTATAGATATTTATTGAGCTATCCAATCACAGAACTGTCTCTGCTTTCTGACAGCACCCAATCCAAAGTGAAGTTTCACTTCATTAAATCCTCCCCCAAGTCACCCAAAGCCCCAATCCTATAATAGGTCTTTCTCATACTCCTGGACTGAGCAGTCCCAGTGGTTCTCCACAGCATCTGCTCCCTCACTGCAAAGAGTAATCAACCCAACTTATTTAAGGGTGAGCGTTCCTGATGCTCTTCTGGCTGGACAGCATTGACAAGCCAGAGTCCCAAATGTCTACAAAGGCCCCACAGTGATTCTCAGACTTCACCATGCATTAGAATCACCAGGTTTGTCAAAAATGATCACTTGAACCACTCCTCCCCCAGAGTTTCTGACTCTGTAAGTCTGGGAATTGGGTCTTAGAATCTGTACTTCTCCCAAGTTCCAGGTGATGCTGAGGCTGTGAGTCTGGGGGCCACACTGCAAGAATCACTGCCCTAACCCATCTGTTTCTCCCTTATTTCTCTGACTTAGCCTACTTCTGTTTCCTCACCTCTTACTTCATTCTACTCCAGCCACAGTTGGCCGTTTTGAGCTCACACCTGTCTTAGGACTTTGCTTTGAATGCCCTCTAATATAGAACACTTAATCTCTCACCTCTCAAGGAGACCTACCCTGATCTCCTTATCCTGCCTTTTAAAAATTGATTCCCCACAACACTTAATTACCTTCCAGCATATGATCTAATTTATTTATTTACTATACGTATTGTTTTGCTCTCCTCCTAATAAAAGAATGACAGCCTTAGGACAACCAATATTTTTGTCTATTTTGTTCACTGCTGTATCCTCAGACCTAGAAAAAGATCTAGCAAATAGTTAATGCTCAACAAAAGTTTGTTGAATGAATAAATACCCTCTCCAGACTCTATTTTCTTCTAATTGAGTCACAGCATTCCTGCCTCTGGCTCTCCCTGTAAATACAATCATCGTCTTGCTTACCCATCCTCCTGACAGTTACAATATCCATCTTCTGCGACTTTTTAAGCCCAGTGGCCCAAATCAGGGATAAAGCAAGTAAGTAAATCACAAGTCAAGGAGACCAGACAAAGCCAGCAAATTGCATTTCTTCGTCTTCTCTATGTGGATGATCTTATCCACCAATCTACCTCTTCTCTTGTTCTCAAACTCTTTTTCTGCCCTAGCTTTTCCCTCTCTGTGCCACCAACAGTTACGGCGCCCCTCCTTTAAAAAAAAAAAAAAAAAAAGGCAACTCCTCCCGGCATGCTGCACCAACCCTCACAATCTCCCAGTTTTTCGACAATGCTCCTTCTGACTCCATTTTCCCTTTCTAGCTCCCTGAAAATTTGCTTTTGAAGTCCCGTTACCTCTTCCTTCCTAAATCTAACGATAATTTTTGGTCTTGATCTTTCTCGATACTCTGCTGAATTTAACACACCCTTCTAGAAACTCTCTTCCAAAACAGCGCGAGTTGCTTCTACCTCCTTTACTGCTTCTCCTCGGGTCCTTCCTATTCCTCTCCTTACAGATGTCCCCAAGTTTCCTTCCAGCAAGCCGGGTCGTGGCCCCGGGGCGCTAACGCTTTTCCGACCGCGCTCAGGGTCCACTCTGGGGCGCTGGTGCGACTCCCGGGCGGAGCTGCCGCTGAGCCTGGGCGTTGGACGCGGGCGGACTTTCGAGCCTGGGAAGGGGCGTGGCCTTGGGCCGCTCGGGAGGCTTGGACCTCGGCGGCCTCCGTCCAGGGGTGGGCCCGGAGGGAGGTCCACGGGCTGGAGTCGCAGAACCTGGCTCCGGGACGTGGATGGAGATGGAGTTCGACTGCGAGGCTCTCAGACGGCTACTGGGCAAGGTACGAGCAGCCCGCCGGGCCGGGTCTGGGGCGCCGGGGTGTCGGGGCCGGGCCGCCTCGTCAAGGCGTTTCCCCGGCTCGTCCCGGGGTTTGGAGCGGAGGCGGGCTGGCCTGAAGCCGGCTGCGGGGAGTGGCCCCCGGGAGGCTGCGGGTCTCTCCCTCCCGAGTCCTCAGTCCCGGGGCGGGGCCTGTGGCTCCGCCCACGACTCCGAGGCCCGCGGCCTCCACCGGGAGGGAGACTTTCTCACGCCACCAGCGTCTCTGGTTCTCAAACAGCGTCCAGCACTCGCCTGTGCCTTTAACCACGCCTTTCTCTCTGCTGCTACGGCCTGCCCCTTTTTTCTTGACTTGCCATCTCTTTTCTGAGATTCAGCTCAGATGTCACTCCCTGCAGGGTGGAATCACGCCCCTCGCTCTGCTTGCTTTCAGAAGTCTGGATTATCACGTTGTGGAGTAATTATTTTATTTACAATGATTTATTTACTCATGCGGTGTACTCACCGCAGAGACGGTGCTGTTGTGTTCCCTTCCCTAGCACTGTGCCTCACCACAGCGGAGGGGCTAAATCAGTGTGCAGTGAATTAGTGACTTGAGTAGGTATAGGAATGAAAACGGGGCTTGCAGGCCCAGAAGAGATCCTCTAAATGTTTGAAAGGTTGAGCGGGAGGCCTGACCCAGAAGTCTAACCTACATTTCTGGGGCATGACTAGCACCAGTTTCCAGGTTAGTCCGGGCTCTTGGTCCAGGCTCTGATTTCCCACCAGTGTACATTCTGAGGCAACCCCTCTCTCGCTGGCTTTCTAATTAAGTCATTCTTAATGCTTCCTTAAGACTTCTCCATGCAGAAGCCATACATGCATGCCATTTTTTTGGATTTGTCTTAGTTGGGGCAATTTGCACATCTGTGCGAGGTTATGAAGCCTCATGACTGAACGTGTTTATTTAATTGATCTGAATGATTTTATCTATTGTGACAGGTATAAATTTTGTAGGAAGAGAAGTATCATGCTTACGACTACACCCTTTGTGTCTCCTCTTCACAGAACCTCTCTATCAAGTTTTTTAATGAGGGGAGCATGATCTATTGTTCGGTGGGAAGAAATGTTAAAGTTGAGAGTAGAAAAAGAACTTTATAATTTTTCCCTCATTAGATTAGCATGAATTAAGATAATTTGAAATGATGTGGAGAATGTGGATGAATGGGACTTTTAAACACTGCTGGTGGTTAAATGGTTATTCAACCATTTTGGAGAACAATTTGGCCTTGTTAATTTGATTATGTGTGATTTATATCCCTTCTACATCTAGGCAGATACCATAGAGAACTCATAGTATATGAAGCAACAGACATTTGCAGAATTATCTATAACTAAAAATTAGAAACAACCCAAATGTGCATTAACAGAAAGAAGGGTAATTTGTTGTATATTCACACAATGGAAAACATTACTGTGTGGCAGTGAAAATGAGCTGCAACATGCCACAATACAAATGAATCTTAGAAACATTATATTGAGTGAAAAAAATTGGAAGTTAAATGCAAAATTATAATTTTATAAAGGCAACAAAATTAAAATTAAATAACAACTAAACAAACAATAGTGTGTTGTTTAGGGATACACACGCATGTGTGATAAAACCAGAAGATGAAAGCAGAGGAATGTAAATACATTTTAAAGGGAGGCAGTTGAATGGGTAAGAGGGGCATTCAGACAGATGTAATAGTATTGGAGGGGTCTGTGCTGTCTAATAGAGTATCCAGTAGCCACAAGTGGCTTTTTGTCAGAATTAGATAAAATTAAAAATTGAGTTTCTCAGTCACACCAGCCACATTTTAATTGTCAGTAGGCACATGTGGCTTGTGGCTACTATATTAGATCCCTCACATATAGATCTTTTCCATCATGGCAGAAAGTTTTTTGGACATTACTATTCTGGATCATGTGTGAGCAGGTTGATGCATGGGTGTTTATTCTTCAGAATTAGTGTATATTTGTGTGTGTGTGTGTGTATACACATATGTGTATATTCTTTAGTTTGTATTAAATATTAAGTTTAGGGGTGCCTGGGTGGCTCAGTTAAGCGTCTGACTCTTGATTTCAGCTCAGGTCATGATCTCAGGGTTGTGGGATTGAGACCCATATCAGGCTCCACACTCAGCCTTCATACTCAATGGGGACATCTGCTTGGGATTCTCTCTCTCTCCCTCTCCCCCTGCCCCTATCCCCACCCCCCGCCCCCCACCCCCGCTTGCACGTGCACATGTGCGCTCTCTGTCTCTAATAAATAAATATTTTAAAAATATAAATATTAAGTTTAGAAAAATTATCTGGTTCCCTCATTCCTATTTCAGAAGTACGTGGTTCCCACACCACTAGTTGAATTATCTTGGACAGGTAGCTTAACCTAGATTTGCTCACTCACAGAATAAGATTGGACTTGATCTGTAAGATATGTTCCAGTTAAGTTTTTTAATGAAATGATGTCACAAAGTATTCCTCAATGTGTCCTACATTTGAGCATATGTCATATAAGAGTACTTTTATACACTCTTCCTAAATATAAGTCTACTAAATAAACATAATCTAGCAGATAAAGTTAAAATTTTAATAACTTCTCAATTTTTCAGTGTTACTGACCTTTTTTTTTTTTTTAAGTAGGCTCCGTGCCCAGCATGGAGCCCAACGTGGGGCTTGAATTCACAACCCTGAGAGATCAAGACCTGTGCTGAGATCAAGAGTCCAGGGCTTCACCGACTGAGCCACCCAGGCACCCCAGTGTTACTAACTTTTGTGACAGTATAATTGCTTTGGTTTTAGAATCTCCCAGGCCACTTTTCCTCTTTAGTGACATGCCCTGCACCCTTTAAGTACATGGCATAGTCTGAGGCACGTTTCCTTAGAGAATGTTATGTAGACTTCTCTTAGGTGGTATTAGAACAGTAAGGGAATATATGCCTTAATGTTATACTAAGAAGATACTCTGTGTCATATATAGTGAAAATGATGTGAACATTTTTTTCAGGAAAGACAAAATAGGTCTTTTTTCTTTTAGGTGTCAAAAAGGCAAATCACGTATTTGACTAGTAGTGACATTTGGGTATTCAAGCCCCAAGGAAGAGAGCTTTTGCCCTGTTTTGACAAACTTTTATAGCAGTTTCGCAATTAAATCAATTCTGGTGTATATCCCTATGTAGCCATTAATCACATTCTCACGGGACATTAAAGTTAGAAAAAACAGCTTATAATTTTAAGTAGAAAACAAAATAAAAGTTGTTTTCATTCATAATAAATATTCCAGGTGACAACAGTGTAGCCTTTTGTACATTTGTGGGATGATTTCACTCACTTTTGTTTACACTGAGTCAGGGACCCTGAATCTGGGCCTCATTTCTCCCTGCTGTAGTTAATACTGATTAATTCTTAGTTTCGATGCCCACACCTATGGATCATAATTTCTTTCTGTTTCTACTCTACTCATTTAAGTCTGCCTCTTTGCTAATTCCCATCCAGTCAGCCTACATTTATCAGAGGCATACCCTGTGGGGAGATACAGAGATACAGAGATGAATAGGAGATGATTCCTGCCTTCAAGTTGTTAATAATCATAGGCTTTTTCTTTTGCCAAATTCTTTCCCATCTTAAAATGATCTCCCTTCCCTCTATAATTTTCTGTACCATTCTAGACTCTAATGTGGATTGTAGACAGCTGTTCCTGGAGGCCTTTCTCTAACTTGGATATGCTTTATGTGGATTCTTCATTTCTTGTCTGTACTTACTATTGTATATGTTTTTGTTTAATATCTCACTTTTACATGTGTTAATCGTAAGGCCCTCATACATACCTGTTGAAGTTGGTAGGTGGTGGAGCTATGTCTCCTTTGCAGATGAAAAGCTTAAGGCTCAGAGAGAGAAAACAGAATCTATTAGCAGTTACTCCCCATTTCCTCCCAATCTCCCATAACCCTAGGCACCCACTAATCTACTTTCTGCTTCATGGATTTGCCTATTCTGGATATTTCATATACAAATCATACAATATGTGGCCTTTTGTGTCTGGTTTCTTTCACTTAGCATAACGTTTTCAAGGTTCATCCATGTTGTAGTATGTATCTGTTCTTTATTCTTTTTATGGCTGAATATTCCATTTTATGGATATACACATTGTATTTATCCATTCATCAGTTGATGGACATCTGGCTTGTTTTCCTTTGCTGGCTTTTATGCATAATGCTGCTTTGAACAATCGTGCACACGTTTTTTGTATGGACATATGTTTCCCCTTTTCCTGGTTATATACCTCAGAGTGGAATTCCGGGGTCATACAGTAGCTCTGTGCTTAGTATTTCTGGATGAATGAGGAGGCAATTCACTCACCTGGATGGCAAACCCTTGAATGCTGTCTGTTCTTCCTTTGAAACCAGGATGAAGTACCAGGAGGGTTGGGAGGGAAATTTCAAGGTGTCTCAAGTGAGTGAGGTATTCAAGAATGAGACTTGGATCTTGAGCAATGGTGACGTGGGTACTCCTGTCCTATTTCTTAAGCCTTCAGGAAGTATTTGGAGGCCGTTTGATTTAGTGATGAAAGGCCCAGGTCCAGAGTTTGAGCTCTGGCTTCACTCCTTAACTTGCTACCTAACTCAGCAAGGCATTTTCATTCTTAGTCTTTGAAGAACTGCCAAACTTTTCCAAAGCAGCTGCACCATTTTCTCACTAACACTGCGGCTTGTGTATACAGGGGTCCTGATTCTCCACATCCTCTACTGTACTTGTTAATTGTCTTTTTTATTATGGCCTGTCTTTTTTTTTTTTTTTTTTACCTACTTCATGGGGTCCTTATTGAAAGGATTAAATCACATACTATTCATGCTCATAAAACTCAGAGCCCAGGGCCTAGTGCAGAGTGTTCTGTTAAAGGTTAATTGTAGGGGCACCTGGGTGGCTCAGTCGTTAAGCGTCTGCCTTCGGCTCAGGTCATGATCCCAGGGTCCTGGGATCGAGTCCCACATCGGGCTCCCTGCTCAGCGGGAAGCCTGCTTCTCCCTCTCCCACTCCCCCTGCTTGTGTTCCTGCTCTCACTGTCTCTCTCTCTTTGTCAAATAAATAAATAAATAAAATCTTTAAAAAAAAAAAAAGGTTAATTGTAATTGTTTTGCTGCGTAAAGCTTTATTTTTATTCCATTCTCACTTTTCTCTTTTCAGTACAAGTTCAGAGATCTCACTGTGGAAGAACTAAAGAATGTAAATATGTTTTTTCCACATTTCAGATATTCTATGGACACCTATGGTAAGAATCATAACCCCTCAAAGAGTTTAAATAACTTGCTCAAGTACACAGGAAGTTAGGGATGGAGTCAGGTTTGTACATATGTCTGTCTTGCCCTCCGTTCACATACGGCCTGTTCTTTTAAGTGTCTTTCTTTATCATATAGACTTAAAATGTCATTATACCGGTTAGTTCTTATTCTCATTTCTTCCATTTAGAGAAAGCGAGCCATGATGCCCTTAAACTCTCAGGCTATAGGATATAATACTGTCAATGTCCATTTTATTATTGAAGACATGTCATAATCACTTCTATTTTGGATTTTTGAATAATTTGATTAGACAATGTATATTTATACCTACAGCTTCTCTGCCACATTTCTAAGTTATTCTGTGTCCCTGAGTAATAACCCCTGTTCCACTGCTCTTTTCCATTTTAGTTTTTGCCATGGAATGATCCCTTTACCCACTGTTACCTTTCACTTATATAGTTCAAGGTAAACATTTGTGCTTATGTACCCTTTTGGCCTTGAATTTTCTGTCAGCCTGGTTTCCTCTTTTCCCTTTCTAATAGGTCATCAAATTTATTTAGAATTTTTCCTCCCACCGCCTAAATAGGATAGTTATTGAGGTACTAAGAGGACTACCTTCCGAGGCAGTTGGGTAGTTTGAAACCAGAGGTAGTGTTTTCTGTATTCAGTTCAGAGATGAGGGCATTAATTCTCCACCACTGTATCTCAGTCATTGATGGGTAAGTCGAAGTTTCAGGGACATGAAGGTGTAAAAAAGGTTGAGAATAATCGAGTTAGAGAAACCGAAGAAGATAATTAGTGATCTTCCAAAAAGGTCACTTTAAAAAATAAAGCTAACTTTTTTTCTGATTATAAAGTTATAGTCTGGTATCTGAAAGTGATTATAACTGATTTGTTACACGTGACAATTATTTAATAATATCCCCACATTTTATAATCCTAAACTTCTTAGATGTGTTTTCACATTATCGCATTTGACCCTTATGACAACTTTATAATGCAGCCTTACTATCTTTATTTTATAGACGATGAAACTGAAGGTCAAAGAGATTGAAGTAGCCAAAAGTTGCATGTGTCTGAGTGAGAAAAGTAGGCCTAGAACCTGGGATTTCTATACCAAAGCCCTGTGTGCTTTCAGCTGTCCTCTTGGCTTTCTAAGAAAACAAGATCTAGTAATTCCCCCTTGTCAACATATTTATAGATTCCTAGATGATGAACTTTAGAAATTATGTGTGCTTCTGTACGTGTGTATGTGCATGCACAAACTTTAATACTGTTTTTTCTACTTTTAAGTGCACATTTTGGGCCTCTTTTTTCTTCCAGTGTTCAAAGATAGTTCCCAGAAAGACCTGCTGAATTTCACTGGCACTATTCCTGTGATGTATCAGGGTAAGTGTGGCAGTTGAGAAAATGTGGGTATTTTGTAAAAGAGCCATTAAACAAGAACTTATATTTGTTTAGTTCTATAACTTTCTCAAAGTATTTTCACATGTATATGATCTGTACAGAACCTTACTGGATATAGCAGAATGCTGTCCTGTCTAGTCTGTGGCCTAGATTAATATCAACAAATTCAATTCAGTTCAACAAATACTTACTGGGTGTCAGTTCTGTGCCCACTACTCTGCTACGGGATAATGTACAGAGGAGGGTAAGACAGATGTTGGGGAGGAAAACCTTCCTGTGCCCTTAGCTGGACTTAGAATCAAATTGACATTAGACAGATGCAAAGGAGAAATTCAAACTGAATAGGCGTACGTATGGGGGATGCACACAGACATGAGATTCCAAAGACAGTGGGGTAACATGAAGCTTATATGAGCTAAGGAGAGGAGAGGGGCCTGTGGACACAAAAGGGAGAAAGACCATTAGCAAGAAGGAAAAGGAGATGCTTGGAAAAATAAAGGTTGCCCTATTATGCAGATAAGTTTTTTAGGTAAAGGGGAGTTTCTTTTAAGAGCTCTCTTCCTGGTAGAGACTCTTTGTTCCAGTGTAAATATAGGCATTTGAGAGGGAGGCAGAGAGCTTTTCCTCCATCTGCTGGGTTTCGATTACTTTTAACTCAAGATAATCTTTATGCCAAAGTGCCCATCTTGGGCAACCTGCCCTGGGCCCCTACACAGACATAGGCCTGCTCTTAGGGAGAGTTCTTGTTGCTTTCCATAGCAAAATGCAAGGATCACACCTTTTTCTCCATTACATCAATGTTTTGTTCCTCTCCCTTTCCGCCTGTATGATGTCCCCATTCTATGGGTGAAACTGAATCTTAGCCTAGTCAAGTGATTTACCTAAGACCACACAGCGGTATCAGGCTATAACTTGAAACTCCAGTAGGAAATTTGGGGCCATGACAGCTCAAAGAAAGCAACATATTTTCAGGTGGCCTGACAGGTTAAAATAATTGTTTGCCCCAAAAAACAAACAAAAAATCACTAGCTCCCCTATACTTAACTCTTCCTATTTGTCCAGACCTACTTCTATCAGTGTTCAACAGGACTAACCTTTCAGATAGGTATCATCATAGGTGATTGCTTATATAGTATGATGTAAAGAACACCAGCGAAGCATTGGTTCTAATATACTTCTCTGAAGGGGTTCCCTGAAATTCCACAACTAAAAATTTATTCCTCTTTTAAAATGCAAATAATCCCAGGAAGGATATTATCCAAAATCACTAATACACTGTGCTGTGTTTATAGAAAATGGCTCGATAAATATTTATTGAATGGTTGAGTTTGTTTATTTGATTACTGACTAATAAGTGAATTTGCTGGGCATACGAGAGGAGGCGCCCTGAAAAAAGGGCTGAGGAGGATCTGAAAACAAATGGTGAGAGAACAGTGGAGTTTGCTCCTTTACAAAAGATTCAGCAGTGTACTGTGGGAATACACTGCTCAAAAGACACCAAGAAGCTAAATTTTGGGGGACTTTTTTCAAAATAGATGCTTCATTACAGTAGTCCCTAGACTGTTACAAACCCTTCTTAATTTCTTCCCCTCCATGATGACTCATTGGCCGGGGTGCACTCATGTTTTATTCTGCCTCTGTTCATGTCCCACCATGACATCTCCTTTGGCACAGGAAATGCATAGGAATTCGGTTTGGTTTTTATACATAGGAATGTGGTTGGAGATGAAAGTAGATTACAGTGAGCTCTGCAGAAATTGCAGAACTGATTTTTATTTTCCTCCTTGCTCCTCTCCTGCCAAGCTCTCAGACTCTTTTCTGGCTGCCTAGAGAACCTTACTCAGACCTGTTTCCCATTACTTGTGTTCTGCATTTACTATGATTAGATGCTAGAGAGAGAGAGAGAATTATTGCCCACCCCAATGATTGATTGGTTGATTGACTCATTCCCAACTCTGACCCACCCCAATGATGTCAAGGGTAGTTACATATTAACAGAGAAGCTCATGAATTTAAGTGAATCACTGCTTAGTAGCATTTCAGTTTGAAGGACAGTGTGGGGAAGTAAGAAGAGGGCATAAAACTTTATTTTATTTTGAACTTATTTTAATATGATTGGTATGATGCCCCTCATTGGCATTCTGCATCTCCAAGAGCCAACGAGTTATTTCATTGCTTCTTACACTGGGTCTTCCAAGGTAGTAACGGTACCTGCAGTACCTTTATTTTTGCAGTACCCTCTTTTTTTTCTTTGCTTTTGAGTAGAATTATATCAATTCAGTGTGATCCACACTATTTATTTCCTGCTGATCAAAGGGTCAGAATGTATTATCTTTCTCATCTGTAAAATGGTACAATAATAGAGCCTCACTCTAGAACTATGAGGATTAAATGAATTACTATAAATAAGCTCTTGGCATAATGCCTGGCACATAATAGAAGCTTAATAAATGTTGACTGTGATTATTTGTCTGCCTATATTTCTACCAGTTCCTAGTTTTATTAGTTTAATAATATATACTCATGCTAGAAAAAGTAAACAATTGAGAAAGGATGAAGTTAAGCTTGTAACTAACTTCCCACCCAGTCCTATTTCCCTGATGAATCTTCCATTGATATTTCCTTACGTATATCTGCTGACATTTTCTAGATTATTTCTTATTATCTCTCCAAGATTGTGTCAAGGTTGTGATGACACTTTTTCTTCATCCATTCATTCTTTAGAGATGTGTATTCATCTTAATAAGATGATACCCATCTGAACTTTATTTACAGCTAACTTAAATTATATTTTTATGATGTAATTACTTGAGATCTGAGGACTCTTCCAGGAGTTCTGACTCTTTGGTAATGAATTACTGAAAGCTAAATGGGCAGGGTAGGAGGCAGGGCATTTGCTGACAGAGAAGAATGGGAAAGAAGGAAGGAAGGACGAGAACAGAACGCCAGTAGTGAATCTTACCAGTTAGACACGGGAATCAGGCTCACCAGTTGCTTTGCCAAGCATGGGCTATTAAAATGCATGGACGCTGCTGGGGAGGGGCATTGAGGGAGGCAGCAGATCCTTGATCAATTAGAAAGATACCATCAATAGACATTTCTTTCCTTTTCTTTAATGTGTAGTGATTAACACAGAAAGTGGCACCATCAGGATCTGGCCTACTGCAACTATATTATGAAACAAAAAAATTTGCATGACCTAGAACAGTGGCTTTCAAATGTTTTGATTGTGACGCACAATAAATACTTTTATATACACAGCTAGTGTACACATGCGTGCGTGCACACACACACACATTATAAGCATATATATATGAAACACCATACTACCTGTCATATATTTTATTTTATTTTCAATTCCATTTTAAGATATTGTTTGCAGCCCACTAACTTAATTTTGTGACCTAATTATCATGACCACAATTTGAAAAACACTACTCTAGAGAGTATATAATATTCGACAGAGTAACTACTTCTGGAGTAATTTGATGGTGTGTCTCAGTACCTGTCAGTCACTTAGTGGTGCTATGATCACATGACTTTATAATCATAGAATTATCTATGGATCAGTTGCTATGCCTACACCGAAATTGTAAATCTTAGACACTATGGTGACGAATGTTAACTAGACTTATTGTAGTAATCATTTTGTAATATATACAAATATCAAGTCATTACATTATACAATGAAACTAATGTGTTATATGTCAGTTGTATCTCAATTTAAAAAATTGTTTTAAGACTTAGACAAAAGTAGGGCGCCTGGGTGGCTCAGTTGGTTAAGCGACTGCCTTCGGCTCAGGTCATGATCCTGGAGTCCCGGGATCGAGTCCCGCATCGGGCTCCTTGCTCAGCAAGGAGTCTGCTTCTCCCTCTGACCCTCCCTCCCTCATGCTCTCTCTCTCTCATTCTCTCTCTCTCAAATAAATAAAATCTTAAAAAAAAGAGACAAAAGTAGAAGAGGAGTGTGGTTTTGAGAACTACTGATATAAAATAATAGACCCACAAGTATTAGGATGTTTCTATAATGTACTGATTTTCAGTCCTACCTGCACATTAGAATTACATGGGAAGCTTTTAAAAAATGTTATCCACACCCCATCCCATTGAATCAGAAACTTTGGGTGAGTGGCCTGGATACTGGTATGTTTCCAAGTTTCTTAAGTGCTTCTAATGTGAGAAAGGGCTGAGTATCCTTGTATCTTTAGAGGAGGAAGCAAGATGAGAAAAGTAGCTGTCAGTGGAAGGAAGATTTCCTTAGTAGGAAAAGGATTGCAGTGGAAAATAAAACTTTTTATTTAGACCTGGCCTATTTCCAAAATGGGTTTGAGGTACATTGCAAAAATTGCCAACCCTTCATGGTACTTACCATGTCATGTACCGTTGTAGGAATTTTACATACCTTAACTAATTTCATCCTCACAACAACCCTATGGGGTAGGAGGTATTATTTCCATTTTATAGAGGAAGGAATTGAGGCACAGAGAAGTTAAGGAACCTGCCTAAAATCATATAGCTAGTCATGGGTGAAACTAGGATTTGAACCTAGGCATTCTTGCTCCTGAACAGCCGTATTCATAAATACAGGGATGAAAGACACGCAGTAAGACTATGAAAGCAGGAATGACTATCAGGAAATACAGTAGAATAGCTAAGGTAATTGATCAGATTTCTAGTTTAAGTTTAGTTTTTACACTTTTATTAGGTTTAGCTTTTGGCTTCCTGGCATCCAGGGCCGTCAGAGATTTTTGCTCTTGGTAGGCATGATACGTGTAGGTGGTTAGCACTGGAAGAGCATGCACTCAAGTTTCTGGCTCTCAGTACTCTGAAATTTAAGAACCCTTGGACGAGGTCACTGTTAGGGTTATTTTCAGCTCCAAGTTCTATGTATCTAACCCAGCTCATTTGCACTTAATGAGCAACCTGAGAGTCAGTATCAAATGTATTGAATTCATCTTTGTTGATTCATTCATTTTTCATTTGTTTATTCATTCACTCTTATTTATATAAGAAACCTTTATTGTCAGCCAGTATGTGAGGCACTCTACTTGGTGCCGGGGTTATAGAGATGAAAAATACATAATCTTCTGGAAGTTTACAATGTGAAAGGAAACATAGACCTGTAGGCAAATCACTTCAATGCAGAATAAGTATAAAAATAGAAGTGTCCACTACCTTTCAAGAAAGGTGCGATAGCTCTGCTTGGGTGGAGCAAAGAAAGTTACATCAAGAAGATTCTGTATCCCGGGCGCCTGGGTGGCTCAGTTGGTTAAGCAACTGCCTTCGGCTCAGGTCATGATCCTGGAGTCCTGGGGTCAAGTCCCACATCGGGCTCCCTGCTCAGCAGGGAGTCTGCTTCTCCCTCTGACCCTGCTCCCTCTCATGCTCTCTGTCTCTCATTCTCTCTCTCTCAAATAAATAAATAAAATCTTTAAAAAAAAAAAAAAAAAAAGGGCGCCTGGGTGGCTCAGTCGGTTGAGCGACTGCCTTCGGCTCAGGTCATGATCCTGGAGTCCCGGGATCGAGTCCCGGGATCGAGTCCCACATCGGGCTCCCTGCTCAGCGAGGAGCCTGCTTCTCCCTCTGACCCTCCCCGCTCTCTTGTACTCGCTCTCTCAAATAAATAAATAAAATCTTAAAAAAAAAAAAAAAAGAAGATGCTGTATCCCAAATTCCTGGCACAGTAGGTCCAGTAAATATTTATTAAATTGAATTGGATGAGCTGGTCATTGTCTTAAATTTCTTCAAGTGTTACGCTGCTGCTTTAATGGGAACATGAAAATGGAGAAGTAGGCCTTGATCTATATAAATCCTTTATATATACACTTGACTAGACTACATGTCTTAAAATGCCACCTAGCTATACAAATATAATGTGTATGCTTCGTCATTTTGACGAAGTTTGAAAATGTGTTTATTTTGTCTCACATAGGTAATACATATAACATACCAATTCGTTTGTGGATTTTGGATTCCCACCCTTTTGCTCCCCCCATTTGCTTCTTAAAGCCAACTGCAAATATGGGAATCTCAGTTGGAAAACATGTGGATGCTCAAGGCAGAATATACTTGCCGTATCTTCAAAACTGGAGCCATGTAAGATCAATTTGGATTTTCTTTTAAAAGTTTTTATTTTTCTGATTATTTATCCTAATGGTACAAATAAGTTACTGAATTTTCTTTCAATGGTATTCCTCATATGGACTTTAAAAGTAGTTTGAAATTGAGCTCCCTGGAATCACCCAAGTTCCAGAACCCCAATGACAGACCGCAGCGTGCATGAAGTGCTCTCTCCAGGTCTGGAGCCAACTACTATTTGCTCCCTCTCTTCTGATAGTTGTTCAGTACTTGATAAAGCACATGAAAAGTTACTAGCAAGATATTGGACATTATCTCCTAGTCCCTCCTTCTTAAAGATTTTTATGTAATATATGTATTTATTTGTAGTTTTGCCTGTTTTTGACCTTTATGTAAATTGAATCATACTGTATATAATCTTCTGTTACAAATTTTGTTTTAACTCAGCATTAAGTTTTAAAAATTCATTCACGATGATTTATGTAACCAGTTTATTTGCTTTACAAGTTCTCACATGCAATTTTATTTATTTATTTATTTATTTTTTATTTTTTTTAAAGATTTTATTTATTTATTTGACAGAGAGAGACACAGCGAGAGAGGGAACATAAGCAGGGGGAGTGGGAGAGGGAGAAACAGGCTTCCCGCTGATCAGGGAGCCCGATGTGGGACTCGATCCCAGAATCCTGGGATCATGACCTGAGCCGAAGGCAGACGCTTAACGACTGAGCCACCCAGGCACCCCTCACATGCAATTTTATTATCTGTACTTTTCATCTACCATTATTTTGAGCACTTCTCATTTTAAACAGTATTTCAAAATACATGGTCTTTAATTGGTTGCCTGATGATCTCGCATAAAAATATTGGCATAATGTATTTACAAATTGATCTGTTAGATATTTAATGATGAGCATCCTTAAAGATAAATATATATAAACATAAATGTGTATATATTATAAATCTTTAATAATTTCCTAATGATAAATCTCTAGGAATGGAATTGTTGGATCAAAATTTATAAATATTTTGAAGGCTATTCTTATATATTGCCAAATTGGCCTCCAAAAGGTAGACAAAATGTATCTCTACCATCACTTGAAATCAGTGTAGAATCCCTGTTCTGTAGTACCCTTGTTCTAACGGAAGGTACTATCATTAAAGCAAAACAAACCCTTGTTTCTCTCTATATATTTACTTAGAAGGATGTAGAGTATGTTCTCCTTTTTGTAAAAATTAAGATTTTTATGAAAGGATAATTTAGAATATATTTCTACGTATCCAGGAGGTTGTAGGACAGGAGGACCAGGAACCCCTAAGTGAGACCAGGGATATGTCAAGAGTCAAGTGAAGTTGGAGTAAAGAAAGGATGGTGTTAGGATTACAACTTTTTATTTTATATACATCCCGCAAAAGGTGTGCAATTATGGACATGTTTTATTTTTTCTTTATACTTTTCCATATTTTTCCACATATATATAAAACCTTTAAAAAGAAGAAAAAAAGAAATACAAAAAGAAGGGATGCACACCAGGTGGTTGGTAGTGGAGGTTAGGTGGAGGAACACTGACCTTTTACTTTATGAATTTGTACGTCATTTGCATTATTTGGTGATTTTAATAAATAAGATTGCCAGTTAAATGTGCTAAATAGGGCATAAAAAATTTGTCATTTGGAGGGACAAAAATGATATCTTAATGTTTAGTTTTTTGACTATTTGAGAAATTCAAATCTTTTTCATATGTCAGTCGATTTATGTATGCTCTAATTATCTCCTTCATCCATTTTTACACTTTTTTTTTTTTTAAGCTATCCTCAAACAGTATTTTGACATCTGTGCCCTGTTGTGGGAATTCATTTTTCCTGTTTCCTCTTTCTGGTTTTCACTGGCATCTCTTTTCATAGTTTTGTTTCTATAGTAAATACTCAGAGGTAGTCCTATAGTCTAGTTGAGGTGATGCTTTATTTTAGTTTAAACAGTATTGATTTCATTTTACTATTTTGAGCCTCTTTATTATAAGCTAAAACAGGGACACCTGGGTGGCTCAGTCGTTAAGCGTCTGCCTTCAGCTCAGGTCATGATCCCAGGGTCCTGGGATCAAGCCCCGCATCGGGCTCCCTGCTCCGCGGGAAGCCTGTTTCTCCCTCTCCCACTCCCCCTGCTTGTGTTCTCTCTCTCACTGTGTCTCTCTCTGTCTAATAAAAAATCTTAAAAAAAAAAAAAAGCTAAAACAATTTTTTTTAAACTAGAACTAGTCTTAAGAAGACAATACATTATTTAAATTGCCCTATTTAAAAGTACCACAGTAACTTTAAATTGCTCATGCAGTTGGAATTATAATTATGTAGTAGAATTACATAGAATTTTGGAGCTGGAAGAAATCTAGAGGCTGTCTAGGCCAAGGATTGCAGATGTTTTCCCCAAGAGATTCAATGTGCTGTGTTAGACCTACAGAATTTTGTTGAACAGCAAAGTGGTTTTGTTTTGCTTTGTTTTGTTTTGTTCTTAATATGAATCTGAATGCCTATATGTATACTCTTTCCAATTTGCTACAATAACCATCTCCCTAAATTTTCTTATACTTGACAACTTCACACATTATTATCTGCTTGGTCTTTAAAAGTGTTTGAGGGGCGCCTGGGTGGCTCAGATGGTTGGGCGTCTGCCTTCGGCTCAGGTCATGATCCTAGGGTCCTGGGATCGAGTCCCGCATCGGGCTCCCTGCTAGGCGGGGAGCCTGCTTCTCCCTCTGCCTCTGCCTCTCTCTCTCTCTCTCTGACTTTCATGAATAAATAAATAAAACATTAAAAAATAAAAATAAAAAAATAAAAGTGTTTGAGTTTTTGATCCTATAGCTTCATCCTCTTAATTTATAAATAGTGAAACTCAGACTCTTGAGAAATTAAGCACTTTTTAAAATGAGCAAACTTTTGAATATTTTTAATAGTAATAATAAATATTTTACACTCACAGCATATAGGTTGCATGCATTTGTTTCCCCTAACAGCCACTTGGGATTTATTTTTCATATTATACTGCTGATAACACTGAAACTCAGAGAGGTTAAGTGGATTTCACTACGGTTGCTTAATAAATTAAAAGAAACAGTACTGGATTAGATAATATTTTATCAGTGTTACTTTTCTGATTTGATAATGCTTATATAGGAGAATGTCTGGTTTTTTGTTTTTTGAGGGTTTTTGGGGTTTTTTTTTTGCAGATTTTATTTATTTTGAGAGAGAGACAGAGAGAGAGAACATATGCACACGTGAAGCAGGAGGAGGGGCAGAGGCAGAGGGAGATAGAGAATCTCAAGCAGACTCCACCCCAAGTGTGGAGCCCAGCACAGGGCTTGATCCCAGGACCCTGAGATCACAAACTGAGCAGAAACCAAGAGTCAAACGCTCAACCGACTGAGCCACCCAGGCACCCCTGTTTTTTTTTTTCTTTTTTTTTTTAATGTTTTATTTATTTATTCATGAGAGGCAGAGAGGCAGAGGCAGAGGGAGAGGGAGAAGCAGGCTCCCCACCTAGCAGGGAGCCCGATGCGGGACTCGATCCCAGAATCCTGGGATCATGACCTGAGCCAAAGGCAGACGGCTTAACCATCTGAGCCACCCAGGCGCCCTTGTTTTTTCTTTTAGGAAATATACACTAAAGTATTTAGGGGTGAAAAGGTATTAGATCTGCAATTTATTCTCAGTTGGTTCAGAAAAATATAGAGAGGGAAGGAGACTGAGAAAATATATGTGCTAAAATGTTAACATTTAAAAATTTTTTGTACTTCTTTTTACAACTTTTCTATAAGTCTGAAATTATTTCAAAATTAAAAAAAATCAAAAAAAGAGAGACAGTTCCTGAACGTAGGTACTTTGCCAAAAGCACATTCATGTTATTTTCCCATCTTTTGGAGATGTGGATTAGCATTTCTCTAATTTTCAGTTTAAAGAATTAAGTAATTTTTCAGTTAAAAGTATTATGTAATTTGGGGGTGCCTGGGTGTCTCAGTCGTTAAGCGTCTGCCTTCGGCTCAGGTCATGATCCCGGGGTCCTGGGATCGAGCCCCACATCGGGCTCCCTGCTCAGCAGGAAGCCTGCCTCTCCCTCTCCCACTCCTCCTGCTTGTGTTCCTGCTCTCACTATCTCTCTCTGTCAAATAAATAAATAAAATCTTTAAAAAAAAAAAAGCATTATGTAATTTGTATGGTAGTTTTCAAAAAATAAGAGCATAATGCAAAACTTTCTTTTGGTTAACTTGGTAACAATATATAGGTTAACAAGGCAGTATTCTTTAGAAAAATTTTTGCGTAACTTTTCCCTTTGTATTCTGCAGCCTAAATCTGTCATTGTTGGACTAATTAAAGAAATGATTGCCAAGTTTCAAGAGGAACTTCCCCTGTATTCTCTACCGTCATCTGATGAGGCACGGCAGGTAGACTTGCTAGCCTATATTGCAAAAATCACTGAAGGTTTGTATTTTTGTTGATCAGAGTTATGAATTTACAATTTCTCACTAATATCCTTTATTCTGTGCTACTGGATTTCTATAAATAAATATATTCATGTATCTGTACCTATCTGTGTTGAATCAAAAATCCTATACGTCTATCATAGGGTGTTACCATACAGTTCCAATAATTGTAGTTTCTTAAAATGGAAAAGATTACTCTTACACTGACAGATAAAATAATTTGGTGTTTTGCTCAAAATCACTTGATATGATGATCCCAAACCTTTTTCATTATATGTTTATGTGGCTTTTTGCCTCATTCAATAAATATATTGGATCAGAAAATTTGTGATTCTCATGTTTCTCATTGAGGATAAAGCAAAATATCCATGCTTATAAAATTCAGTAAGGTGTTAAACATTTTGCATTATAGAACAGAGTGGTAAGAATCAGAATGTTTTTCAGGATTATGGAAGTTCTATTTTTTAGTCTTATATGTTTTAATTGTTTAGAAAGATATTTTCTTTTTAAAGGGGTAGTCTCTATTTAGTAGAATATTTACTGAGATTCCTTTCTGTCTTGCTTGTCACTTGTTCACATATTTTTGAGTGCTTCTTCTGGACTAGCACCATGTTTTCTGTCCAAGTTATTGAAGGTTGGTGTATTTTTTTAAGATGCTAAAAAAGATTTTTGATATTATTTCAAAATTCTCATGGCAATGCACTTTTATTTCTAGGTGTCTCAGACATGAATTCAAAGAACTGGGTAAATCACGAGCATAAAACAGTCAATAAAATTACTGTGGTTGGAGGTGGAGAACTAGGTATTGCTTGCACATTAGCAATCTCAGCAAAGGTATGTAAGCATCGTGCTTATACATCCATCTATCATGTTGCTACACTTTCAGGCAGTTTATGTTTAACATACAAGAAATGATGGCTTCATTTTGTCTTGTGGAAAAACCTCATTTTGCCTTAAAATATATTTAGTAAGTTGGCAAAAAAAAAACTGAAAGCTCTCATTAGGGATATTGCTTCTTAATTAGTACTTAGTCATGGAATAGGCTTTAAAAAAGAGATTTGAACAATGGGCTCATCATCCTATTCCAAGGGAAACCTCAACGTGACATTTATCTGACTTAGTCACCAATTCCTTTGTGTTTTCTGAGTCATGCCGCTTTAATTAAGCTCTTATTTAATATAGTACTTAATTTTAGCTCTTTCTAAAATTAACTTTTTTTTCTTAAAGATTGCCTTTTCTTGTGTAATTACTCCACTTTCTCTTAGGACCATAGTTTCTAAATTGATATATTTTTTTTATTCTTATGTTAATCCCCATACATTACATCATTAGTTTTAGATGTATCTAAATTGATATTTTACACTAGTTTGAAATTTATTTTTCCATCAGTCCTTTTTACTAGATCTTCTGTATATAAATTATTTTCAGAAAGGCTTAAATTCCCTTCCAGAGAGGTTCAAAAGACCTTCCAGGGTCCCAGTATCATCGTAACAGCATGTCTGTGTCTTTTCAGGGATGTAGCCCAGAGTGGAATAGCTGTCCCTCTCTGTTTATTTGGTAGCAGGCATTTTGTTTTTTTCTTTTCTATTAAAATCTGATTGTTTGTCAGGCTCCTGGGTGGCTCAGTCGGTTAAGCATCTGCCTTCAGCTCCAGTCATGATCCCAGGGTCCTAGGATCTAGTCCCGCAACAGGCTCCCTGCTCATTGGAGAGCCTGCTTCTGCCTCTGCCTCTGACCCTGCTTGTGCTCTCTCTCTCTAGCTCTGTCTCTCAAATAAATAAATAAGATCTTTAAAAAATTTTTGTCACCTAAACTCTTCCCTTTTTATTTCAGACTCACATATGTCTTAGGGATAGGTTGTACTTTAGTAAATAATTAAATTGTATCCAGGGAGCTAGAAAATTTTAAAAGCTGGCTGCACAGAACAACATATACTAACTTTGACTTCATTTCGTTTCCTCCACTTTCCATCTGAATACACAAGTCCCTCTTAATTGGAGTTTGAATTGTTTTCAGTTCCTTTGTTACTAAACAGAATGATTCCATAAACATTGCTTCACAAGTTGCTTATTTTCTCCTCTGAATTTTCTTTTAAGTGTACATAATCTCGAAAACAGTACTAGTGTGGGGGTGCCTGGGTGGCTCAGTCGGTTGAGCTCTGCCTTCAGCTCAGGTCATGATCCCAGGGTCCTGGAATCAAGCCCCACGTCGGGCTCCCTGCTCAGGGTGGAGCCTGCTTCTCCCTCTCTCTCTGCCTGCCACTCCCCCTGCTTGTGCTCGCTCTCTGTCTAATAAATAAAATTAAAAAAAAAAAAAAAACCCAATACTGGTGAATCAGAGGGTATGAATGGTCTTTATGGTACTTATTACATATTGCTAGATTGTGCTTCAGAAAGGCAGAATTAATTTATGCTGCTAATAACAGTATGCACATCAATCTGATTTTTCGCATCCCTAACAGTACTGAATTTTATCAATTTTGTTTGGTTTTGGTTAAGTACAAGAAAGCCCCTTAAAGTCATGTTTCTTTAACAGTTGGAAGAGTCTCACTGTCAGTATTCTTTTGTCTGTAAACTGTCTAAATGGAAATTTTTTTCCATTTTTCTTTGTAAGCATTAGTATTTTGATGCAAGATACAATATATCGAATATTATAATACAGTAGTAGCCATAATGGTGTCGGTAGAAGTGGTGGTGGCAGCAGCAGTAACTAACCTTTGCTGAATGCTTACTAGGTGCCAGGCACTCCGCTAAACGACTTGACTAATTTTTACTAAGTTTTACCTAACCCTATATGTTAGGTACTATCATTACTGCCATTTTACAAATGAAGAAATCAAGGCAGAGGGAGGTTATGCAACTTGCCCAAAGTCACACTGTTAATAAATGGAGGCAGGATTTGAAGTGAGGCAGTCTGTTTACAGAGCCTGTATTCTAAGTCTTTTTTTTTTTTTTTTTAAAGATTTTATTTATTTATTTGACAGAGAGAGACACAGCGAGAGAGGGAACACAAGCAGGGGGAGTGGGAGAGGGAGAAGCAGGCTTCCCGCAGAGCAGGGAGCCCGATGCGGGACTCGATCCCAGGACCCTGGGATCATGACCTGAGCCAAAGGCAGACATTTAACGACTGAGCCACCCAGGTGCCCCCCTGTATTCTAAGTCTTTACTGCTCAGCATGTGGTTTTCAGACCAGCAGCACCGGCCATATCTGAGATCTTATTAGACTTGTATTTTCTAAGGCCCCACCCCAGACCTGCGGAAGCAAACCTGCATTTTAACACAACCCCTGGTGTTCCGTGTGCTGTACTGATCTATTAAATGGTGATCCCTTCAAGCTTGGGAAGTTCTGCTGTAAACCACTATGTTACACTGCCTCATTATTGCTGTTGTCCTTACGGATGGACATTTAGGTCATTTCTAGTCTTTTGAATCTCCTTATACGCATTGTATCACGTTACACATGTACTAATAAACTTATAGGAAATTTTCTATAAGTGAGATAAGTGGATTAAAGGAATTACTGTGTTTTTAAATTTTGATAGAACTTGTCAAATTATCCCCCATATCAATTGTACCAGTTTATGCTCATACCCACAGTGTGTAAGAATGCAGGTTTTCCCACACTACTGTTGTTTAACTTTTGGATCTTCGTGTGTCTCATAAATAAAAAGGTAACTCATAGTTGTCTTTGCATTTCTCTTTGAGTGTAGTTGACAATAATAAAGTTAATAGGTACAATTTAGAGAGGACTTCCCTCCGCCAGCTTTGGGTCACATATTAATCCTCATAACCCCATGAAGTAAAGCCAAGTTCAGTGACTTGCCTAGCGTCACAGAGTGTAGCTCAGTTGTTTTCTTTTGTACTTTCTGCCTGATGGTCTGGTAAATCCCTGGGTACTCTTGCCTTTGCACACTAATATAGGAAAGATCCTCACACTGCTTACCACTTTAGAAAAAGACCTTCTGGGTGCCTGCGTGGCTCAGTTGGTTAACCGACTGCCTTCAGCTCAGGTCATGATTCAGGGGGTCCTGGGATCGAGCCCCACATTGGGCTCTGTGCTCCATGGGAAGCCTGCTTCTCCCTCTCCCACCCCCCCCCCCCGCTTGTGTTCCCTCTCTCTCTCTTAAATAAATAAATAAAATCTTTAAAAAGAAAAAGACCTTCCACAAAGGTAACTTGACTTGGAGGAGTTTCTATGCCGTCATTAGCCCATGGGACCCAGGGAGCCATCTACAGGCATGCGGAGTGTTTTCCATGAGATCTCTGGGGAAAGTTCTACATGATAATAGGATTTTATTTTAGATTTATGGCTATTATCCTTTTTTAATTTTTTTTTTAAAGATTTATTTGAGAGAGAGAGCAGGAGCAAGAGAGAGCACAAGCAGGGGAAGGCAGAGGGGCAGAGGGAGAGGGAAAAGCAGGCTCCCTCCCAGGGCCCTGGGATCATGACCTGGGCCGAAGGCAGATGTTTAACCAACTGAGCCACCCAGGCGCCCCTATTATCCTTTTTTTTTAAAAGAGAAACTTGGCATTGGTGTTGACTTTCATGCTAGAAGTGAGGCACTAAAATAGAGCAAAAATCACTCTAAGTACTTTCAGAATGGAAATTATGACATCAAAATGAAAACATAAACTCAAGAACAACAGCAAATGTATTGAGTACACCAGCTTATCCGTATTACTCATTGTCCCATCAAAGGAAGTCTGCAGTCTGTGACTTCTGAGTTAAGTCCTGCTAGATCCCAATTTTCAGTCAAGCCTAAAGGATCACATGACTCACGTTCACAGTAATTTCTTGATTGCGTGTCCTTTTATTGCTATTGTATTACTTTTCCTTCATAAGACAGCACATGAGGCCTGTGCATTCTACTTTAGCTTCACTTCTGAATGAATTTAAATTGAGTAACTGGCTGTGTTTGCATAATGCTATATATTCTTTTTCTTATTTTACTGTACAGGGCATTGCAGACAGACTGGTCCTCTTGGACCTCTCAGAAGAAACAAAAGGAGGGGTGATGGACCTTGACATCTTTAGCCTGCCTAATGTGGAGATCAGCAGAGGTATGGTTATTCTGCTTAAAAGATGTTTGCCTCATTTGTTCTTGTATTTGAGTCCTAGAATTTTTTTTAATGCACTTTTTTTTTTAGAACAGTTTTAAGTTCACAAGCAACATTGAGCAGAAGGTTTCCTGTATATATCCCTTATCCCTGCACACGGACAGCCTCCCCCATTATCAGTATTCCCCACCAGAGTGGCACAGTTGATGAACCTACCTTGACACATTACTATCATCCCAAATCCATAGTTTACATTACGGTTCACTCTTGCTGTTGTACATTCTGTGGGTATGGACAAATCTATAATGACACGTATTTACCATTATAGTATCTTTCACTACCCCAAAAATCCTCTGTGTTCCGCCTTGAGTCATGGAATTTTAATGCTAAAAAGCACATTAAAGATCACCTAGTCCAAGTTCCTCATTTTGCTTATTGGGAAACTAAGATTCAAATAAATAAAGTGACTTACCCAAAGTCATACGAGATTGTAATTGATTACATTAACAAGAGTCAAATGAGCAGAGAACATTCTGATTGGTCAGAAGGATTTATTCTGTCTTTGACTTATACTGTAGTATAGATTTGTTTTCTTTGATTGCTTCCATTCTCATAATATATTGGTTAAGAGCACTGGTTTTAGAGTTAGATAGGGGGTTGCATCCCAGCTCTGCCATGTTACAGCTCTGGCATTTGTCAGGTTATATAACCTCTCAAAGTTTAGCTTTATCACCTATAAAGTGGGAATAATACCTACCTCTTGGTATATGGCAGAGTGTTAAGATTTTTACAAAAAATGCATATTGCTTTCACTAAAAATATATTGTTAAAATAAGTTTTAATAAGAACAAAAGGATTTCTTATCATAAATAAAATTTTAAATGTTAGGAAAGTAGTTTTTAATTTCATCTTTTTAATTTAAAAATTTGCAAATATTTTATAATGTACATAATGTATTAGTACAGACATATATTTAGGTAAATATCACATTTGGGGGTGTGGGCTTAAAAATATTTCATTACTAGAGATGCATGATCCAAAAAATTAGCTATAGGTTTTAATAGCTATTTTGAAAAAGTCCAAGTGGAGCCAAAGCATAACTCTAGGATGGTCAGTTGTAGTCATCAGTGCCTGTTATGATGGAGCATTACTCAAATTTCCAAAACTATTGACCTTAATTTCCCAAAATTACTAATGTACTTCTCCATATAATGGAATATATTTATGAGATGTTCGTTAACATTATATTTAAAATTCTTCATGTAATAGTAATTAAATTCAGTGTTATCAGGAACATTATCAGGTTATAGCTAAAGTCAGGTCATAATATGTTATAGTTGTTTGGCTTTCCTTACTTAGGTCCCCTGTATTCCTTGACCATATTTTCCCCAAAAAAATCAAAATGGGGTCACAAACCTAAATATACTAAGAACAATAGTGGGTGAGAAAAATTGAAATTATACCTGCAGGTTGTAAAAATTGGGTGTAATAGTTAAAGTAAGACTCTGGATCCCTGTAGGATACAATGAGTTCATTTTCCTTGTCTGGAAAGAGTACAGTATTTGCCTTAATGATCCTTCTGTAGGCCTCATATAGAGGATCCTTTGGGGAACTAGATATTCTTTTGTGCCTGTCATTTCCAAGTACTGAAATTCTTTAGGGACCTTTTAACTCTTCCAAATCACTAGACTTTAGTATACGGACCCTAGAGGTTGTGAGGCCTTTTAGGACCTGAAGAAATTGTTTCTTCTTCTTTTTTTTTTTTTTTTAAAGATTTTATTTATTTATTTGAGAGAGAGAGCACATGAGAGGGGGGAGGGTCAGAGGGAGAAGCAGACTCCCTGCTGAGCAGGGAGCCCGATGCGGGACTCAATCCAGGGACTCCAGGATCATGACCTGAGCCGAAGGCAGTTGCTTAACCAACTGAGCCACCCAGGTGCCCGAAATTGTTTCTTCTTATGTAACTGATTAACCATCAACAACTATTGTTTCATGTAATTGAAAGAATAGAATCCTTGGAGTAGATGTATAGTGTGTGGTGCTTGCCACCAAGTAGAGAATGTTGAATGAGTCCACACCATCTTGGGGCAACTTTCATGTTCCCCTTGTTAATTTGGTTATATGTTCCTGATAACACTGAATTTAATTACTATTACATGAAGAATTTTAAATATAATGTTAACGAACATCTCATAAATATATTCCATTATATGGAGAAGTACATTAGTAATTTTGGGAAATTAAGGTCAATAGTTTTGAAATTTGAGTAATGCTCCATCATGACAGGCATTGATGACTACAATTGACCATCCTAGAGTTACGCTTTGGCTCCACTTGGACTTTTTCAAAATAGCTATTAAAACATTTGGCGGGGGGGAATGCCTGGGTGACTCAGTCAGTTAAGCGTCTGCCTTCAGTTCAGCTCATGATCCCAGGGTCCTGGGATGGAGCCCCGCATCGGGCTCCCTGCTCGGCGGGGAACCTGCTTCTCCCTCTCCCACTCCCCCTACTTGTGTTCCCTCTCTCGCTGTGTCTCTCTCTGTCAAATAAATAAATAAAATCTTAAAAAAAAAAAAAAAGGGTAGTTGCTTCAGAAGTCATACTGGGGAAACTGGTTCTGCACTTGTTTTTTGAAGTTAATATTTGTATTCCTTTATTTTTATTTTGTTTTTTTTTTTTTTTTTTTTTTAAGCTTTTTTTTTAATTTTAATTATTTATTTATTTATTTGAGAGAGAGAGAGAGAGAGAGAAACAGCATGAGAGGGGAGAGGGTCAGAGGGAGAAGCAGGCTCCCCGCTGAGCAGGAAGCCCGATGTGGGACTTGATCCCGGGACTCCGGGATCATGACCTGAGCCGAAGGCAGTCGCTTAACCAACTGAGCCACCCAGGCGCCCCTATTTTTATTTTGTGCTAAAATACATTTATTTTGTACACGTGGGTAGCTCAGTCAGTTAAGTGTCTGCCTTCAGCTCAGGTCATGATCCCAGGGTCCTGCCACTCCCCCTGCTTGCGCTCTCTTGCTCTCTCTCTTGCTCTCTCTCTCTCTGTCTCTGTCAATTAAATAAATAAAATCTTTAACCAAAAATAAAAAATATATATAACGTAAAATTTACCAATAGTGACATTTAGGTCATTCACAGTGTTTTGCAGCCATCACCACTATCTAGTTCCAGAACATTTCGTCACCCCAAAAGGAAACCGTGTACACAATAAGCAATCACTCCCCATTTCCCCTCTCCTCATGTCCTGGCAACCACTAATCTGCCCTGTGGATTTGCCTGTTCTATATATGTCATATAAATGGAATCATACAATATGTGGCCTGTTATGTCTCGCTTTCACTTAGCATCATGTTTCCAAAGTTCATCCATATTGTAGCATGTATCAGTACATCATTCTTTTTATGGCTGAGTAATATTCCATGGTATGGATATACCACATTTTATTCATCTATCAGTCAATGGACCTTTGGGTTGTATCTTTTTGCTATTGTGAATAGTGCTGCTATGAACATTCATGTACAAGTTTTTGTTTGAAAAACTCTTTTCACTTCTTTTAGGTATATACTCAGAAGTGGAACTTCTGGCTCATATGGCAATTCTGTGTTTAAGTTATTGGTGAATTAATAGTGTGCTTTTGAAGATCTTTATTAACAGCACAAATGGATCTAAATAGCTCTACTTTTTTGAACAGCTTCATAATATTTCGTCATATGGATGTCTGTCTCCTGTTGGGAGACATTTAGGTTGTTTTTGGTTTTTTCTGCTTACAAATAATAGTGGAGAGAACATTGTTATACAAAAATTTTCATGTACTTCTCTAGCAAGATAAAGTAGAATTACTGAGTCAAAAGATACATGTTTTCAAAATTTATATTGTTAAATTGTTCCCAAAGAAGTTACACCAATTTATACTCTCACCAACAGTACATAAGTTTTCCTATCTGCTTTCTCTTGATTACTTTTATTCTTTTTTTTTAATTACTTTTGTTCTATATTAAACATAGTTAATGGGATCATCATCCTATGACATTTTGATCATGGTTACTATGTTTATTATGTTATCATGTTTCCTATTATGTCTATCTTTTATCCCTAAATAACAGTAATAGCACCTGACATTTTTCTAAGGAATCAGTAATATATGCTAGGTACTTTACATATATTCACTCACTGTTACTTTATTTTATAGATGGCTCAGAGAGACTGTGGCTTAGGACATGCAGTTAGTTAGAGGCTAAACTAGGATTTCAAACATAAGTTTGTTACCAGTTTCACATGATTCACTCCAGAAATAGTCTCTGCATATACAAGCATACATGTTTGTGTGGGGGGTTATATGCATGTGTGTGCATGGAGAAAAAAGTATTCCATAGTTGTAAATTTAAAAATAGCATGTTGTTGAGCTATGGAGCAAAGCAAAATTTGCTCAATAGCCAGCGGTTCTTGAAACATGGCTTGTGGATTAATCACTTGTATTAGAATCACCTTAAAATTACAGATGCCTGTGGTTCATCCTATACCTATGAATCCTGAATTTCTAGGGGTGGAGCCTGGGAATCTACATTTTAGATAAGTAGCTCAGGTAATTCTTATACCCATTAAAGTCAGTATTCTAAAAATTGTAAATAGTGACATAATTGCAAATTGTGGAATCAGCACAGAGGAGTATGACCAGCATTTTATAAAAATGAACTAGAAAATAGAAAATATCAGAGTAACATTAAGGGTATTTTCTGTAATGTTTTTGGTTTTGTTTATAAACACATATGCATATATTGTGTCTTGGGTTGCAATAGAAAATGTACTTCATGGCATGCCCATCTCATGGCATGGGTCGTGATCATAATTTTGAAATTCACTGTATTGAAGCTGAAAATCATTGATTTAAGCTCTTTTTTTAAAAACCTCTTTTCCCCCCTCTACATTTACCCCAGGTAAATACTCCTTCATTAGCCACAACATGCCCTTCATAGTTGAAACTCAAGTCACCTTCTCTGTAGGAAGTCTTCCAGAGTAACCCTTTTGCCAAATCACTCATTACTCTTCATGATTTTAGTATTGGTATGTGAAATTTATGTTGTATCTTTTTTTTCTCTTATTGGGACCTTTTATTCTTTTTTTTTTTTTTTTTTAAAGATTTTATTTATTCATTCATGAGAGACAGAGAGAGAGAGAGAGGCAGAGGGAGAAGCAGGCTCCCAAGGAGCAGGGAGCCCGATGCGGGACTCGATCCCAGGACCCTGGGATCATGACCTGAGCCGAAGGCAGACGCTTAACCATCTGAGCCACCCAGGCGCCCGGGACCTTTTATTCTTAAGACAGTCCTCTCTAAAGATAGAGATATGGCATAACATACTCAGTTCATGGCCTTAGTTTGCCACATATGGTAATTCTTAGAGTCTCAGTGTTGTTCATACAGTTCCAAAACCCAGATCACTGTGGCAGTAACCATTAAAGGCACTCACTTGAACTGAACAGTGATTCCCTACCTTATCTTTTGATATGGGTGTTCTTGTTTAACATTTTTTTAAAAAGTCTACCTCTATTCACCAGATAAAAATATCCCTTCTAGTCATTGACTGAAATAATGCCTAAAGGGACATCATTCTTTGATGGTGCCCTCCCTCCCCCCACAACATAGGAAGGTTTTTAATAGCTATCATCTTTTTTTTTTTTAAGATTTTATTTATTCATTTGACAGAGAGATAGCGAGAGAGGGAACACAAGTAGGGGGAGTGGGAGAGGGACAGGGGGAGTGGGAGAGGGAGAAGCAGGCTTCCCGCTGAGCAGGGAGCCCGATGTGGGACTTGATCCCAGGACACTGGGATCATGACCTGAGCCAAAGGCAGCCACTTAACCGACTGAGCCACCCAGGCGCCCCAATAGCTATCATCTTAACACAATTTCTAAATTAAGGGTCATCATCATTTCTAGCATTTTGCGTCACAATGAAGAATAATTTGAAAAGAACATATTTTTATGTAATTTTTATTATAATTGGAATGGCTTAGCACTATACCAGAGAAATGAAAATACTTGTACTGTCTCCAGGATTTTCAGACTAGCTATACTATACTACTATACTAGCTAGAATACTTCAGTGAGGTCTCCACAGCATTGGGACATTAATATTTCATTGCCTAATTTTCCAGTCATTTTGAGTAAAATAATTTAGCAGTGATTTAAAATGAATGTGTATTCCCTTCATCACAACATCATCCTCATAATCTGAGAACAGTAATATATCAGAGCATGAATTATTATTTGCTGGGTCTTTTGACATGCTTGATATTGGATTGATATCCCCTAGTCTAACTATAAGTAGCCACTGGTCTAGGGCCTATGGTTTGGGAACCAGTGGCTTGGCAGGAAGAATGTAGTTTTTCTGGGCTACCTGTGCAGCTGGGATTAGAGGTATGAGGTTTGTATCCTGGGTGTCCAGATGGTGATTGGCCCCTGACCCAGGAGGAAACTTATCACTATGGTAATAAGTAAGTGGTAAAGTTAGGATTTGGAACAGGCAATCTCATTCTGAAGCCGTCCATTCTAACCCTTGAGCCCTACTGTATTATATCTAAGGCAAGGCTTATATCTCTAAGCCCTGCTGTATTATATCTAATGTCATTCACTTTGTGTTCTTAGGGCCTGGTATAATTACCTGTAACATAACGGGAACCTTAGTAGAGGCTTATTGAACTAATTATTATTGAATGAACTTTTATTAGGATCATATCTTTACATAATCATGCTTAAAGTCCTTCCTAGTTCTCTTTATAACTGTAAAATCTTTTTCCCCATATTAAATCACCAACTTTTTTTTAACTCTATTTTTTATTCAAGTATAATTAACATACAGTGTCATATTAATTTCAGGTGTACAATATAGTGGTTCAACATTTCTCAGTGCTAATCAACATAAGCTTACTCTTAGCTCCCTTCACCTATTTCACCCATGCCCCCACCCACCTCCCCTCTGGCAACCCTCTGTTGTCTATAGTTAAGAGTCTGTTTTTTTTGTCTCTCTTCCCTTTTTTTTTTTTGTTCGTTTGTTTTGTTTCTTAAATTCCATATATGAGTGAGATCATATGGTATTTGTCTTTCTCTTACTTCACTTTGCATTATATTCTGTAGGTCCATCCATGTTGTTGCAAATGGCAAGATTTCATTCTTTTTTATGGCTGAGTAATATTCCATTGTAGGGAGGGAGGGAGGGAGGGAGATAGATACCACATCTTCCTTATCCATTTATTTATTGATGGACATGAGTTGCTTCTATATCTTGGCTTTCGTAAATACTTCTGCAATAAATATGGGGTGAATAGATCTTTTTTAATTAGTGTTTTCTTTTTCTTTGGGTAAATATCTAGTAGTGGAATTACTAGATCATATGGTGAGCTTATTGTTAATTTTTTTGAGGAACCTCCGTACTGTTTTCCACAGTGGCTGCACCAGTTCACATTCCCACCAGCAGTGCACAAGGGTTCTTTTTCTCCACATCCTTGCCAGCACTTGTTATTTCTCATCTTTTTTATTTTAGCCATTCTGACAGGTGTAAAGTAATATCTCATTGTGGTTTTAATTTGCATTTACCTGATGATTAGTGATGTTGAGCATCTTTTCATTTGTCTGTTGGCCATCTTTATGTCTTCTTTGGAAAAATGTCTGTTCACATCCTCTGCCCATTTTTAATTTGATTGGTTTTTTGGTGTTGACTTGCATAAGTTCTTTATATATTTTGGAAAATAACCCTTTATCAGATATATCACTTACAAATATCTTCTCCCATTCAGTAGGTTGCCTTTTTGCTTTGTTGATGGTTTTCTTTGCTGTGCGAAAACTTTTTATTTTGGTGTAGTCTCAATAGCTTAATTTTGCTTTTGTTTCCCCTGCCAGAGATAACATATCTAGAAAAATGTTTCCATGGCCGATGTCAAAGAAATTACTGTTTATGTTCTAGGAATTTTATGGTTTAATATCTTCGCATTTAGGTCTTTAATCCATTTCGAGTTTATTTTTGTGTATGGTGTAAGGAAAAGGGCCAGTTTCATTCTTTTGCATGTAGCTGTCCAGTTTTCCCAACACCATTTGTTGAAGAGACTGTCTTTTTCCCATTGTATATTCTTGCCCCTTTGTCATAGACTAATTGACCATAAAAGCATGGGTTGATTTCTAGACTCTCTTCTGTTCCATTGATCTATATGTCTACTTTTGTGTCAGTGCCATACTGTTTTGATTACTACAGCTTTGTAGTATATCTTGAAATCTGAGTTTGTGATACCTCCCAGCTTTGTTCTTCTTTTTCAAGATTGCTTTGGCTATTTGGGGTCTTTTGTAAAATCATCAACTTCTAAGGAAGACCTGAGAAGGAAGAGTCCAAGGAAAATATTCTGAGTGCAAAGAATTTAGTTGCCTTGAGACAGTATTTACCAAACCTAGTTGTGCCTGAGAATCACATGGGGAGTGGCATTCCTGAGGATATTTCCCTTTATGTATTTAAATAAATCTTCAGAACATGGGATAATCTGTAATTTTATTACACTTCCCAAGTTATTCCTGAGTACCCGGCCTAGCATTTAAGAACTGCTGCAGGGGATTGATAGGAACGGAAGACTCTCTGCTTAGTCAGAAGCAGCTTGAAGCTAGATGGAAAGATATTTATATTACTGTTTACATCTTGCATGTGTATCTTTCCATCTAACTTCAAGCTGCTTCTGACTATAATGACTGTAATTCACGACAACAAGAGAGTAATGAGGCAATATATGATTAATTGCAAGAGAATGGTATAGACAGTGAGCACTCTTGTTGGAGTTGAGTGGAGGGAGATACTACTTTCAGCTAAGTAGGATTGAGGTATGTGCCGGATCTACCAGGATAAGGGAGATTTGGATTGCCATGGGGAGGAGGGGTGGGGATGGGGAATGTAGCTCTTGCTAAGTGACTAGATCTTGGAGATGGACAGATGAGCAAGACACAAACAATCCCTGCTTTCGCAGAGCTCATAACATGCTTAATATAGTAGACAGTTGAATAGATATCTATCTAACATGGTGAGAACAGTGAGAAACATTCAAGATAGAAAGAATTTGAGTAAAGCCCATATCAGGAAAGTGAGAGAAATATGTTGGGGTAGAACAGGGACCAATTCAACCTGAGCCAAAGGTTTATATAAGGGAGTGTAAGAAATACTACCTTCTAGGCTCAAAGGAAGAGAGTAAAAGGCTTGGGAGCTTGGGAAATCTTACGGAGTAGGAAGCCTTTCTCGTACTTTTGAAATCATATCAGACAGCTTCTATTCTATTTACTCATGAGGCAACCTTGAGGGCGAGAGCACTTGTAGCATTCAAAGTAGAGAAAGGGGGTAAGAAATGAAATGATCCTGGCAAGATAGGTTGGGATCAAATTGTAAGGTCATGAATTATTCACTGATATTTGGTGATATGGACAAGTCACCTAATCTCTCTAAATATCATTTTCCTCATCTTTTTCTTTTTAAGATTTTTTATTTATTTATTTGACAGAGAGAGAGATAGCGAGAGAGGGAACACAAGCAGGGGGACTGGGAGAGGGAGAAGCAGGCTTCCCAAGGAGCAGAGAGCCCAATGCGGGCTTGATCCCAGCACCCTGGGATCATGACCTGAGCCAAAGGCAGACGCTTAACTGACTGAGCCACCCAGGCGCCCCATTTTCCTCATCTTTATGAGGGTTTTGGACTCCATTTCTAAATATAACATAGTGCTTAAGAGTACTCTGCAGCCAGGCTTGAATTCTGGCTCCATGCTTCCTAGCTCTATGACTGAGCAAGTTACTTAACTTCTCCATGCCTCAGATTCCTCATCTGTAAAATGGGGGATGACATGACCCCATAGTGTGCTGTAGATTAGATTAAATGAGTAACTATATGGAAAGCTCTTAGAGTAGTACTTGGCATATAGAAGTGGTCTGGAAGTGTTAACTCTACACCTTCCAATTCTTCAGGTTTTGACTCATTACCAGGTATCCAATCTGAACACTAGAACACAGGAATTATTTAAGAGGACTCACGAAAAACCGTAATTAAAATCCAGGACCTGCTATCCCCACAGCTGTGTCAAAATATGAGCTGAACTTGGAAAGGACACACCGCACAGGTGTTTCCTTCTGAAACTTGTTTAGAGAGGGCCTTAGAGGCTTCATTAAGAGTATAAAGCCCGGAATCTACTCATTGTCTCCTTGGGATGCTAATGTTACTTTATAAATGTTGACTGGACTACTGCCATCTATTGTGTTGTTTTTCTGTTGTCTGTGCTGCTGATGAAGTCTGGCCACCGTTTTGACATGCACTTAACTATAAAACACATCGTGTACTAGAGAGTAATGAGTTGCAGAACAGCAAATGTGTACTTCAGGATCAGAAGAGTAAACTCCAGAGAACAGCGTTTCCTAAGTCATAACAGTTGCTTACCTGTAGGTCCCATGGAAAGAAGAACCTAAAACCAAGAATACTGGGCTTCAGTATAAGGAAAAGCCTGTAAAAAAAAAAAATGAGCCAAGACATTTTATATTGATTTAAAGATTTTCCAACCATTTTTTTTTCTTCTCTGGAGAAGAATCCTTAGTAAGTAAAAGAGATACAAGCAGAGCTGCTCTGCTGGGAGAGGTCAAAGTAAAGAGCGTGGAGCTATGCCTACCAGCTTTCTTTCCACTTATTCCCAGTCCTTCCATGTGGCCCCTGAGTCACTGTCAAGGAACTCTAGGACTCCTAAACTCACAGTTTAAAAATCAGTGATGCAATTGATTATAGGTTCATTTTTCCAATAGCATATTACCTATTTTTCCTAGGAAAGTTGTGCATTAGAGAAAAAGTGAAGTCCTTGTTTATGGGTTCCGGGTCCTGTACTTTATTTTCTTTATCTTTATTGCTCTCTTCCCCCCCCTCGGGATACACTCTTGCTCTTTATCATCTTTCTGGAAGCAAACCTCAGCCCTTTGTATACTTCTGTGGATATAGGATTGATCTGGAGGCAAATATGCCTGAAAGCTCTCCACTTACAGAAAATAAAAAGAAAAACAAGAGCAAGAACTTGATTAAAACCTAGACCTCAAGCTCAGACTGTTTCTTTTTATTCATTAGATTTGTCTGCCTCTGCTCATTCCAAGGTGGTGATCTTCACGGTCAACTCTTTGGGTAGTTCTCAGTCCTACCTGGATGTGGTACAAAGCAATGTGGATATGTTCAGAGCCCTTGTCCCAGCTCTGGGACATTATAGTCAACATGGTGTCCTGCTCGTTGCATCTCAACCAGGTAAAAGGTTTTATTTTAAATTAATCTGACAGTCCAGAGCATCAGTAGAATTGCCATTGCTGATAAAAGTCATAAAACTAGATTATAAAGGAACAGCTAGGCTATCCAAATTGCTCTTATACTGAACAGTACAGTACCTCCATATCCTGTCAGCCAGCCACTTCTTAGGACTGGCATGAATTAGAAGGTTACAACTTACAATTTTTTATGTCATATCACTATCATTCTGTTCCAGGGTTTTAGCCATGTCTCCTTCAGTGAGAAAATAGTTGAACACCCAAGAGAAAAATACAATGGCTTATGTGAAAGATCTTCTGTTAGCTCTAAAGTGTCATAAAATATTAGTGAGCATGCCAGTATGCGTTGTTGACTTTTCATATATTGCAAATTGTTTTTGGAACTGTTTTACTTAAAAAAGAAGTATTTTCAAGGAATTGGGTGGTACTGGACTCAAATTGGTGAACAGAGTTTCTTCATGTTCCCAGTCTAAGGGTATGCATTTTACATGTTTTCCTATAGTAATTGGTTGAGGGACACTGGTCTCTTTAATTCCTGACATCCCATTGGCATGGCAGAAAAAAGTAGTTGTTTTTGTTTGTAATGTTGTACTGCGTAGTGGTGGTATGTGGTCATTATTTTAATTTAAAGCTAGAAATTCATCTAAAGATATAAAAGAGAGCTTGACCAATGAAAAACAATTATTTTCTGGTTTTCTGTTCCCAGTTAACTAGGAAAATATCTATTTTACACTCTTAATTTATATTTAACAACACAGTTATGTAAAATCATGCTGAAGCCTGGCTAGTGTTTTTAATATATATTAAAAATACAGTTTGCCTCATAGTGCATTTAGAACCTAGGGAGAATATATAGAAGCTCTACTATACTTATTAACGTAATAAGTTTTTGTTTATGAACTAGGCTAGAAGTGTATTTTTAAAAATCTTTGTATTTTCACCTTGTGTGCGATATTCAGTGGAAATCATGACATATGTAACATGGAAACTGAGTGCATTTCCTGTAAATCGAGTGATCGGAATTGGATGTAATCTGGATTCACAGAGATTACAATATATTATTACAAATGTCTTGAAGGCACAGACGTCAGGAAAACAAGTATGGGTTATTGGTGAGCAGGGAGAAGACAAAGGTAAGAAGTACTTTTTTATCGTGAAGAGACTCTTCAAGTGTGGCATTCTCGTTTATTTACTTTTCCGTAAGTTTAAGACTAGGCAAGAGCCCTTAGTTTTATATTTTTTAATTGAATTTCAGAGTCCAGGATTAACTTGAAAGTTTAATTCTCTAGAGAGCCACGTTTAAATAAACCTTAACACATATACAGAACTCTTTCCTTTCCTCTCCCCACACTTCAGTCTTGCTTGCCTTTCCTAGGTTCAGACTGTCTCCCTAGGGCCATACCTCCTGTCTGTTTCTCACCTTTTTTAAACACAATTTTCACTCTTTGTTTATCCTTATGACCTCTTTCACCAGCCCACTTGCTCTCTTCCTACCACAGAAAGCATTCAGTTCCCCAGACTGGAAAGCCCCTTTTCCTATCCGAAAAGAATACTTTCCCTATCCAACTTGAGAATCTCTTCCTTTACTCCTTTACTGTTTCCCTCATGTTTTAAAGTCAAGTTGGTCAGGTGACAGAAGTTCTGTGTTTGTCCTCATTTTGTAAGTAAGTACCTACTCTTTCCTCACTACTGCGTAAGTGTTCGTATGATCTAAAAGAGGCATGGGGCACCTGGGTGGCTCAGTTAGTTCTGGCTCAGGGTGGTCTCAGGGTCGTGAGATTGAGCCCCAAATTAGGGCTCAGTGGGGAATCTGCTTGAGATTCTTTCTGTCCCTCTGCCCCTCCCCACCCCCAGACTCTCTCACTCTCTCTCAAAATAAATCTTTTAAAAAATAAAAGAGGCATAGAGCATGGTCTCTTCCTTTATCACACTTAAAAATCATTTTAGAGCAAGAAGGAAAGTATTTACGTGATATTTTAGCTAATTGTGAAAGTATAGGGAACTATTTGATTAAGTGCCAGAATGAGTATTATAGACTTACAGTGCTTAGCTTATGAGTGAGCATTTAACATAAGTAGAAATGACTGGAGAAAATTCTATATAAGACATCATTGAACTGGACTTTGGAAGAATGAATAGGATTTGAATAGAGAGAAAAGAGTGGGAAAGATACTCCAGAAATGGGAAATCAGAAGCAGGCAAAGGCACATATTAACAGTGGTTGTATCTGTGTTAAAGGAAACTTTTAAAAATGTGTATTTGTCAGTATTTCCTAATTTTGTCACTATGGATATTTAGTATTTGTATAATTTTTAAGAAATTTTTAATAAAATATAGCAGTATTTAAATCTGTGTAAATTGGTACTGGCTACCTAGAAAATTCAATGCTAGCAAGAGCCAGGCTATAGAATAAATCCTTTCAAAACCTGATTTTGTGATTGAGCAGGATGACTTTTCAGGCTCAAAATGCTCCCTACACTAGACGCTGATCAAGAGGACCCTGGAAAAGGGTAGCAAACAAGAACTTGGAGCAGATGTATTGGAGTAATGCACGTCTAGGGTTGCAAACACACCTTAGACCCCATATTTTACTCACTAGTACTATTTGAGTTCTGGTCCACGTTGATCTCTTGCTTCTCTGATTCTTGCAGCTCTCCTAATTAGTTTGCTGTTTCCCCTCTTGTCTACCCTGTAAATGATGCCAAATAAATAATGATGTTAGCCAGAACTTTACTATGTGCTTTCCTGTATGAATCCAATCTTCCTAAATCACGTTACTCTTTTCAAAAACCTTCACTGACTTCCTCTGACCAAACTATTAAATTCCTTTTCTTGGCATTCAAGAAATCCCAAAATAAAGCCCTAATCTTCCTTCCCTATTATAATTAAGGAGGTAGTAATGTTATTTGAGAGTTAGAAGGGACACAGGGGATCAGTTACATTTTGTTGTAGGGAGCCAGCAATGGATACAGAGATGGTAAGAGTGATCTGCCTAAGAACCTATAGTTTTTAGGGTCAAAGAAGGACTAAAACCCAGGTCTTGTACCTCCCAGCCCTACCCAACAGCTTTGCTTCAGCCACAGGGAACTTTGCCCTTCTCCTTCTCTCTCAACATACTCAAATCTCATCCTTTGATGTCTAGGTCAAGCCCTCCTTACTTACACCGTGAAGCTTTTCCTGATCACATCACTCCACAGTGATTCCTTCACCCCTTTGAGCTAAAAGCTATTGCTAACTATATGGTAATTAACCATATAACCAGGAAACATGATGCTTATTCTTTTGTTAAACTGCTGTTTATTCTGGCCCAACTTGAATATTTTGTGTGTATACCTTCTCCTTATTGAAAATGTAAATTATTAAGCTGTTGTCTTAGTTGAAAGTCATACATTCACATTGCAAAAAGTTAAGTAGTACAAAAAGGTATGTGCAGTAAAAAATAAGTCTCCCTTCTATGCCAGATCCCCAGTTTTTCTCCCTAGATTCCGTCACAGTTACCAGTCTCTTGTGTAACCTTGTGGCAATGTTCTGTGCATAGATAAGCACATATATGAAATATTTCCTAGGTGGCCAGTACATACATCATTCTGCACCTTGCCCTTTTGCTTACTGATATGACATGGAAATGATTGCATAATAACATATATAGATCTCACTCATCCTTTTAAACTACTGGATATGTCAACATTTATTTAACCAGCCCCCCTAATAAGTTACAATTTTTGAATGAATAAAAACATTTCACAATATGGTTGTATTAATATCTCAAATTGTAAAGAGAAAATAAAGGATAGTGAAATTGATAAATAAGCCCAGGCACTGTGCTGACTGCTCTTGGAGCTATATAGTTGTGTAAGAACCTGACCATGTCTTCAGGAAGCTTAGATCTAACACAGAAAATGACTATAATGGAAGGCAGCATTGACTTGCCATGAGAGAGGTCCATGGGAAGTAGGCTAAAAACACAAGGAAAGAATATGGCAGTTTTGCCTTGAGCTCTCACATGGGAACTAGAAATAGAGGGATGTAGGTACATGTGAATTGGAATCACTTAAATATAATATTATGTACTATTTTACTTATATAAAAGAATACATAAAATGTATAACGTATATTTTGAAGCATAATAGTAGAACAAACATTCATGAATCTATAGTCAATTAAGAACATTACCAATACCACTGAAGCTACTGATGTTCTCCCCAACCCATGTCCCTGTGTTCCATCTAGACACCACCATCAGATCGCTTTTTATCCTGTCTTGTACTTTGTTTCAGAGATAGTTACATCCATGATAGGTCTAACTTACCTTGGCCCTGAAGCCAGAAATGGACAGAGGCTCCCTCTGCTGGTTACGTGTGTAAACATCAACTGGTTATATTTTTGCATAAGTGACGTCCCTGCAGTAACAGCAATTATAATTACTTTTCATTGAAAGCCTACTATGTGTATTAAATGTGTTGCATATCTCATTTAAAATTTACAAACACCCTCTGAAGGGGATGGTGGTTTTCCAAATTAAAAGATGAGGAAGCTTAAGACTCCATGAGGTTAAGTAATTTGCCCAAGATTACATACTAGGAAGATTTGAACCCTGCTCTCACTCCAAAGCTGTGCTTTTTCTTGCTGTGACTTAATTAGAAAGTTTATCTAAAGCATTTAGTACCGTGTCTAACACAGTGTAAATACTCAGTAAATGGCAGTTTCTATTACAGCGATCAGCAAGACAGCGATGAATAGAAACTTGGTGAAAAGACATGTAAAACTACACTTTGAAGTAAAGCAACATTAGGATTTGGAAACTGTTCTAAGAATAGCAGGTGTGCAAATAAAATTAATCCTCATCAAGTATTTCAGAGACAAATGACAGCTACAGCCTGGGGGGAGAAATACATGACATACAAGACCCTTTAGGATTAGTTTCCTGCTTCCCTCCCCTCACCAGCTTCCTCTTCCGCTATCCTGCCAGGCACTCTGTGCTAGTCATATGGTCAACCTGCAGTTTCTTGAATGATGCACGCACTGTCATGCCTCCTTCTTTTGTACCTGATTCTTCCTTTCCCTGAACATTCATTCACTTGGCTAACTCCTGCTCACCCTTCCAGACTGGGCTTGAGTGCCGCCTCTCCCAGGAAGCCTTTCCTAATTCTCCAGGTTAAGTAAGTCCATGCCTCTAGCATAACTGTTATCACACTGTGTTAGAATTGCATATTTACCTGTTTACCCCACCGAACTGCAAGTTCCTTGACCGTGGAATGACCTTAGTAAATGTGTTTTGAAATGATGCTCATACTATCTTGTTGTAACCAAAGGTCATTCATACTATGCCCCCCCCAAATTAGAGAGCAGAACATATACTTTGGAGCTGCTATTTTCGGCTGTGTTACTAACATCACATGTAAACTGCAGATAACTCCTTCAAATGATGGTTTAGAAATCCAAGGGTTGGATCTCAGAATAGACTGTTAGGTCATCTGCTTTGGGCTTCAGTCTTACACAAGGGAAGGTGTTGTATACAATGGAAAAGAGTTTCCCCATGGTCATTGTTCATTAAAATTTGGGGGGCCAGAGGATTGCTGTTCTTGAGAAATGGAGCCAGAAAGATAAGGATTGATTAGCTACAGTATTCGAAAGGGCTCCCTAAAATAGGTTGGACATATATTTAGGAAGTTTGAAGGGCTGGGCAGTAAGTAAACAAACAAAATAAGTCCATCTAAACTTAATTGAAAATTCTAATGACTATGTCACAAGCAAAATCGAACATAGTGAAGCTTTCTCCCTCTCACCATTCTTTCCTAATGGCTCTTGGAAGTCAGGATTCAGAGAGGAGAGAATGAATGTGATATATACATACACACACTCATAATTAACTTTCAGATTTTTGTGCCCCTTTCTGAGTCTTCTCATTCCTCCCTTGTCCCTTTTATTCATTCTTCCAAGGTCTGTAAATGCTGTATTTCACTTAACGGACATTTCCCCCAATTTTCTATCTATTGTGAATATACCAATAATGTACAGAAATTTTTTAGAAAAAAATTCATATATAACCATTCTGTCCAAGTAAAATATATTTTAAAAATCTCTTAATCTGCCCACATTTATTTGTATTGTTCATATAACAATTTTTTTACTCAACATAAAAGCTTTAAAGATTTATTTATTTATTTGAGAGAGAGAGAGCATGCACGCAGGTGGGGGGAGGGGCAGAGAGAGAGGGAGAAGGAGAGAAGCAGACTCCCTGCTGAGCATGGAGCCAGATTGTGGATGCTGGGCTCAAGCTGACCCTGAGATCATGACCTGAGCCGAAATCAAGAATCTGAAGCTCAACTGACTGAGCCACCCAGGTGCCCCTTAATATAAGAGCTTTTAAAATTTTTTCATGTCTTTGAATTTAACTGTTGCAAGTATGCTTTCCTCTTTGTTGATATAATTTTGGATTATGCATGAAGTCAGTTCTGCATCATCTCCTGTGTATCCTTTACCACAGTAAAAATACGTGTGAGAGGACACAAAAGAACACATGGTCCCTGTTCCCTGCAAGCTTATCATCAGTTTGAGGAAGAGATATCTGGATACATATGGTGTCCTTTGTTGCTGACCCATCACTAAATGGCCTAATTTTGAATGCAGTTTGGAAGACATATCTTGGGGCGCCTGGTGGGACAGTTAAGCGTCCGATTCTTGATCTCGGCTCAGGTCATGATCTCAGGGTCATGAGATGAAGCCCCATGTCAGGCTCCGTGCTCAGCAGGGAGTCTGCTTGAGATACTCTCCCTCCCTCTCCTTCTGGACCTGCCCCCCTGCACTCTCACTCACTTTTTCTCTCTCAAATAAATAAATCTTTTTTTTTTTTAAAGAGTTATAGCTTAAATATAGTCTTATATATCCAAATGTATTTTTGTTTTGCCTACCCCACTACAGATCTGTATTAAAGAATGTCTTCGGGCGCCTGGGTGGCTCAGTTGGTTGAGCAACTGCCTTCGGCTCAGGTCATGATCCTGGAGTCCCGGGATTGAGTCCCGCATCGGGCTCCCTGCTCAGCAGGGAGCCTGCTTCTCCCTCGGACCCTCCCCCCTCTCATGCTCTCTCTATCTCATTCTCTCTCTCAAATAAATAAATAAAATCTTTATAAAAAAAAAAGAATGTCTTCACACAGATGAGAAATAGATGAATATTATAAGGGTTTCAAAATGTTTGTGGCAATTTCTATTTAATATTAAAATGTGGTGTAAACATCCAGTTCATGCGCAAAGCTTTGAATTTTTGAGTTGTTTTTGTAAATGATGTAATGAGACGAAATGGTAACCCAAAAGATCCTCGTAGCAAACAGGACCCTGCCTCTCTAACAGCTGTGGAAATCTAGCCAAAATAGGTGACCAAATTATTCCTTACCTGGTGAAAGAAATTAATCTCAGTGTGTTTCCCAGTGGAGCAAATGCCAAGTGCTTGCTGCTGAGGAAAGAAAGCTTTCTACTTGGACAGTAAAACGGCCCTCGTAGAACTAGTGTTGATGAGAGAGCACAGGGAAGGAGGCTGAAGATAGGCTCTGAGGATCATGCTTTTGGGGGCATTGCAACTCCCAGGCAGTAGGCACAGCATACCCAGTGCCAACAGTGGAAAACTGTTTCTAGAAAAGGGGGAAAGGTGTTTAAAGCTTAATACAGATACCCTTGACTGCAAATGATCGTTTATCACGTCTTAATCCTAAGGGAGTTGTTAGCAACATATAATTAATTTTTCCTTTAATTTTTAGTGCCCACATGGGGTGGCCAAGAAGAAGTAATGAGTCCTAACTCTCAGGTGCAGTTGTCCAACAGGTAACACTGAGTGTCGATTTGCATTTGCCCAGTTGAAAATCGTGTATTTCGTAGCTACCATAACAACTGTTTACACAGCATGCCCTTACCAGGCTTCTGCAAACAAAACTAGCTAGTATGGACAAGTTCAAAGTACAAGAGATCAATGCTTTCTAGTCTCTGATTTCTTATTTGAAAGAAGATCCAGGAGTGCTTTGCAAACTTTATTTCAGATACACTATGGACAGGTAAATGGTAAAACAGGGTTCTTATTGATAGTCCTTGATTTCCTGCTCTGATGAGTCAACATCTGAGGATATTAAGAATTTTCTTAATGTGGAAAGAATTTGTATCACTTAAATTTAATACGGGGGCGCCTGGGTGGCTCAGTTGGTTGAGCGTCCGACTCATGGTTTCGGCTCAAGTTGTGATCTCAGTGTCGTGAGATCGAGCCCCACGTTGGGGCTGCTTGAGATTCTCTCTCTCTCTCTTTCTCCTTCTGCCACTCCCCCGCTCGCAAGTGCTCTCTAAAATAAATAATCTTAAAAAAATAATAATGTATTTATTGATACATAAATACATTTGGAAACCAATCTAATATGAATGGATAAGCCATATTATAAGTTCAGGCAAAAATAAAGTGTAACACATAGATCCCTGTGTCTTTTGCCTTTGGTCAGACACCTTCCGAGGTCCCTGCCCTATAGTTTGTACTCCATGCACGGTGTATTTTTATGCCATCTGTTGTCTCGCCATCATGTAATAACATACATTTCTGCAGTTCGGTGGAGACTTTTTGCTTTTTAAACATTCAGCTTAAGACCCTTAGCCTGTAACAACTGGAAAGAATATTCTCTTAGTGAGAAGAGTAGAGTGTTATATAATCCCTTCTATAATTTTTTTTTTAAAGATTTTATTTATTTGACAGAGAGAGACAAAGCGAGAGAAGGAACACAAGCAGGGGGAGTGGGAGAGGGAGAAGCAGGCTTCCTGCTGAGCAGGGAGCCCGATGTGGGGCTCAATCCCAGGACCCCAGGTTCATGACCTGAGCCGAAGGCAGACGCTTAATGACTGAGCCACCCAGGCGCCCCATATAATCCCTTCTAATCTGATTCTCTACATAATCCTACATTTATAAGGAAGAAATTATAAAAGGAAGAAATCCAAACATGTTTAATTTATATCATTTTTATTATTTATAAAGAGAATGTATGTTGTTATAAAACTTCATATACTACAGATATCTATAAAGTAGAAAGTGAAAAGCTGGGGGGGGTCATCCCACTCCCCAGAGACAACCACTATTAACAGCTTAGTGTCCACATGTCCAAACATTTTTCCAGTGCTTATGCAAACATTATTATTTTTATTATTTGTATAATAATAGATATATGCTATTCATATTACCTTGCAACTTACTTTGTTTCCTTAATAATAAATCTTGGACATTTTTCCATGTTGTACATAGAAGCTACCTCATTCCTCTCTGGAGCTATACAGTACTACATTTGGATAGTGATTTATTGAACCAGTCCTCTTTTGATGAGTTGTTTCCAGAATTTTTGCTGTCTCACACAAGGCAAACATGCATATATATTTGCATATTTGCACATATTGCAGTGGAGTAAAATCCCTGAGGAGGAATTTCTAGATCAGATGTTGCTAAATCTTCCTCCTAAAAGATTATATCACTTACCGCTCTCAACAGCAGTTATGGGAATGCCTGTTTCTCTGTAGCTTCTCCAGAAGTAGTTATCAATCTTTTAAAATTTGCCGATTTTGATAGGCAACACTGGCGTATTGTTTTAACTCACATTTAAATATTAGTAGAGGTGAGCTTCTTTTTATGTTAGCCATTTGTATTTTCTCTGTCAACTACCTGCCTGACATTTTTTAAAAGTTTTTTATTGTTATGTTAATCCCCATACATTACATCATTGGTTTTAGATGTAGTGTTCCATGATTCATTGTTGCCTGCCTGACATTTTAAGAAAAGTTTAGTCAGTAGATTATCTGTAGGCTTTCCTAACAATTGCTGTATAACACTTATTTCTGAATCAAAAAATATCTAATTAATACCTTAAATGGTATAAAACTAAATGTACATACTTTGTGAATTTTCTGAGATTTATTATTGTTTGTTTGTTTGTTTATTTATTTATTTATTTATTTATTTATTTATTTTTGGTAACCTAGAGCCATGGAACTGTTACGGGTAAAAGGCCAAAGATCCTGGTCTGTTGGACTGTCGGTAGCTGACCTGGTTGACAGTATTGTAAGCAATAAAAAGAAAGTACATTCTGTATCAATTTTAGCAAAGGTAATTTCTGTTTTCATACTTTCATCATGTTTTTAAACTTCGCAATTATTCGTATAAATCCAGAAAAAGTGTTACTCTGACTGTTCCTCAGGGGTCTTCAGTATCACTGGTTTCGAGAATGACACACCGGAGGAGACAGTTCAGTCTAAGCCCCGTCCTGCTTGGTTATGGGAAGCCTGGACTTCTTCCAGGTTGCCCCTCCCCCCCACGTAATTTTTGGGAAGCCTCAACAAACATTTGTGTATTCCATAAAGTTCTTCTGGTTGTCATTTACCACACCTCTGCCAGTCACCTCACCCCAGACTGACGTGCCAGCTCGTCTTAGCTGCTCGTCCATCTGCTTCTCCAGTTCACTTTGTCCTTTACCACTTTATCCAAGCATAGAGTCCCTAAAGCACAGCTAAGACAAGGCACACAGGCTTAACCACATTATCTTGAAAACTCTGGAATATCAGAAGGGAAATAAAACACGGAAAGGGAAACTTAAAACAGGTTACCGTATGTGACGGGGTCCCTCCCCAGGGAGTCCACTCTGACCATCTTCTCTCAGCCCCCAGCCTGCTCCCCATCCTGCAGCGGGCTAGCGCCCCACAAAGCGGCTGTCTCTGACCACGTGCTTCCTGTCTCGCACACATTTTCTGAAACAAGCATGAGTTTAGAAATTAAATGAACACAACTTTTTTTTAAAGTTCAATTCGTATCTGTTTATAACAACTAGAAAAGCAAGGAAGTATCCATATTTATGATATTAATTTTTTGCAGTGATTTAGCTCTATCATAATCCCTTTTTTTTTTTCATTTCAGGGATATTATGGTATAAACAGTGAAGTGTTCTTAAGTTTGCCTTGCATCGTTGGGACCAGTGGCGTATCAGAAGTCATCCAAAGCACAGTGAAGGAAGATACAGTGACCAAGAAACTCCAGAGCAGTGCATCATCAATCCATGGTCTCCAACAACAGTTAAAACTTTGATTCTAAAGTTCAGTTACCAGAAGGGAAAGGTCATTTAATTTGGCCAACATATATGGGGTTGAGAATTTCTGTTTCTTATTACTTACCCTTACAAACTGCTTGGTTAAGGTAGACGGTTTCCGGTTAGCTTTGTAATTTGAATCCTTAGGGAGTGGGGCAGTGGGGAGAGATCTAATTTTCTGTGTTGCTCTTGAGCTATCTAAACTGTTCTTTAAACCTCCAGCAGAAGTAGACATGCATCTACAATATGCATCATTTAAATTTATGGATCCTCAACTAAAAGCACATTCAGCACTTTGGGAATATTTTGAAAGTATATATTTTTAAAAGAAAGTGACTCCCTGACTGTTATAATAAACACGATAAGCTGAAGGTCCAGTATTGATTTACAGAATCTGTGCTAGGTGTACTTTCAAAAGATCCCCAGCCTAAGGTATTGTTTCTTCTTTAAAATATAATTGGTAGTAATGGGAAAGCATTTTGTTTCCCCTCTTCAAATTAATTAGCTACCAAAAAAAAAAAAAAATTTATGTGCACTTTCAAGTAGTAAAAGGGCAAGTGAAATTTTTTAATATTTGAAGAAAAAGTGTAGTTAAATTTCCAGTGGGACTGTCCTTTCTGAAATTTTTTATAACCCTTTCTTGGGCTATATAATAGATCTCCAACATCTCAAAAATCCACTATACTACTAGTATCATAGAGAAATGTATATTTTTAGTGGAAATAGATTAGGAAAAAAAAGCCAAGCAATTTACCTTAAAGCTAAAATATGAGGCTTTCTTAAAAACCATTAGTCTTAAGGAGAAGAGGTTGGATGGACTGGCTGTTCTGAGCGAACCTTTTTACCACTCCTGAAGAAATGTTCAGAGTCCGTATGCCTTTATGGGTCAGTAACAGTATCTTCGGGCGCCTGGGTGGCTCAGTTGGTTAAGCGACTGCCTTCGGCTCAGGTCATGATCCTGGAGTCCCTGGATCGAGTCCCGCATCGGGCTCCCTGCTCAGTAGGGAGTCTGCTTCTCCCTCTGACCCTCCCCCCTCTCATGTGCTCTCTCTCATTCTCTCTCTCTCAAATAAATAAGTAACAGTATCTTCATATGTGAAAGCGCATTATTACAGATGCAACACACAACTAGTAGTAACAGCTAACGCTGACACTTCTATTTCAGGCAGGGTGATGAGCACTTTATTATTTTATTGAATCCTGAAAATCATCCACTGCGGTAGGTTCTGTCATTTTATAGAGGAGAAAACTGAGGTTTAGTGCCCAGGTGTCACAGCCCAGGGGCACTTATCCACACAGCCTCTTCTTTTTCTAAGCAGTAGAAGGATGAAAAAGCCTAACAGCCAAAATAGTAAGCACAAGACCATAAAGCTGGGATTCTGTACACTACAGAAGGATTACCTCTATTCTCATGTAGGGGCTGACTTTCTTTGTTATCCCAATATAGTTTTTTGAAAGATGGATTCCCTGACTTCCCAGACTTGCCCTCAGCAAATAGCAAAGAGGAGTATGCACTGAGATAGGTGTTTATTTATTTAGTCACAGGGTACTGACTATAAGCCTACAGCACACCAGGCACTGTACTGGGCACCGCAGATACACGGGTGGGCCAGCCGGGAACTAGGCACAGCCCTCACTGTCCGTACAGTCTAGTATGGGAGACATCGTAATCAAATCTCAGAAATAAATGTACAATTCCAAGTACAGTAAGTACTGCAAAGTTGTCCCAGTTGCTCTGAAAGCACGTAACAGGCAAATCCAAACCTCGTCAGAGAGCTAGGAGCCAGGTGGTTTGTAAGGGCAGACACATCCCTGGTTAGTACTTGGATGGGAGAAACAGTGAAACTAATGCCGATTTAGTGTAATAATAATGGATGCTTATAATGAGCTTAAATCATAAAGTGAAATTGTACTGTGTCCCATGTTTGAGAAAGTATAAAGTATTTAATACGTTTGGAAAGATTCCCCGTGAGAATTACCTGGGCTAAAAACCTTGGGCATTTGAAGAGATATGTATTAGTTCTGTGTAAGTTCACTACATTGGGTAGATTATTTTGGTGTTACTCTTAACAATGTATCCTCACTATCCTGTTGCATGAAATACGGGAGTAAAACTGAAAGAATCATTTCTTGTATTTTTTAAATTAGCCTTTTCTAATATCTGTGATCTAATTAGAAATTAGATAATTTCTACTATCTAATTTCTAATACACTCTTGAATAATAACTTTGCTGCAAGACATTGTGTAATAGATGAATTACCAAGAGTTCACTATATTAATTATAAATGAAGGTCAATGAGGGAGCCTGGGTGGCTCAGTCGTTAAGCGTCTGCCTTCGGCTCAGGTCATGATCCCAGGGTCCTGGGATCGAGCCCTGCATTGGGCTCCCTGCTTGGCAGGAAGCCTGCTTCTCCCTCTCCCACTCCCCCTGCTTGTGTTCCCTCTCTCGCTATGTCTTTCTCTGTCAAATAAATAAAACCTTAAAAAAAAAATGAAGGTCAATGAATGCAATATAACAAATACTTACTGAGCATCTACTGTTACTCCAAATACTGTGTTAGAATATAAGTATTCAGGGACGCCTGGGTGGTTCAGTCGTTGGGCGTCTGCCTTCGGCTCAGGTCATGATCCCAGGGTCCTGGGATCGAGTCCCACATCGGGCTCCCTGCTCAGTGGGGAGTCTGCTTCTCCATCTCCCTCTGCTGCTCCCCCTGCTTGTGCTCGCTCTCTCTCTCTCTCTCTCTGACAAATAAATAAATAAAAATCTTAAAAAAAAAAAAAGAATATAAGTATTCAAAGTTGAGTAATTGTCCTTGCCCTGCAGAAGCCCACCATATAGAAATAATTCTATCAGTTATTTCCTTAAGTGTTGAGTATTACCAATCACGTAGGTTCCATATGTAAGTCAAGAAGCAGTACCACCACTACCCCACTATGATTTGGTGGTAATTGCCTTTCACGGTTTTTTTAACTTTCACTGTTTCATTTTTCCAAAATCATGCATTGTTTCTTCTTGTTATGATTTTTAGTGGGGCTTGGATTAAAATGCTTTGATTTTGTAGTGCAGAGATAAATACTTGATATTCCAATTTACATCATAGCTTTCCTTAAGTATCAAGAACAAGGAGTAAAATAAACTTTGACTTTAAAATCACCAGAAGAGGGGCGCCTGAGTGGCTCAGTTGGTTAAGCGCCTGCCTTCGGCTCAGGTCATGATCCTGGAGTCCCGGGATCGAGTCCCGCATCAGGCTCCCTGCTCGGCAGGGAGTCTGCTTCTCCCTCTGACCCTCCTCCCTCTCATGCTCTCTGTCTCTCATTCTCTCTCTCAAATAAATAAATAAAATCTTTAAAAAAAAAAGTTAAAAAAAAATGAAGTTTAAAAAAAAATAAAATAAAATCACCAGAAGATGCCTAATTTATTTAAAGAGTGAAAGAAAATTTGTTCAGATTGAGGAGAGTTTCTTTCATATAATTGATACAGTACCCAGCACATTTATTTCATTTTAAGTGGCTTAAGTGCAAAATTAAGAGACTGGCTTCTGTTGTTTTCAAGCTTTTATTTATTTATTTTTATTTTTATTTTTTTAATTTTATTATGTTAGTCACCATACAGTACATCATTGGGTTTTGATGTGGTGATCCACGATCCATTGTTTTCATATAACACCCAGTGCTCCATGCAGTACGTGCCCTCCTTAATACCCATCACCGGGCTAACCAATCCCCCCTCCCCCCTCCCCTCTAAAACCCCGTTTGTTTCTCAGAGTCCATAGTCTCTCATGGTTCATCTCTCCAATTCCCCCTCCCCATTTTTCCCTTTCTTCTCCTAATGTCCTCCATGTTATTCCTTATGTTCCACAAATAAGTGAAACCACATAATTGACTTTCTCTGCTTGACTTATTTCACTTAACATCTCCTCCAGTCCCATCCATGTTGATGTAAAAGTTGGGTATTCATCCTTTCTTGTGGCTGAGTAATATTCCATTGTATATATGGACCACATCTTCTTTATCCATTCATCTGTTGAAGGGCATCTCGGCTCTCTCCACAGTTTGGCTATTGCAGACATTGCTGCTATAAAAATTGGGGTGCATATGGCCCTTCTTGTTTTCAAGCTTTTAAAAATTACTTCCAGCAAGAAAACTTTTTAAACAATGTATTACCTGCACTCTCCCAATTGATAAAAGCACAGTTGCTCTGAGGGTACTTCTGAATAAGTTGTGGCTTTAAGACCAGTTTGAAAACTGCTTTGCTTTTAAGTGACATAAAAGAGGTGCAGTGGAGGGGTGTCTGCGTGGCTCAGGTTGTGATCTAGGGGTCCTGGGATCGAGCCCCACGTGGGGCTCTCTGCTCAGCGGGAATCTACTTCCCCACCCCCTACCCCACCCCTGTGATCGCTCTTGCTCTCAAATAAATAAAATATTAAAAAAAAAAAAAAAAGGTGCAGTGGAAAGATAGATTGCACTATAGTTTGGTTTGACCGGAGCTGTATACTTAACTAACACATGATGTCCTTATCAAAAAAAAAAATACCTATTGGGATAGCCTGTGCCTGTGTGTTGGCAATAATTTAAGATACTTCCACATGGTTCAATTAGGCCCTCTGTGTTTTTGACTTCACCTAGATGCCAATTTAGAAAAGAATTAATACCACAGTCTGTTCCTCATTAGCGTTAAGCTAACATCATCCAAATGAACATACTTCGTATCATCAAACCCAAGTTTTACAATACCTTGAATGACACCGTGTGCTTATAAAACTGGTGGTGAGTGCAATAATGACTCATACAAATGACCATGAAGACTTCTTTGGGTAGTAGAAATGCAATTACGATCAAGTCCCTACTCTTGCTCTGTACAAGGATGAGGATCTGAAGATGAGCCTGCCCTCGAAGATTTGGACTTTGATAGTGGCCAGGCCAGTATGCACGTGTAGAGCAAGGTAGAATGCTGCGTGTATTATGATTTATGGCTAGGAAGAGAGTTTCTGACTTAGCGGAATGGTTTCCCAGAGAAGAAATCATCGCCCGGTTTCCTGTGAAACCAGGGCTCTACACTTCGCCCTTGTGGATGTAGTATGAAGTACTTCTATGCTTAAAAAACAAAAACAAAACCTCATAATCAGAGAGACCCTAGGCATCATCTAACGCAAGCCTCTCATCTCCGAGTTGGGAAAAACTTAAGCCCCAACTACAAGTGCACTTGCCTTCTATTATCACAAGGGCAAGTTAGCCGCACAACAGTTTTCTGACTCCCAGCCCACATGATGAATCCGTCATTAAAGCTCACAAGCAAAACCTTCCTACTTCCCCTCCCTGCACCTGCTCCGTTAGCCTAAGGCAACCGTGAAACACCTGCTGATCTTACCCCAGTGCAGGGTTTCGACCCTCCCAACAGGCTCGGCCTGAGGAGAATACCCCACCAGGTGCGTCGCAACACACACCGCTCCCAGCCTGTCGCTTACCCCGGAAGTGACGTAAAGGAAGCGGAAGCGCTGGCCCGGTGGCCGACTTCCTGTTGTTAGAGGCGGGGGGGTGGGGGGCTGGTTACTAGGTGTGTGATTGTGTGGGGCGGCCAGGGGCGGCCCCGGAGCGGCTGACCCTCTGCCTGCGGGGACGGGAGTCGCGAGGCGGCCGCCATGGCGGTGTCGGAGAGCCAGCTCAAGAAAATGGTGTCCAAGGTGAGTCCTCGGCGCGCTAGCCACAGGCGCGCGCCCACCACTCCCCTTGGCGCCCGGCGGGGCCTGGCCGCACTCAGCCCAGCGCGGTGCCTCGGCCGGCCGGAGGCCCAGTGCAGTCCTCAGGCGCCTTTGCGGCCCCAGCCCCGAGGTGCCTGTCGCCTTGTGCCGGAATCCCCGCTCCGCGGCCGGGGAAGGGTGGGGGCGGCGGTCAACAAAGGCGCGGAGCCGCGGCCGCCTGCCACCTGCCGCCCGCCCTCCTCTCTGCGGGTAGTTTGGAACAGTCTGTGGGGCAGTGTAGTTTTCGTCCTAGTTTTTATAAACACAGAGAGGGGGTTGGCCTTAATTCTCCATCTGAGATAGTCCTCCGCTGCTGTCCCAGTGTAGGGATCCGTCCGTCTTCGCCCTTCCGTCCCGGCCCCCAGAGATTGTGTCCTTTTCAGTTTTCTGTTTCTCACACAGCTCAATACCCGACCCGCGGAGGTCAGTTAACCGTTGGTTGAATTGGTCCAATTAAAAGTAAAAATGTTCAGAGAAGCCTAAGTACCAGTCGCTCACTACCTCAATGGAATAAATAGAATTCATGACCATTTCAGGGACTTTTGATTTTCTAAGAATAACCACTTTTAATTGTATGCTTCTTACAACGCGAACTTGTTTGCTTTGAACCTAATTTATAATCTTTACAGTTCAAGACCAGTGTATTTTTTTAATTCTTAAAAAGTAGATAGGCATTTTACATTTTAAAGCCATGAATTATTTTGATCATTACTTTAAATGTGGCACCTGGTGAACTGGGTGATAGTGGGGTTTTTTTCAGTTTACCAATTAGGAATAAGATGTATGTGAAGTGGTTGAGAGTTGAATCTTTTCCAGTTCAGTGGGTTAGCTTTGGATACTTTTGTCAAAGCAAGAATGGTAGGAATCAAAGTAGTTTAAGCAATTTTCATTATTAATAAAACACACACTTGTGTATAAACTTATTTCTTTGAAAAATATGCAGTCCCTCTCCCCTGCCCCCCCAGTAAAATCGTGCCTCTAGTCTTTGGTTGAAGAGCAAATAACCTCTAAAGAGGAAGTGGCAGTTTTCAAAATAAAGCTTCTCTTGATTGTCTAATAACTTCTAGGCTTCTTAATTTTCTTTTGATAAAGTAGTTATTCTTGATTGTAGAGGAAGTTTGGGGGAGCCCTAGTAGATAGTGGCTCAGGTCCATGTTGAAACATTTATATATCACTTTAAAAAACAGTACATTGTTTTACATATGATGTAACTGAAAAGTGTTCCATGCCGTTTTTGTTTTTTTTTTAAGATTTTATTTATTTGACAGAGAGACAGCGAGAGAGGCAACACAAGCAGGGGGAGTGGGAGAGGGAGAAGCAGGCTTCCCGCCAAGCAGGGAGCCCGATCCCAGGACCCTGGGATCACGACCTGAGCCGAAGGCAGACGCTTTTAACGACTGAGCCACCCAGGCGCCCCCCATTTTTTGTTTAAATTGATAGCATTAGTATTAAGGTTTATGCCTTAGTCTTCCTATGTAAGGACAAGAATATTCAAATAATGGTTCTGAATTTTAAAAACCATGATTAAGTTTCCTAAACTTCCTGTAGCGGAACCTGCCTTCAAAGACAGACACGGAACATCTTTAGAAGATTTTTTTTATGTCTCCACTGCCTCCCCCACCCTCCAGCCTCTTTTACCCTAAGAACAAAAAGGGACATAAAGAAGAGGTGGGAGAGGATATTCTACCTAACTTTTGGTTCTTGGCCCAATATCTGAAAAACTGAGCCTCCTACAAGTGATAATGTCAGTTCTGAGTATCAACATCTTTTCTATCCGGCCTATGTTAGGTAGGAATAGAAAGAAGAATAATAAAAGCAGCTTGTGGAGTTCCTTCTTTCTGGTAGAGGGCTAGCTCCGGGTGTTAGCCTTTCAGTTGGGTTTGGTGTGATGTAGGAATTGTTAGCCAGGACCCTAGCCACATTGCAAGGGTGATGGTCCTTTACTCCTTATCTGTGGGACCTCCACACGCATCATGCTACTTTGGGCCACCTGTTTTGACTTAATGTCTTTTTATTTATTTTGAGGTATAATTTACATACATTATATGACCTTTTTATATATTATTGTAATTTTTACCTTTTAGTATTATCTTGGCTTCCAGTTTAACTTTTAGTTAATGCCCTTCTCTGTCATCATTTTAGCAATTAACAGAGATACAATTTTACCACTAGTCCATCTTGTTTTACACATACAACTTTATGCTTTAGATTTTTCATGTAGGCAACTACCTGTATTCTTACAGCATTTCTAGAGGTGGAGTCACTACTAAATAGGTAGAAGAGAACTGACTCATTGAAGATTGCTGTGCACCTCACACTATTTTAAGTTCTAAAGATACAACAGTGAATGGTCAGATAAAATACTCTTCTGCAATTTAAATTCTCATAGAAGGTAATAACAACTCAGTAACTACATTAAGTACTATGCTAAAAGGTGATAAATGCTTTGGAGAAGAGTAAAGCTGCAAAGGATAATAGAGAATGCTCAGGCAGGGAGATGGGATGGATTGCACTTTTACGGAATAGTAAAGGAACGCCTTTCTGAGAAGACCTATTTGAGCAGGGACCTGAAAGAGATGAGGAAGCCAACTGGAACAATCTGGAGTAAGAACATTCCAGGAAGAAGGAAAATAAGTGCAAAAGCCTTGAGACAGAAGCTTGTCATGCATGATAAAGGAACAACGAAGGGGGCTAAGGTGGCCAGAGTAGCATGAGCAAGGGGGGAAGGTAGTGGGAATAAAAGTGGTAGATTTTGGAGAGTCTTGCAGGCCACTTATGTAAGGATTTTGTCACTTACTTGGAATATGGATGGGAAGCCATTGATCTGTTTTAACTTTGAACAGTATTGCTCTGGCTGCTGTATTGAGACTAGACTGTAGAGGGTAAGCATGGAGGCGGAGGCACCTGTAAGAGACTGTTGCAGTAAGCTAGGTGAGAGGTGAAGTGGCTTAGACCAGTTTTATAGCCACCGTAGTAGTGAGAAGTGGTCAGATCTGGTTATTTGTGAAGGTAGAGTTAATAGGATTTTCTCACAGGTTCACTGTGGATGTGAGGAAGAGGGGCATCAAGGATAATTTCAAGGTTTTTGTCCTGAGCAGCTGGATGTAGATATGGAAGAATGTAAGAGGAGTAGATTTGGGGGGGGGTAAGCAGTTCAGTTTTGTTGTTCTTGTTGTTGTTGTTTTAGATTTTCTTTATTTATTTGACAGAGAGAGAGCACAAGTCAGGGGGAGCAGCAGGCAGGGGGAGAAGCAGGCCTCCCGCTGAGCAGGGAGCCCGAAACGGGCTCCATCCCAGGACCCTGGGATCATGACCTGAGCTGAAGGCAGACGCTTAACTGACGGAGCCACCCAGGCACCCCAGCATTCAGTTTTGATCATGTTAAATTTGACATTCATGAGATATCCAAGTGGAGATGATCAAACTGGCAATTGGTTATACATGTCTAGAGTTTAAAAAGAGATTCAGACTGGAATTTTTTTTTTAACTTGGGAGTTAATGTCACATAAGTGGTATTTAAAGCCATGAGAGATCACTAAAGGAGAGAGTTTAGATAAAGGAGAGGACCAAGGACTGAGCCGTAGGGTTCAGTAGTATTTAGAGGTTAGGAAGGGAAGGGACCAGCAAAGACACAAGAGAGGAGGAAAACAAGCAGTGGTGTCCTCAAAATCGAGTGAAGAATTGTCTTAAGAAGGAATCAACTTGGTCAAGTGCTGCTGATAGGTTGAGTAAGATGAAGACTAAGAATTGGCCATTGCATATAGCCATGTGGCAGTTACTGGTGACTCTGACAGTCAATTTCAGTCAAAGTGCAAAAGCCTGATTGGAGTGGGTTTGAAGAGAATGGGTGTAGGCATGGAGCATCAGTGGTTGCTAACATCACAGAAAGATACCCAGATAACATATGCTACCTGATGGGAAACACCATCGTCTGTGAAATGATCTTGCTGGAGGGGGGAAGAGAAGAGGTGGCAAAGAAGTAAAATTTAGAAAAAGTCCTGAAAAGGATCATAACTTTTAGATCCAACTAGTAATTCACAGGGAATACGAAGGACATAGGAACATATATATTAAACTACAACAAGGAGATGCAGTTAGCAAAATCCAAAGCATGAGAATCTCTGTAGGACAAATTAACCAGTTTCTTCAACAAATAAATTCCAAGGGGCAGAAATAGAAACGGGCCCACTGATGATGAATAGACAAATAAAATGTCCTATATCCCTATAATGGAATATTCTTCAGCAATGAAAAGGAGTAAAGTACTAATACATGCTGCAACATGGACGTAGCTTAAAAACATGCTGAGACATGTTACATGATTCCATTTATATGAAATGTCTAAAATAGGCAAATTGATAGAAACAAAATAGCAATTGTCTGGGGTAAATGGGCGGTTAGCGGTTATAAGGGAATGATTGCTAATGGGTACAAATTTCTTTTGGGGGTGATGGAAATGTTCTAAATTGTGGTTGCACAACTCGGTACTGAAACCCATTGAACTTTATATAATTCACCTTAAATGTGTGAATTATATGGCATGTGAATTATTAGTTATCTCAGTAAAGCTATTATTGGAAAGAGAGGTAGAAGAGAGAATCTATGGATTAAAAGAGACCTAAAAGACATTTAAGCAAATGATAATGTATAGAGTTTATTTGGATCTCTATTCAAACAAAATATGACCTGCAACTGCATATTTGATAATATTAAGGAAATGGATTAGTTTAGTATGATAATAGTATTGTGGAATTTTTTAAGTTTTTATCTTTTAAAGATATACACAAATATTTATGGGCATTGGGTTATGATGTTACAGTTTGCTGCAGAATAATACAAGAGGAGGGAAAGTGAATGAGGTTATAGATTATGACTGGCTATGAGTTGATTATCGTCAAAGCTGAGCATAGGATATAGGGCACTCATTCTACTATTCTGCCTATGTTTGGGTATGTTTGAAATGTTCCATAATAAAAAGTTCTAAAAAGAATAGGAAAAGAGCAATCATAGTCAGCAAATGTAGGAATTTCCTTGCAAGAGTTGCTATAAAGGAGAACTATAAAGGAGAAGTGTGGTTGTAGCTGGAGGGGAAGGGAGGTCAGGAATGTGTGCTCATAGTACTGATCCCATAGCAGGGAAAAAGCGTACTTCAGGTCAAAAGAAGGCAAGAAGTGCTGAAGAGAGGCCTTTCAGTAGACCTTCTGGATTTATTCCCTCATTTTTCTTGTATTTTTTCCTTTATTGTCTACCACTTTGTCTTTCTGCACTAGTCTCTGTGAGATTTCTTTTACTATGTCTTCTAATCCTCCTGTTGAATGCTTGTTTCCCAGCTATTATATTTTTATGTCCAGGAGTCCTTTCTTCTCTGAGTGTTCTTGTTTCATGGATATAACATCATTTCTTCTTTGAAGGTATTGATGCTAATTCTTTTTGAAGTTTTCTTCTCCTTGCATTTTTTCTGTTATTTTTTAATTCCTTCATTTCTGTTTGTTTTGGTCTTTGTCCTGCTTCTTGGAGTCTGTCTTTTTGGAATAGCCAGATTGCTTCTCTTTGAGAGAGAAGCACTAAAAGCTGACTGAAAGCTTTGTGTAGATGGACGGAGCTTATTAACTGGTGAGCTTTGATGTATTGTAATATGGTGGGGGTCCCTGTCTCCTTAGCTCCTCATCTGCCAAGAATGTGTAAGCCAGGTTCCTCATTTTCCTGGAGTGGAGTAGTATAAGGTGGGGGTTTGAAAATACAATATAGTAAATGATAAATTGCGGAATAGTTCGTATTGATAATAAATGCTGGAGTTCGGAGGAAAGGGAGAGATCACTATGGGCTAAAAGGAAGTCTGGAAAAGGATTCATTAAGAAGGGGGAGAGAGAGGAAAGCTGGGTCTTTGATAAAGATTAAGATTTGATTTGGTGGACAGGTCTTTCCAGTTGGAAAGAAGAGCTAGAATGGAGGTGAGTAAAGGATTCGAATAGGTAGCAGGAGAGAAAACTATTGAGGTTCTTTCAGGCTTTAATTAATGTTAATGATTCGCAAGAACCATTATACTTTTAAGAAGAGTGCTATTAAGAAAATAAGATTTTAAGATGATATGCCTAACAGTAAAATATGTGCATTAGTTTTAAAACTAAATTCCTGTGTGATTTTTCCTTTTCAGTACAAATACAGAGACCTAACTGTACGTGAAACTGTCAATGTTATTACTTTATACAAAGATCTCAAACCTGTATTGGATTCATATGGTGAGTTTATATAATAAAAACATCAATTACTGTACTTTGAGTTTACTCTTTTTGTAGGTTTCCCATTTTCCACTAAGTTTGTTGGTTTTTCCTTTGTAGGACTGAACCTCCACCTAATAAAAGTATTGGGGGGATAGGAAATGGCACAATCTAGTAATAACAGATTTGTTCAGGTTTTTTTTTTTTTTTTTTTTTAAGATTTTATTTCTTTGACAGAGAGAGACACAGTGAGAGAGGGAACATAAGCAGGGGAAGTGGGAGAGGGAGAAGAAGGCTTCCTGTCGAGCAGGGAGCCCGATATGGGGCTCGATCCCAGGACCCTGGGACCATGACCCGAGCCGAAGGTAGATGCTTAACAATTGAGCCACCCAGGCGCCCCTAATTATTTTGAGTTTTAAAAAAATAACAGACCTATGCAAATTTAGACCTAGAGGGGATCTTAAAAATAATTTAGTTTATCATTTCCCCAAATTTTATCCATAGTTATGGAGACTGTTTCTTGGGATGAGGGGTTAAGTTTGAGCAATTATAAATTAAACAAAATTAAATGGGTTTCTTTGCAGCAAGATTTCTCAGAGCCTTTAATAGGCTGGGATGTTATGCCTCACCAAGAGGGGAGAGAAGAGAATCTGTTATACAGTATATCCTAAAGTTAATTAACTACTGAACTTTTTTTTTCTCCCCAGAGCATCTCTTTATATTCTCAGAAACACATTTTGCAAAATAATATTCTGGAATATCTTTTTCATTTTATAGATGAGGAAAACATTTTTTTAATATGGTCCTTAATTCTATAGAATAGGTAGGTACAGTGTGTGTCTACTGTCTGTTGAGATGAAATAAAATTGAGAGATAAGTAAAGAAATGACAATACCTAGATTTGTTCTTTGTTTTTGTTTTTTAAGATTTATTTATTTTAGCGAGAGAGAGAGCGCAGGGGGGTGGGGTGCGCAGGGTGGCAGAGGGAGATGGAGAAACTCAAGCAGACTCCATGCTAAAGCCTGACATGGGGCTGGATCTCACCACCCTGAGATCATGACCTGAGCTGAAACCAAGAGTTGGATTCTTAATTGACTGTGCCACCCAGATGCCCCCAGAGTTGTTCTTTTTTTTTTTTTTTTTTTAAGTCTTTTTGTCCCCACCAATCCTAATGTCATCTTTCTAACTCTGTGTCCTTGTAAACCCCTAATGTGCCAGGGCCAGGGGAAAACCCCTGCTGCCTCCTGTCCATTATGAGGCTCTTGGCACTGAGGGCTACAAGCTGAGTTTTGTAGGTGAGACTATCATTCTAAACTCCACTCACTCCTGGGGCTTTGAAAACAATAGGAGCTTGGTGACAAGAGATGAGAGTTAACAGAGGGACAAGCAGTCCTGTGTTTTCTGAACAACAAAGACATGAACCAGAATTTCTCTCCCAAACCTAGGGCACAATTCTCCTTCCTGTCCACATACTGTGGTATTTAGATCTGGGGAAAACCTCATATTACCAGAATTGGAGTTAATTTAAAAATGGCTTCAGTGAGGGGAAAAAGTGACTGGGGCTAGAACTTTACTGTAAGTGTATAGTTTTTACTGTATGCTAAAAGAATAAATATGTTTATCTAAACTGACAAAGAGGGGTGCCTGGGTGGCTCAGTCGGTTAAGCATCAGACTTTTGGTTTCAGCTCAGGTCATGATCTCATTGATTGTGGCATCGAACCCAGTGTTGGGCTCCATGCTTACTGCAGAGTCTGCTTAAGTTTCTCTCTTCCTCTCCCTTCACCCTTCCTCCCGCCCCCCACTCATGAGTTCTCTCTCTCTCAAAATAAATAAATAAATAAATGAAATCTTTAAACTAACAAAGACTCCAGCATCACTGAATAAATTTTATATAGCATTATATGGCTGGACCAAGTCTAAACCATTGTTATCAGCATGCTTTTAGAGTAATTAAAACCCTAAATTTAAATAAGGTGATTTTTTTTTAAAAAGCACAAAATCAGAATAAATTATAGCACAGATTATAATTGTCAATGCTAAGTAAAAGAACAGAGGTAAACAGTACAGTTCTGTGTTCTTGTACTGCACATTACAGCTTTTCTATGTGATAGTGTTAATTCCAAATCATTATTACAAATAATAGCAGTCCATATGATACAAATCATGTGGCCTAATTATAATCAATTACAGATAGAAAAACTTACATGATATGAGAAATACTTGTATTGAAAGATGTCTATATTTGACTGAAAACTTTTTAATACTGTGGTTTGATACTACATTGGGATTGAGAATGACATTGAGTAGGGATAAACATCTGGGCAATCTAAAATTTAACGATACTGGGTTAACATTTAGTGTGGTATCAGCTGATAGTGATTTTTAAGTAACTTTATAATCATACTAGTTGGGGACCAAGAGCTTATATTTGCTGGGACTGAAGCACTCACATTCATTTTTCCAAGTAATTCAAAGCATCTTTTCTTCACTCATTTAAAAACCGATCCCACTGAGTCAGTCAGTCAACAAAGGATATTTTGTTATTGGGCAAAATGGGTGAGACATTAACAAGTTAGCTCCTTTCAAGGGTAATAATGAGTTTTAACCAATGTTTCTGAAAGAATAATTCATCTGGGAGTGTCTGAAAATGCTCATGACTGAATCATTATTATTTCTTTTCAGTTTTTAATGATGGCAGTTCCAGGGAACTAATGAACCTCACTGGAACAATTCCTGTGCCTTATAAAGGTAAACATCTTATGTAATTTATGGTTCCAATATAGATGCATTGTGATGCACCTAGTAGGTTACCAAAGAGTTATGAGTAAATTAAACCTACTTTCTCCTGACTTTAATGATGATATAAAGATTTTAACTTATTCTAATTGAACTTCATTTGGCAGCAGCACCTAATATTTTCAGCTTTTTCCCCCATTCTTTACTAAGTCATATCAACAAATAAGTGCCTCAGTGCCCTGGAAGAGTTTGATGTTTCATAGACTCAGGGAATCTTAGAACTAAAAAGGGATTTTTTTTTTTTTTTAATGTTGTATTTTTAAATAGTCTCTACACCCAATGTGGGGCTTGAACTCACAACCCAACCCCAAGAGCAAGAGTCTCGGTCTACCCGCCTAGCCAGCCAGGGACCCCTAGAGAGGGATTTTCAATGCCTTGTAGTTCAACCTCCCACCCCATCCAGATGTTTCCAACAATGGGAAGCTGTATAGTATAATGGCTAAGGTAGAGGCTTTAAAGTCAGGGCAAAGTAAGGTTTCAGTTCTCTGTAATCTGTCAGTTTTGTGACAATGGACATCTAGAACAATTGGATGATAGAACTAAAAAAAGTATTCATTGTGATAATGTAAAGGACTTAGCACAGAGCCTGGCATGTAATAAACAAATACCAAAAGGAGCTATTATGGGATGCCTGGGTGGCTGAGTCACTTAAGTGTCTGCCTTCGGTTCAGGTCATGATCCCAGGGTCTTGGGATTGAGTCTCCACATCAGGCTCCTTGCTCAGCCAGGGAATCTGTTTCTCCCTTTGCCTGCCACTCCCCCGCTTGTGCGCACGCTCTCTCTCTCTGACAAATAAAATCTTTTTTTAAAAAGGTAGCTGTTATTATAGTTGTAATGTTGGTGATAATGCTGATGATGGATAATTATGTCTTCTTTTAGCCAGTCAGCCATCTTCTGCTGGAATACTTACAGTGATAAGGGACCATTCAGCTTCATGAATGACTGTTCTCTTTTTGGACAGTTCTGTTTCTTAATTATTCTTTGTGACTTCCTAAGACCTGTGACTCTGTAATACACCCATTGATTTTATTTTTTTTAATTTTATTTTATTATGTTATGTTAGTCACCATACATTACATCATTAGTTTTTGATGTAGTGTTCCATGATTCATTGTTTGCGTATAACATCCAGTGCTCCATTCAATACGTGCTCTCCTTAATATCCATCACCGGGCTAACCCATTCCCCCCACCTCCCTCCCTTCTAAAACCCTCAGTTTGTTTCTCAGAGTCCATAGTCTCTCATGGTTCATCTCCCCCTCATTTTTCCCTTCCTACTATCTTTTTTTTTTTTTTAACATATAATGTGTTACTTGTTTCAGAGGTACAGGTCTGTGATTCATCAGTCTTACTCAATTCACAGCACTCACCATAGCACATACCCTCCCCAATGTCCATCACCCAGCCACCCCATCCCCCCTCCTTAATCCTGCTCATATCTTTTAAAAACTGAAAATTTGAGAAACATCTTAAAACTTTGAACCAAAGTATTTGTGATTTTTCTTTTAAGTGTTGCTTAGTTGTAGCTCTCTCTTGCTTACCTACTAAGCCATTGATAAAACATAATAAAAATAGAGTAACTGAAGTTTCTCTTTCTCTTTCAGGTAATACTTATAATATTCCAATATGCCTGTGGCTGCTGGACACATACCCATATAACCCCCCTATCTGTTTTGTTAAGCCTACTAGTTCAATGACTATTAAAACAGGAAAGCATGTTGATGCAAATGGGAAGATATATCTTCCTTATCTACATGAATGGAAACATGTAAGTATTAACAGTATTGTGTGAACTCATTGCATTTTATATACTTTGCTCCCTAGCATCTCCTTTCTGTTAATATTCAAAGAGGATTCCCAGGAGGATAGATAAGTTCACATAAGATCCTAATCACTGAGCTGGATAATTGGAAAAGGTTCTCCAAAAGAAATATATTTGTATAGAGCTTGGTACTTTACAGAATACACATAGTCACTATTTTATTTGCTTGAATTGAACCTTTAAGAATAAATGGGATTCACATAATGGGAAATGCATTTTAAAAAGTAGTTTACTGGTGGCATATATTTGTGAAACTGTTCAAATCTCATTACTCAGCATTCCTGTCAAGTAGCAAACCAGATAACCTGAGTTTCTCCCTCAAGGGAATAAACTGAATTCCAAGCTTCAAAGACAGTGTTAAAAAACTAAGCAGAGGGATGCCTGGGTGGCTCAGTCGGTTAAGCGCCTGCCTTCGGAGTCCTGCATCAGGCTCCTTGCTTTTTCATGTCCAGCATACAATTTAAAATTATCAAGTACATCAAAAAATAGGATAAAGAGGGGAAAAAAAGACAGTAGCAATAGGACACCACAACTCCCAGGCAACCCAGTTATCAGACCCAGACTTGAAAATGATTGTGATTGGGGCGCCTGGGTGGCTCAGTTGGTTAAGCGACTGCCTTCGGCTCAGGTCATGATCCCAGGGTCCTGGGATCGAGCCCCGCATCGGGCTCCCTGCTCTGCGGGGAGCCTGCTTCTCCCTCTCCCACTCCCCCTGCTTGTGTTCCCTCTCTCGCTGTGTCTCTCTCTGTCAAATAAATAAATAAATATTTAAAAAAAAAAAAAAAGAAGAAAATGATTGTGATTAATATGTTCAAGATGGAGAACTGTATTAAAAAGGAACCAAGTGGAAATCTTAGAATTGGAAAATAGAATAATAGAAATTAAGAACTTGGGTGCCTGGGTGGCTTAGTTGGTTAAGCAACTGCCTTCGGCTCAGGTCATGATCCCAGAGTCCCGGGATCGAGTCCCACATCAGGCTCCCTGCTTGTCAGGGAGTTTGCTTCTCCCTCTGACCGTACCCCCTCTTCTGCTCTCTCTCTCTCAAATAATAAAATAAAATCTTTAAAAAAAAAAAGTAAGAACTCAGTAGCCTGGTTTAGTAGCAGATTGGACTCAGCAGCATAGAGAATGAATGAACTGGCAAATGAATACTTTACAAAAGATGTACAAGTCCATTATGGAAAAAATTCTAAATTTTATTGAAAGACATTAAAGAAGACTTAAAGGAGAGAGAAACTTATTCATGGTTCTTTGTCCTAACAGTTTTTATTTCTTTGTATATTTGTTAATTTTGTGAACTTGATAAGCTGAATCTAAAATCTATATGGAAATGCAAAAGATTGAGCATAGCTAAGGCCCTCTCCAAGAAGAATAAGGTAGAACGGACTTGCCCTACCCATGTCAAAATGTATTATAGAACTAAGATAGTACGGAATTGTCATAGGAATATTCAGATGGATAGATGGAATATAATAACCCATAGGGGCGCCTGGGTGGCTCATTTGGTTAAGCGTTGGACTTTGGCTCAGTTCATGATCTCAGGGTCCTGGGATCAAGCCCCGCATCAGGTTCCACGCTCAGTGGGGAGTCTGCTTCTCCCTCTGCCCCTTCCCCTTTTCCTCCCCCTGCTTGTGTGCACTTGCGAGCCATGTAAATAAAATCTTAAAAAAAGAATTAAAAAAAAGATCCACTAGATATAAACACTTGATATATGACAGTGGTATTATAACAGATCGTTTGGGGATAAGATGAACTTTTTAGTAATGGAGCTGGGACAGTTGGATTCCTATTCATATACCACACAAAAGTTTCAGATAGATTGTTAAAAGGGAAAAGGAAAAAAAAACATAGAAGATTGCTTTTGTGATCTTGGAATAGGTTAGGTTTTTGGGTTTTGTGGGTTTTTGTTTTTTTTAACAAAACAAAGCATTTACTAGAAAGGAAAAGTAATAAATTTTACCTTGAATTTGTACAAAGTGAAAACTTATATTTATTAAAGACATTAAAAAGTATGAAAAAACTAACCACAAACTGGAAGAATACATTTGTAATACTTAATACCCTCAGACTAATATCCAGAATATTAAAATAACTTGGGAATCATAAAAGAAAGAAACCCAGTAGAAAAAGAGAGAAAACCCTTGAACAAGGGGCACCTGGGTGGCTCAGTTGTTAAGCGTCTGCCTTCGGCTCAGGTCATGGTCCCAGGGTCCTGGGATCGAGCCCCGCGTCGGGCTCCCTGCTCAGCGGGAAGCCTGCTTCTCCCTCTCCCACTCCCCCTGCTTGTGTTCCCTCTCTCGCTGTGTCTCTGTCAAATAAAAAAAACAAAACAAAACAAAACCCTTGAACAAGTAAGTACTTCACAAAAGGGAAATTCTAGTAGGCAATAAACATACTGAAAGATGTTTAACCCTGCTAATAGTAAGGGAAATGTAAATTAAAACCACAGTGAGATACCACCACATACCCATCAAATTTGTGCAACCAGTTGACAATGTGGGTTAGTGAGGAAGCGGAGAACAAGAACTCTTTGACACCAGTTACTTTGGAAACCAGTTTGGCCTTAGTAAAGTTGTGAGCATATGCCCTGTGACCTAGCAGTTCCACACCTAGGTATGTAGCTCAACATTATTGACATTGTAGGTCGGGTAATTCTTTATTGTGGGAGGGCTGTCCTATTCATTGTAGGATGTAGAATCTCTTGCCTTTACCCACAAGATGCCAGTAGCATAACACCCAGTTGTGACAACCAAAAAATGCTCTTGGAATTTCTGAATATCCCCTGGGAGGCAAATGTATCACCCCCAGTTGAGAACTACTGCACAAGAGTAACGCTTGCACATACCTACTCGAAAATACAGCAAGAATGTATTCGGCATACATTGCTGAAGACTGGATACACCCTAGCTGGCTATTAGCGGGAAAATGAATAAAAAAGGTGTGTATTCATTGGGTGGAACACCATACAGCAGTGAAAATGAGTTAAATATAGCTGTGCTCTTTAACATGACTGTATCTTTCAAACATTGAACAAAAGCAGCCAATCTCGGTAGAATGAATATGCAGTTTGATTAAATTCATATGAAGTTCAAAAAAAGCCACATTAAACACACAGTTTAGGAAATCATTCTTAGGTAGTATGTTTAAAGTCAAGCAAAAGAATGATTATCCACTAAATCAGAGAAGTGGTTTACCTCATGAGGACATAGAGTGGATGCAGTCTGAAACTTCTAAGTTACTGTCAGTCTTCTATTTCTTAACTTGGACAATGGCTTCCAGGTGTTTTCTTTATTGTTACTCTTTAAAGTTACATAGGTCATACATTTCTGTAGGTATGACAGATTTCACAGATCTAACAGAAAAGACACAGTGGTGGCTAACTTTAGTATGGTATTCAAGGCTATACCATGAAGGATCCTGATTGTTAGCTAAGGACTTTGTCCTTCAGTAGACAGATGGGAGTCATTTTAGACTTCTGAACAAGATTAGGGTATTAGAAGCAATGATTATTTGGTATAATGTCTGAAGTATACTAGATGAATACATTAATTAGCTCTCTGACTTTAAAACATAAACCCCGAAATGCCAAGAGGCTTAACACTAGATAAGTTTCTTGCTCACATAATAGTCCACTGGGAGGGGCGGGCGCCTGGGTGGCTCAGTCAGGTAAGCATCTGCCTTCAGCTCAGGTCATGATCCCGGAGTCCTGGAATCGAGCCCTACATCGGGCTCCTTGCTCAGCGGGGAGTCTGCTTCTCCCTCTGCCTGCCGCTCCCCCTGCTTGTGCGCGCGTGCTCTCCCCTTCTCTCTCTGACAAATAAATAAAATCTCTAAAAAGAAAAATCTGTAGCTGACCTAATTTTTCTGTTTTTAGCCACAGTCCGACTTATTGGGGCTTATTCAGGTCATGATCGTGGTGTTTGGAGATGAACCTCCAGTCTTCTCTCGTCCTACTATTTCGGCGTCTTATCCACCATACCAGGCAACAGGGCCACCAAATAGTAAGTATAATTAAGTTTGATTTTTAAACTCATAAACAAAACATAAAACCTTGTAAAAAAATTTTTTTTCATGACTTCACTTTTTAGCTTACCCAGTTAGTGGATTTTTTGGAAGTATTCTGAGGCCACACCTCTGCATGTACAGATTCCCACCAAAGACTGGCATTTGGGCTTCCGTTTGTGGGTAGAAATCTAACTATGGGTGTGCTAGATTCCAAAATGGAAGAGAAAGAATGCTGGAATAGAGCTAGAATTGTTTTTTAATTTTTAATTATACATGCCATGGAATAGCCTTATAGCATCAGTTTGGAAACAGATATAACTTGAAAGGTAGGCTGCTTTTCTTTGCAACTGCAGAATCAGTGTTGTACATAAGAATCAATTAGTCAACTGAATCATTCACATTCTGCAGTTCTGGCTGTAACACAACTGAACATCTAGCTCTTGGCTTCTCTTTAGTACAGCCAATTCATTTTACCTGGTATGGAGAGGGTGAGAGCCTGAAGTCAGTACTCTCCCCTGGTTGGTACACATTATCTCTATTATTTCTTCCCCCCCCCCCCAGAAATTCCTATTAATACTTTCAGATCACCCTGGATAATTGAGAGTTGGTTGTACTTACTTGTTTTGACTTTACTAAACCTATATTGATTTCATTGTGTTTTGAGCTATGATTTTTTTTTAACAAATTTTTTCAAGATTATAATTAAGCAAAACTTAGATTATGTGAGCTTTCATTTTTCTCGTACTGGGAGTTATTCTCTTCCTTTTTAATCAGTTCTGTCTCGAGGAACATTTTGACTCACAAGCTGAATGGGAATTTAACAGAAAGAACTTTCTGAACCCATTTCCTTTTCCTTCCCTGCTTTCACAGAGTAAGTTTGGTTTTAGGAATTAGTAGCTCTTTTATTAAAAGTTCTAGTGATTCTTTTGGACTAGAAATTTGTTTTCATCTTAATAAATTCTGTTGAGGCTAGTATTTGAGGTTAGACAGCCTTGCTCTTTTAAGTTTGAAATACCAAATATTTCCTAGTTTGCCATTCATGTTTATTTGCTCCAATAACATAGCTAGTGACCACCGAAGATAACCTTTACAGAAGTTTAGGCAGTCTCCTAAGCAACATTTTTTTCCTAAATTTCTTCCAGTTTTATATTGACACTGGAAGTGTCCAGAAAGAGACCACAGTAAAGAGATTATTTTTGCAGTTCAGGTTTGCACTCACTGTATATCACATTAAACAATCTATAGCTGATTTAAGTAAATTACTATCCTTCAATTCAAGTTTTAATACTTTTTATACATTTAAACAATATTGATTAGTAGTAGGTATGAGTGTAAAGAGATTAAGTCCAAATTCCATTGCCCCCCCCACACACACACCAAGGAATAGCCCAGAAATTTGGATATATACTTATATGAAGATTATCTTCTAGTTCAGAAATTATATACTTCTATTATTTTTATCATTACTCACAACACTTTTTGAAGGCGCCTGGGTGGCTCAGATGGTTAGGCGTCTGCCTTCGGCTCAGATCATGATCCCAAGGTCCTGGGATCGAGTCCCACATTGGGCTCCCTGCTCCCTGGGGAGCCTGCTTCTCCCTCTGCCTCTCTCTCTCTTTCTCTCTCTCTCTCATGAATAAATAAATCTTAAATAAACAAAACAAAACACTTTTTGATCTGCTGTTTTAGGATGACTTTGAGCTATGAGTCATATTAAAAAAGGTAATGGCCAAACATCATTTTTTGACAACTAACAGTAATAGTCAGCATTTATTGAATTGTAACTGTGAGACACAGCTAAGCACTTCATATTCATACTTATTTGATTCTTATAATAGCCCCATATGTTATATGTATTTGTATCCCATTTTATTCTGGCTCTAAAATTACTTTACCTCATTTTCTTCTTCCTTGATAGTCTTGGATCCAAATAACATTGTTGTTTCTAAGAATTAAAATTTGAAGGCTTTGGTGGAATTAGTATCTTTTCAGAACCTTAGAAAAGGAAAATTGCTTCTGATTATGAAAATTTGGTGCACGATTATGATTGCTCATAAAAACAAAGTGGTAGCTTATGTGTACAGAGAAAAACTAGCATGGGTGGGGAGGGGTAGTAATTGACCATGTATTTTGCCAACAGTAGTAGCCTTGTGTTCTGATGTTCTTAAGGATCAGCTGTGCGTTGCCCAGGAAGAAAAAAATGTCTTATGGAATCCAGCAATTGAGACAGGAGTTTTTTTCCCTTCCTGAAATAGCATTGAACATCATCCTAGCTTCATTATACTTAAGAAAAAATTTACTTAATATCTATAGTTCATCCTAACAGGGAGACTGTGAACACTGATACTTGGAGATGTATGCTCAGCAAGTCTGGTAAAGATTTATGAGGCCCTTGGTCAGATCCCATTATATATGTCTCCCAACCCACTTACATTCTGTGCTTTAACGGTTCATTTCTTGAAGGCTCCACCTCTCTTGCCTTCCAAGCCTTTATATACCATTCCTCTACTAGATCCCTTTTATTTACCCCCACATCCTAAGTTTAGATTAGCTGCCTCCTGTATGATCCCATGTGTATATATATATTTTACTCTGTACTTCTCCTGTCATAACATTTAGCACTCTGTATTATTATTATTCCTTGCTTATCTCCCCCACTAGACCATGAGCAACTTGAAGCCAGGAATTCTTTCTTTTTTTAATCAGAATCCTGGTGCTGGTTACATAGAAGCACTAGAATATTTATTGATTGGATTAAGAGCTAATTCATCATTGTATTCAGTGAGAAAAATTTCACTGAGGATAAACTGATTCTCAGACAAGTCATTTCCAATTAAAGTCAAAATTCTCTTTTTCTTTCACTGTGTTGATTAGCCTCCTGGCACCACTGCCTAGTTCAGGGTCTTTAGTGTTATAAAAAATATATAAACCATTCTTTAAGCTTGCTAGATTTGAACCTTTTTTCCCTCGTATTTCCAAGCTTTTGTTTTGTTTTTAACCAGTCTAGCTGAATATAAGTTTTGTAAAGGACTTCTCATACTAATTTGAAGTCTTTTAAAGTCCTCAGTCAAGCCAACAAAACCACCTGTGCAAACTGGTCAATATTTGGTCAATAATGGGTCAACAAGAAATATCAAAAGATTTCTTAGATATAATAAAGAGGGCACTTTCTGAGAAGCTGATCTTGGACCAGAGGAGGGCAGAATTACCTTCCTCTAAATTCCAGTTGAACCAGCTGCTGTGTCAGGTTATAAACTCTTTGAGAGTGTGGAGAGCTGACCAGGTTGACCTGTTTGCCGGTTATTCCCCGTTGGGACTGTCCTGTGTATTGTTTTGCCTCATAGTTAATGCTTTGAGAATTTTGTGATTTGAAGATACTGCTTGCAGTAAAGAACTAATATAATATGGGTGGAGTGTTTGTTTTGTTTTGGTGCTGAGATTTGGATTCTTTACCTGTATGAAATTTTGCAGTGGTTTGACAATGATATATGTCTTCTTTGATAGCCTGTATATCCAGGACTATGCATATTATTTTAAAATGTTAAAAATTATTTTTAGCTTCCTATATCCCAGGCATGCCAAGTGGAATCTCTGCATATCCATCTGGATATCCTCCCAATCCCAGGTAATGAAAAATCTTTTGAATAATTGTATTAGAAATTCTATTAGATCTAGAATTGAAATAATGGGGGCTAACTAGAGCATTAAAGAAACATAGTTGCAATTTAATGGAAGGTAAGACTTGATTTTTAGTGAAATTTTATAGTATGTATATAATTCCAAAGGAGTTTTTTCCATTCTAGAGAAATGTAGCTTCATTCTGTTTACAAAGAAGGAAGGAGTGAGATAATGACAATAATCTTGATTGGTTTTGGACTTTGAAATCCTTGCTTGCTCTGCTTCCCTTTTAAGAATTTTATATATTTAGTGTAGATAACTGAAAGGTTAATGGATTACTAATTATAATGAATTCAACCAAGGAGAAAAATAATTTAATACCTTTTTTTTTTTTCTTGGAGAGGGAGAGAATCTTAAGCAGGCTTCACTCCCAGCGTGGAGCCCGATGTGGGGCTCGATCTCACAACCCTAAGATCATGACCCGGGCCAAAATCAAGAGTTGGATGCTCAACTGACTCAGCCACCCAAGTGCCCCTATATTTTAAAACCCTTTAAAAAAAAACCAACTTTTTCATAAATTACAGGGAATGGATTAATGGCTCACTTGATGGGGTCAGTCTTATTTATTCATTTAGCTCGTCGACTACATATACTACAAACCTCTGTTAACCATTTGATAATAACATAACTCAGGTAGGTTAAATTAATCGTGAGATCAGTCTATGAGTAAGACACATTAGAAAATCCATGAGAAATAATTAACCCATGTTGCAATTGTGTAGTTTCAGTGGTAATCTAGGACTACCTTCCAAAGGGGTGGTCTTTGGGTTGACTTATAATGCAAGACGGCATATGCCAGTGTCCAGATGAGATTTCTGGCTACTTTAACTATTAACAAGAAATTTTTCACCCTGCTAACTCTTTTTAGCTTCATACAACCCTCACAGATAAATGTAGCCAGATTTCCTGAACACCTGATGTATGTACATGTATAATATGCAGGATCCTATAAGTTAAATTTAGTAATCTTATTTATTTATGGATCTTTCTTAATTTCACAGACTTGCTTTACAAGGTAGGAAGCATTCTGTCATATTAGGTAAGCAAAGACTAGATGAGTATCTGTCAGGGACAATAAAGAAAAAGACAAAAAAAGAAAAAATAATTATAATCTATAAACAGGCTATAAGTTTTAGATTTCTTGAGGCACTTATTTTTCTGATTAAGTTCTAGAAACAGAATCTTCTTGTCAGTAGTAAGATGGAACTTTGGACATAAGGAAATGGTTGTTGGAAGTACAGTAAGGAAATGGACTTCTGAACAATAAAACCATTTCAGAGAAACTCGTAGATAAAAATGAAGCTGGAAAATATTGGCAAAACTCTAAATCTTACTCACTTAGGTAACCATAAAAGTGTCTTCTGTGAGGTTATTTGTAAGAAGTTCCTTTTTGAGATAGCTGTTTTTCAAAGATTTGATGTTTTTTTTTCCTTTGAAATGTAACTTTTAATCTCAGTGTAAGTAATATGCCAATGCGTTGTTAAGGGTAACTGTATTCAAACTGCCATCTGTATCTTTCTGTATATAAAAGATTTTGGCAGAAGAGCTTCAGAACCTCTTTCTCTTCTCCCTTTGTCCTAAAGGAGAATTAATAAATCAGTGACTCAAGAAGAATCTTTATCTTAAAACAATGAATATGAGAGTCTTTATTCTTGCTCTAGAAAGTTGGACTAGATGATCTCTAAGTTCTCTTCCAAATCTTAAGATCTTTTGAAAGTTTAATTTAGCACCTGCAGCGTGTATACAAGGAAACTAAAAGGTATGTCAAGAATGGTTGTTCCAGTTTGGGTCTGTGTACTAGCACGCATGTAATAAGATATTAGGAACCAGTTCCTGGTATCAGAAAAGACAGACAATGGTAAGTGCTGTGATAAATAGAATTCAGAGGGGAGGTCACATCTCCTGTGGCGCTGGGAGCTCAGTGATAACTTCATAAATGAAAGAACAGGTTTACAAGGAGGACCTTGAAGAAGGAAATTCGGTGTTTAGAGGTGGAGGGAGCAGCAAGGAGTTATAACACTCTGTGACTGAGGGGATACTTTCCAGTTAGTCCAGCCCACTCATTTTATGTAAGCAAAGTGTGAAAGCCACCAAAAGCCCCAGGAACAATAAGGAAACACTGTAATGCGGTTGAAGAATATGGGGTTAGGAGGAAAGGAATTAAAGAGACTAAAGGTGCAACTTCATGGATATTACACATCTCCCAGAACCTTCCCTGATCTCCTCTAGCTGATAGTGATTTTTCCATTCTATATTTCCTGGATTTTTACTTAGCATTTCTTATTTCCTTGATCCTATCAGGATTGTTTACAGGGATCTTGCCCTGTTTTGATAGCATCTTGAGGAAGAAACGAATTCATACCTTAGCTCCTACCTCAAGCACTTAGAAACAGTTCCTTAAATATAATAATTAGTAAAATTTGAAAGAGTACATAAAGAAAAAGGAACATAAGAGTGTTGGAAAATTCTTTTTAAATACGTAGTTTTAAAAGGACTCCTCAGTATGAAAAAGATGTGCTACATAGAACAAATTGTTTAATAATATACAAAGATAGAAAATGTACCACTCAGTTCTTTACTCAAGAAAAATTATTAACCCTGAACATAGAGAATAACTATGAAGAAGAAATTGAGCAAACTAAGAGACAAGGGAGTTCTTGGAAGTTAATGTCTGTAGGCCTAGAAAAGTTTTATACCAGGTTACTGAAAAATTCAACAGTATAATCACAGATTGTCTTTAAAAGAGTATGCAAAATGGGAGTAACCCCAGGAAAAAAGAGCACGTTTATCCCAGTTTTCAAAACCATAGATCCAGAAATTTCAGTACGATTGGCACTGTTTCCTGATACCATGGTAGCAGGGTTACTAAAGAGACCAGAAACAAAAGCAGCGTTCAGTAGCCTTTGGCATGTGTTTGCCAGGAACAGAAATGCCTGCTATTTTCTTTGATTTTGCTTTTATACTGATAGATGAGAGAGTACTGTGACTACATCGAATCTTCAACAAGTGCTACAAAATTTTTTTGTTGGGGACAAGTGATAAAGTGTGAGCTGGTAGTACAAACAGTAGAATCTTTGAACCACTACACTGGAAAGGGATTACTGACTCCCAGCTCAGAGCTCTTGCCCCAAGACTCTGTACGGGCTGGGTTTCATCAGTAATTTTAATGGACTTGTAGAAAGCATATTGATCAGAATTGCCAATATCATAGATCTGACAACTAATCCAGATTTATTGTCCAACTAACAGGTAGCTAGTGATCATCTTGTTTCACTTTTCTTCCCCATTGTAAGGGAAATACCTCCAAACTAGTGAGCATTCAGAGGAAAGTGATTAGACCTTAAAATCATGTCCTGTGAATAATGGTTGAAGGAATTTAAAAGATTTCACCTAAAGAAGAGATTAGAAGACTGATGTTAGAAGTCTTCTACTATTCAAGTGGTTTTCCAGAATGCAAATTTAGGACCATTAGGTGGAAGTTCTATCAAAATGATATTTAGTGTTCAGTAGAGAAAGATGACTGTTTGTCAGGGATATTGTTAATGATATTTATAAGACAATGTTGGATAACAGACTGGAGAGAATACTTCTAAGGAAAATTCCTCCTGACTCTGATATGAATACATGAATGAGACAAACTATCCATAGAGTGAAAAGAAAATTTTTAAAACTATTTATAAAGAGGAGAATTTTCAGATCAGATACTCTCAAAGGGTATCAATGAACCATAGGTAAAAATTGAATAATATAATTTCCGGGATATGCTCGTTAACCAGAATGGGAAAGTTCTCTCACAAATTGGGGTTGCTTCTAGTTCTAATACTGTTCATCTGCCCTTAGAAATATACTAGTTGTTTTTTGCTCCCTGTGAAGACAACCGTCAAATAAACAGGGCCAAGCAAGAGTATTTTAACCGTTTACTTAAGAGTGAATCCAATGTCATTAATGGAACTTCTTCTAGAACTTTGCTTGAATAGACACCTGGAGCTCTAAAAGTCATTAACTGATAAAACAACAGGTCAAGTTTAACTTCCTGAATAGGGTTCTTAAAGATACTCTAGCATTGAGTCATCTTAATATTGAATGGGTTTTGTTCTTTTTTCAGTGGTTACCCAGGCTGTCCTTTCCCACCTGGTGGTCAGTATCCTGCCACAACGAGTTCTCAGTACCCGTCCCAGCCTCCTGTGGCCACTGTCGGTAAGTACCCTTCAAAACTGTCTTTCTCCCATAAGGAAAGTCAGAGGCTCCTGTTGTGAAAAGTGCCTTTCAGTTTTACATGTGAGATGTCAGAATATTCTTCCTTGTTACGAAGAACTCTTAATGGTCAGTGTCCTATAATCCAAAACTTGAAGTAGGTGATATAGCATTCATTATATAAATGAGTCTTCTGTCAGGGCATATAAAGAAATGATTGACTCTTCACTCTTTCCTGGCTCACATATTTTTATTGATGAACTTTGTATGTGTTGAACTATTGACAGATACTTAGATTTCCCTAGCCTGGTTATATATAAAAACAGATGAGCTTCTTTAGGAGAAGAAAGCACCACGGGGTATATTGCACATTATCACAGGCCAGTAGTTGTTTCTGTTTAGTGTTGCTTATTAGAGTGCCTGAAGTATAATTTTCTTCAGTTGAGAAAATTTAAGCAATAAGAGCATTTCTACAGATCCCCGCCCCCGCTGCTGCATGCCCGTCGCTGCCACTCTACCGCCATGCCTGCCTCCTCCCATAGGCCAGTTATCTTTGCTTCTGTGCACAAGATCTCACCCTCTCTCCCTCCCTCGGGGGCCAGTCAGTTCAGCAGTTCTTCCCTCCCATTATCAGTTTCTGTTCTCTACTGGATTGCTCCTCATCAACACACACACAAAAATATGCCCTAAACTAACCTTAAAAAATCCTCCTCTCAATTCCACTTCCCCACCACTATTCCATTTCTTCATTCCCCTCTGCAAGCAAAACTCCTTGACAAATTATCCGTACTCCATTATCTTCAATTCATCTTCTCCCTTTCTCTTGTAAAGTCCCTCCATTTGGGATTTCCTTCATACCATTCTGCTAAAACTGTTTCTGTCAAGGTCACTAATGACCTTTACAAGGTTAAATCCAACAGGTAGTTACTTTTCTCCACTTACTTGGCCTGTCAGTAGCATTTGACACAGTTAATTACTCCTTCCTTGATACACTTTCTTAATCTTTTTTCCAAGACCCCACACTCGCTCGGTTTTCTTCCTAGCTTGCTGGTACTCATGGTCAGTCTTCTTTACAGGTCTCCTTTTCTTAATGTTGGCGTGCCCCCTGGCTTAGTCCTTAGCATTCTCTGTACTTAGCGTTCTCTGTACATTCTCCTGGTGATTTCCACCAGTCTTAGCTTTAAATACCACTTCTATGCCCACAGTTCCCAAATTTATACTCTCTCCTGAGCTCCAGATCCTTAGAGCACCTGCCTTCTTAGTATCTCCACGTGGATATTTAATAGACATCTCAAGCCCAACATGACCAGAATTAAACTCTGAATCTTTCTACACAGCTTCCCCATCTCCATTGATCCTACTCAGTACTCTTACTTTGGCATCATCCTTGATTCCTCATCAGGAGCCTACTGTCTTCAAAATAGATCTAGAATTTGATCATACCCAGTGCAAATCCAAGTCATCACATTGTGTCTTATCTAATTTATTTCAGAAGCCTCCCAAAAGGTTTCTGTGTCTGTCCTTGGCCCCTACACTCTGTTTTATACACAGCATCCAGAGTAATCCTAGTAAAACAGAAATAGGGGTGCCTGGGTGGCTCAGTCAGTTGAACATCTGCCTTTGGCTCAGGTCATGATCCCGGAGTCCTGGGATCAAGTCCCATGTGGGGCTCCTTGCTCAGCAGGGAGCCTGCTTCTCCCTCTGCCCTTCCCCCTGCTCGTGCTTTCTCTTTGCCCCCACTGGGCTCCCTGCTGCTCCCCCTGCTTGTGCTTTCTCTCTCTCTGTCAAATAAATAAAATAAAAAACCATAAATAACGTCGCTCCTGTGCTCAAAACCTGCCAGTATTTCCCCATTTTACTCAGAATTCAATCCAGAGTTCTTAGGCCTAGAAGGCCCTGTGTGATCCTGCTTTCTTCCCCTGTTATTTCTCTGACCTCATCCTCTACTATTCTATCTTAGGAAATCCACTTCCTATTTCCTTTGCAAGGAGCAGGCATGCCTACCTGACTAATCACCTACCCCCACCAATCCCCGCCCCCGACCCCCTAACAGTGCTTTATATATAGAAGTGCCTCAATAAATATTTTGCTGAGTGCCTAAATGAATGTAGGAGCGTATGAAGTTCATCTTTCTGTTATATTTCCTGATAAACTGTAACCATCCCAAGATCTAATGTAAGTACCCTCCCCCAAAAAAAGGATTTTCTTTGCTTTTTTTTTTTTTAAAGATTTTATTTATTTTTTGACAGAGAGAGACAGCACGAGAGGGAACACAAGCAGGGGGAGTGGGCGAGGGAGAAGCAGGCTTCCCACTGAGCAAGGAGCCCGATGTGGGGCTCGATCCCAGGACCCTGGGATCATGACCTGAGCTGAAGGCAGACAATGGCTGAGCACCCAGGTGCCCCCCAAAACAGGTTTTCTAATGCTGTTCTTGCCATTGATACAGTCTAGTTATTGAGGTTCTGGTGGCATGGTTTTATTAAAATGTTCTCAAAATTACTATAATGTAGCTCTTTTTCTACAATATAATTTTTTTTTTTTTTTTAAGATTTTATTTATTTATTTGACAGAGAGAGACATAGTGAGAGCAGGAACACAAGCAGGGGGAGTGGGAAAGGGAGAAGCAGGCTTCCCGCGGAGCGGGGAGCCTGATGCGGGACTCGATCCCAGGACCCTGGGATCATGACCTGAGCTGAAGGCAGACGCTTAACGACTGAGCCACCCAGGCGCCCTCTACAATATAATTTAAAGGATTTGAGTTAGAAACCTAATGATGGGAGATCTTTCATCCATAAGCAAAGCACACTAAGTCTTGTTAAGCTCTCCATTTTGGTTCAGGCATCATCAACAAAATGGGAATAGTGCTATTTGTTACCGTTTTTCATTGAGATAATAGCATAATCCCTTTGATTTCTAGAAAACCTCAGTTTCTAACAATCTTTTATATGTTAACTCATTTTAAACCATAGGTATGAAGCATTTTATAGCTTAGACTAGATTGTTTCCACATATCCAAAAAACAGGGATGTGGAGAAAATGGTATCTTTAAAATCACATCTAAGCTTTGCGCAGTGGCAGTATCGTAGCCAATGAGGTTTATCCGAGGTGTGATTATTGCTAATTAAAATAACATCTAATGTTTATTTTGAGAACAGACTATCAAAGAAATTTATGTATTTTTTTAAGAGTACTTTCTTAGGCTAGAAACATTTTATGATAATCTTGGCTATCCTTTAATATGTATTGTTCTATCTTTGTTGCTTGCCTGCTTGATTTTTTTTCATCGTTCTGGTAGTACATTGTGCACAACGCTGTTGGACTTCAAAACTGTAATACAGGAAAGCAGAAACATAAAAGTATTGAATGTCAGTTCACAACTAGTCAGCGTTTCCTCAGTAGATCTGTGGTCACCTGAATTTGTGCTATTATTCTCTATACTACCGAGACCATGAGAAAGAATGAATGTGGTATGTTTATCCTTGTACTTTGTATCACTTGATAGTTTCACTGCATAGGTTTTGATTTTAGATGTAAAACAAGCACCTGACTGAAAGCATCATTAACATATGTCTTATTATGGACGTGGATGCCTGTGCAAGTGTTGGTATTTAACCATCCCGACAGCACTGAAGTGAAAAAGCCATTTAAAAATGAAGTGATAAGGGCGCCTGGGTGGCTCAGTCATTAAGTGGCTGCCTTCAGCTCAGGTCGTGATCCCAGGGTCCTGGGATCGAGCCCCACATCGGGCTCCCTGCTCAGCGGGAAGCCTGCTTCTCCCCCTCCCACTTCCCCCTGCTTGTGTTCCTGCTCTCGCTATCTCTCTCTCTGTGTCAAATAAATAAATAAAATCTTTAAAAAAAAAAAATGAAGTAATAGAGGGGCACATGGGTGGCTCAGTCGCTTGAGCATCTGACTCTTGGTTTTTGGCTCAGGTCAGGATCTCATGGGTCTTGAGAGCCCCACAGTAGGCTCCTCAACTGAGCAGGGAGTCTGCCTGAAGATTCTCTCCCTCTGCCCCCCACCCCACGCAGGTGTGTGCTCTCTCTCTCAAAAAATAAATCTTTAAAAAAAAAATAAAAATGAAGTAATGGAGATTGCATTTTTTATAGCAACCTCTTCTGACAAAGTACTGAAGAAGGAGGACGGATACAGATCTTGGAACTTAAAATAGCTCTTTCTGATTCCAATCAATGTAGATTTTTTTTTTTTTAAGATTTTATTTATTTACTTGAGAGAGAGAGAATGAGAGAGCACATGAGAGGGGGGAGGGTCAGAGGGAGAAGCAGACTCCCCGCCGAGCAGGGAGCCCGATGCGGGACTCGACCCCGGGACTCCAGGATCACGACCTGAGCCGAAGGCAGTCGCTTAACCAACTGAGCCACCCAGGCGCCCAAATCAATGTAGATTTTACACAACATTTAAAATCAGAATATGTTTTGTCGTTTCATTTTATAGCTTTTTTTATTAGATAGCTTCCCACCTAACCTGACCTAAAGCCAGTCTTGTGAAATTGGAGCTCACTGAGGGCACTAAGCAGTGAAGACAGCTGTGGAATGATGTAAAACCTGTCAATGATGCTTTCCATCAGGTCTGGGCAATTGTAGTGATATTTTAATACCCTGGTATAGTGTAAGGGAAGAAAAAAGCTGTGTAACTCAGATTTTTCCTAGAAGTCATTGTAAGACCAGGTGTATTTTTTGTATATCATCTTTGCAACTATCAAAAACATTTTCGGGGCACCTGGGTGGCTCAGTTGGTTAAGCGACTGCTTTCGGCTCAGGTCATGATCCTGGAGTCCCGGGATCGAGTCCCGCATCGGGCTCCCTGCTCGGCAGGGAGTCTGCTTCTCCCTCTGACCCTCCTCCCTCTCATGCTCTCTATCTCATTCTCTCTCTCAAATAAATAAATAAAATCTTAAAAAAAAAAAAATTTTTCTACTGGAAAATCACTGGGAAAAGATGTGGAATTTGGATAACTTTCCTTAGATTTTCTGTCCATCGTAA